AAAGCTCTAGACTTTATAGAGCTTAATAAGCTTACTAAGCCTATTAAATAGCTTACTAAGATATCTACTAAGGTCCTAGTATAGAAGCCTTTAGAAGGGAATTATTCTAGCTTTAATACTAAAGAAACCCTAATATAAAGAACTATTAGTACTATTAGGCTTCTATTATAAGTATCTAAAATCTATAAAAACCTATTATAATTAGTAGATATTTAATATATATAGCTAGGATATTTAGAGTTTTAATTACTAAAGAAAATTATTAAAATTATAAAAGGTTTTTCTAATTTTAACTCTATAAAAGAGAAAGATTTTCTCTATTTAGCTTATATTAGTATTAAAAGCTATAAGCTTTTAATATATATAGTTATTCCTAATCTATCTAGAGCTCTAAACTCTATAGAAAGGAATATTTTCTATCTTAAGCTTATACTATATAATAGAAAGCCTATAGAGCTTATCTTAATAGATTAAAAAACCTATTATAGATAGATTATTCTTCTTTCTAATAAAAAAGAATCTATTATAATAACTACTATAAAAAGCTTCTACTAGGGTTTTTATAACTACTATAATTATTATTCTATTAAATTTTATTATAATAGTAAAGAAATTATAAGGAATTTAGTAGATTAACTAGTTATTAAAAATACTATCTTTAATATCTTAAGTCTCTATATTTATTAGTAAAATAAACTTTCTAAATATTCTATAAAAATATTAATAAATAAACTTAGAGCTATTTTATAATAATCTAAACTACTATTATATCTCTAGTATTATATTCTTCTAGAGATTTTTTAATTAGTTAATTATATTACTATTAGTAATTATAATTTATTCTCTTAGTAGTTATTTCTTTAAGAATTAGAATTTAAAACTCCCTTTAGATCTAACTTCTAGGCTTATAGAGCTATTAGAGCTTATTATAAGGTTTTTATTTATTCTAAATAATAAACTAAGAACTATAAATTAGTTTTTAGAATAATTTTAAGATAAATTTTAATATTCTTAAATTTTAAAATCTATTAGATTTATATTTCTAAGAAGAGGCTAATTACTAAGATCTCTTATCTAAGGATTTTAAAGAATATAAACTCTATAAAACAGAGCTTATAGCTATAAAACCTCTCTCTCTTATACTTTTTAGAAAGGGAAATAGAGAAAATAAAGTATATAAAAAAGACTTAAAAGCTATTATAATAGTTACTATAAGAATACTCTAACTTATTAGCTATAATACTTAAACTACTAGCTATAGAGCCTTAAGAGCTTAAAATACTACTAGTTATAATACCTACTTTAGAACCCTAAGAGCTTAAAACCCCTAAAGCTATAGAGCTTTTAAAGCCTAAAGCTCTACTAGTTATAATATATTAATCCAGTAAGCCTAGATCTAACTCAGAGCTTATAGATAATCTAATAGATCTATTTAACTAAATATAAACTATTATTATAATATACTAAATAAGTATTATAATATATACTAAAGCTAGGCTCTTATTAGAGCTTAATAACTAGAAAGAGATACTAAAGCTATTATTAAAAGAAAGAGAGCTTTAGCTATAAACTATCTTTAGTAAACTTAAATAGTTAATATATATTAGAACCTTCTTCTTTATAGTACTAAATAATCTATCTAAGAGCTATAGAGCTTTAAGCTATAGATATATACTAAAGCTAAAGCTTAATCTTTATAATAAACTATTAAAATATAAAGCTAGGCTTATTATTAGTAAGTTCTTATAAATAAAAGATCTAGATTATAATAAGACTTTTACTTTTATAGTTATTTTTTTAATCTAGAGATTACTATTAGCTCTAGTAGCTATATATAATTATAATATTAAGTAAATTAACTTTATAGAGATTTTTTTAAATAGTAAACTTACTAAAAAGCTCTATATAAAACTCTCTAAAGATCTAAAGAAACTTCTAAAGAAAAACTCTAAATTACTTATTATAGCTAAATCTTAGAGTTATAACCCTTCTAAAGAGTAGATTATCCTACTATTAAAAGCTCTATATAGCCTAAAGTAATCCTCTAGAAAATAATAAGAAGCTCTAAAAGCTCTATTAAAATCTCTAGACTTTAGCTTTCTAATCTTAGATCTAATAGTTTTCTATAATACTAAAAAAACTATCTTTATAATAATCTATATAGATAACTACTTTCTAATAGGCTCTAATATTAATTATATTAATAAGCTAAAGAAGGAAATTTATAGAGTTTACTTTATAGAAAATAAAGAATTTATAGTTTTCTTCTTAGAGATTTAAATTTATTAAGATAGATCTAAGAAAGCTCTATATCTCTCTTAATCTTAATATATTAAATAAATACTATAAGTCTTTAAGATTATTAAAGAGAAACCTTTATTAGTATCTTTATAGTCTAATCTTATAAGACTTATAATAAAAGCTATAAAAGCTATAAATCTCTATAATCCCCTAGAATATAAACTATTTTAATAGATTATAAAGACTTTAATATATCTAATACTTTAAACTAGGTTTAATATAGTTTTTTTAGTTTAGTAGTTAGCTTAGGCTATATATAAACTCTATAAAATCTATCTAAAAACTATTAAAAAGCTACTTTAGTATCTAAAAAATATTAAAAATCTTACTATAAGTTATTTACTAAATAAGTTTCTAAAAGACTATTATAATAATAATTTTATAGAGAATAAAATTACTAATAAATCTATCTATAGATATCTCTTTAAGCTAGCTAGAGGCTTTATTAGCTAGAAGGCTAAGAAAGTAATTACTATAGCTCTATCTACTATAGAGATTAAAATAGATAGCTTTATAGAAACTCTTAGAGAACTATAGTAATTAAAAGAGCTCTATAAGGAGCTAAATTAATCTCTAAAAATCCCTATAACTATCTACTATAATAACTAGAACTATATAGCTATAAATAATAATCCTACTCTATATACTAGAACTAAGTATATACTATTAAAATTCTATTATAATAGAGTTTAAATTATAGAGAGTTTAATAAGCTTTAGCTATTTAGAAACTAAAACTATATCTATTAATAAGCTAACTAAGCTACTAACTATATCTCTTTAGCAGATTTTTAGAGATCTATTAGATCTAAAGAAGTATTATAAGAATCTAATTTAGTTATTTTCTTTAGAAGGAGTATTAAGATTTACCCTATAGATTATAGAATAGATTAGATTATTCTATATTAGTTAATTAAATAATCTTAGATTAGTATAGAATAAGAAGAAATAAAATAACTAATTTAGAACTTTCTAAAGCTAAAAGCTTATTAAAACTACTAGCCTAATCTATTATAGCTACTTATTAAAATAATTATATTAGTAGTTATAACTATTATAATAACTATTATAATAACTATATTTAGTAATTTTATATTATACTATAATAGTAGTATTAGTAGTTCTTATATCTACTATAGTAACTATATTAGTAATTCTTATATTTACTATAGTACTTATATTAGTAGATCTTATATCTATTATATAAAAAATCTTAGTACTTAGTTAGTAAATCTTATAATTACTATAGTAGCTATATTAGTAGATCTTATATCTACTATAATATTTATATTAATAGTTTTATAATTCTCTATATAAGAATCTTATAATAATTATAAGCTTATATTATAGAAGATAATATATTATCTTTAGAGCTCTTAAAGCTCTAAAATATCTATAAATATAGAGCTTTCTCCCTACTAGATAGAGGTTCTTTAAGCTACTAATTTACTCTTTTATCTACCCTATAGTCTATCTTCTTAGCTACCCTATAGCTAATAAAGCCTTTATTTCTTACTTAGAGCCTGCTTCTTCTACTATACCTTTTAAAATAATCTCTTTAGTATTCCTTAGCCTACCCTATAGGCTATACTTACCCTATACCTAGCTTACCCTATAGCTGGTCTACTCTATACTGAAGGACTTAACCTTTTAAAAGATATAGTACTAGGGGAATATCTAGATAAGTCCTTAGTTCAGATCTAATAAGTATAGTTTTAGTAAATCTTATATTAGTTAGCTAGATATAGGGACTAATTAAATAGATACTATAAATAGTACTCTTAAGGTATTAGATATAGTACTTTATAGATACTATAGATTATACTACTAAGATAGTAGATATAGTACTCTATAAATACTATATATAGTACTACTAAGATAGTTAGTATAGTATTATATAAATACTATAGATAGTACTACTAAAGCAGTTAGTATAGTACTTAAGAGATATAGTAGTCTAGAGATATAGTAGTCTGGAGGTATAATAGTCTGGAGGTATAGTACTTAAGAGATATAATAAATCTACAGTGGGATGTACTATGTTGAATTCAGCTTGGATACGAGTTCGTGGAACTGCCATACTTACACCTAGCTACTGTAGCTGTGACTTGATTAGCTATATAGCTCTTTTGATACATCAACCTACATCTTTGTTTCAGGAACTGCTGGGTGTAAAATAAACTACCTGCTTGGGAGTTGGCGAGTACACGTAGAACTAGATTTGGATTCTGACTTGCCCTCCATTGTAGCCTCGGAGATTTGGTTGGGCAGTGACGACGTGGGGACGGCAGTCCGAGATGGTAAGATGCACATACGGCGAAGCTTTTCAATCAACCCCTGTTAGACACTGTCGATTATGCCGATCAAGGTCCAGATGAGCATTGAACAGGGCACCGCCGATCCATATGTCCAGGTCTTTCGTGCACCTACCTGGCCTGCGATCTACAGTGTCAAGTTTTAAAATGATGAAACAAAATGTTACGTCCGCTTTCGCTCTCGCACCCGGTAACGGCTCTATCTGCATTGTATTCAAAGCAGCATTGAGTTGGCGTTGCAGACGGCTCACATCGGATCTGAGGAGTGTAAAAGTCAATGCCCTGATCAAAGTGACAACCCCGCCCTTGCAACACATCTTAGCCAGCAACAATTGTTGGATATTCTTGAGAAAAAGACTTACCCTCCATCTTCGCGCTCCTTCCAATGAAACTATACACATTCCTGCAATGCATTGCTATTTCGGCTTGGGCTATCTCGCCAGACAATGCCGCTACCAAGGCCTACAAGACACGCCGCAAGCTTTCCAAAGACCCAGATTGGCCAAACCGTGAAACATGGGAGGCAGCACTGGCAGGTGCGACACCGATCCAGCAGAACTCTACGATTCCTCTCCCGGATTATCGATTCCGTGCACACTCTATCAAAGACGTCCAGGCTGCCGTACGGTTTGCTACCGAACACAACGTCCGCCTCGCTGTTATCACCACAGGGCATGACCAGCTTGGCCGCAGCGACGCTGGGTCAGGTCTTCTACTCGATCTGTCCTTTCTGAGAGGCATTAAGGTTCGCGAATCTTTTACTTCGACTGAGAGTGGTACAGACAGGCTTGACCACACGGAGGAGCGCAATGTAATCACTCCACTTCCGGGGGTTCAAGCTGCTGCTACGTTTGGGCCGGCGGCAGCTGGGCTCTATCTCAACTACGCACTCGATTCCTCAGGCCTTTTCACCGTGAGTGGAGCTGCAGGTAAGTCCAGCGGCAAGACAAGACCTGGAAAAACGTGCCATGGCTTGATTCTAGCAGAACAAGCGGCTAATTTGGTATAGCTACCGTGGCTATAGCTGGAGGATGGGGCCAGAATGGCGGCTACGGGCCGCTCACCCCTCAATACGGGCTCGGCGTCGACCAGTGGCTGGAAGTTAAAGTGGTTACACCTGACGGACGGCTTCGTATCGCAAATGACAAAATAAACAGTGATCTCTTCTGGGCTATACGTGGCGGTGGCGGCAGTACGTATGGTGTCGTTGTCGAAGCCACCTAGAAAGTGTATCCCACAGTTCCTATGACCGGGTTCAACTGGGGGGATGAACTCAAGCTTTGCAGGTCCAAACTCGACTGACTATGAAACTGGTCGGACACCAGTGAGTGAAGCTATGGAGTACCTATTTTCTGAGCTGCCAAGTCTTCAAGAGAAGGGCGTCACGGCTTACATTTACGCCTCGCCGAGCAGCGTTCGATGTTACGCTATTCATCCAGCAGACCGTTCTGGCGTGGCGAATGCGAACGCCGTGTGGGGTCCGATCTTGTCTAAAATGCAGGCATTCCCCGGTATGAAACCTTTTCAGTCGCGGCCTTATGACTTTGTCGACTACAAGGACCTCTTTGACACGACTTACGGCCCGCTTCCAAACCCAGGAGATGAGCCCGCCCCGCCTTACAATCGCGGCATCGTCCCCTTTGACAGTCGGTTACTCGGCGCCGAGCACTTCCGCAGTCCCAACATAACCTTTGCGCTACGTGAAACCGGAGGCTACTATGGTATTCTGGTTTGCTCGCCCGGCGGTAGATTCGGGGATGGATCTGAGACGTCAAACAACCCCGGATGGCGGAGAGCTGTCGCACTCGTCGTTGGCTTTAAGACGAACACCACCAACGTGAACGGGCTCCGGGCTCTTGCTCCTGATATGGGCACATATATCAACGAGGTTTTTTGGGCTCCCTGCAGCGATATTCTTTGCCGTCTTGAGCGAAATCAGAACAGAATGCTCACATGCCACTCTCTAGGCGAGTACAGGACAGGAGAACTGGGCTTCGGCATTCTGGGGCATAAACTACGCGCGCCTGTCTGAGATTAAATTTGAGATCGACCCGAATATGACGTTCTGGACCAGTCCCGGAATCCATGCCGACCGCATGGAAGTGGTCGATGGGCGTGCTTGTCTCATTGAACCCCCATCCGAGGGAACGTCTTTATCCCTCCACCAACCGACAGACATATTATCGCGGACCTAGCCAAGGATGGGCATTTTCTTTTTGGTGAGAAGGAACTCATTGGCGCCACGTACCCGGCTCCTGGAGCATGGGTAGGTTTACAGCCCCCGGAACCGGAACTGGCCTAGGTAGCTAGCTTAACTTGATACTATACCTTGCTGTGCCTCATCTGGCTGGTTGGTTTCAATCACAGTGCAGGCGGCACTGGCAAGCATCGAAACCGGAGGGAATTCGGCATAACACGCAGCTCTCAGTCTAGATAGCCACGTTTGTAGTAGGAAGGGTTTATGGACAGTCAGGCAAAATTACAATTTTGAAAATCAGATACATAAATCAAGCTGACTATACTAAAATCCTCTCAAAAATCATGTTAATTTTCTCTCCTTCACTAAGCTCTCTTCCTGCAGACCAGTCGTGCAAAAAATCGCCCACATACCGCCCACAATCATCCCCATCATGGCTACCTACCTACCCTATGGCAGACGAACGCGACCGCGAAGATACCTCTGGCACCCAAAACAATGAGACGGCGAAACATGGTTCCGCCTTCGTGATTCCGCAATCGCCGACCTTAGTGAGATGATGCTGGGGGAGTTTTCGGATAAGATGATTCGGTAGGAGGCTCTTCAGGGGCCTTTTCGGAAGGTGCTTCTTTGGCTTCGGGCTCAGCTACTGAAGCATCGTCAATAGCTTTGGCATGAGGCGGAACTGACGACATCGTCGCTCGCTATCGCTTCCTCTTCAGTGATGTCGTTGCGCCAAGGCAGCGCCAACAAGACATTGATTTGAAATGGTTGGCCATGTGCTTCAGCAGGGAGGCAGTTTGGGGCAGTGCTTCGAAGCAGACAAAACACCACTGCGGCAAGGCCGCCAGCTGGTGGCCATGTCGGAACGAGTCTTCGACAGACGATGGGTCAAGATCCAGGTGGAAAATCCTGAGATGCGTCTTGAACTTGAGCAAGCTGTCGAACGTGAGCGCCTCGTCGTCGGCGCCGTCGCTGCTGCCGTCCTTTGGGTGCAAGGAGCAATGCCAACTCCTGTAGTGAGGCTGGCTGAGATGCCTCTGCCAGGCTTTGAAAGAAGAGTATGTCTTCCCAGGCAGGCTGCAGTTGGCAAACAGACAGATGTACGGCTGCAAGTCTTCAACGAGATGTCGTTCCCACCGCTTCACGGTAGAGAATGTCTTGGCTGGCAACACTAGGTAGCAGTAAGGGCACGTCTTCTCCTTTTCGTTTCCGTCCAGCTTGGGCGGCGGCGGTACATCGAACAGACTGCCGCCTCCAAAGCCGCCATCGGTGGCTGTTGAGACAGACGAGGACGAAACTGAGCTTGCCGGTGGCGACTTGCAGTTCGACACAACAGATTCCGAAACGGCCGTCTCTTCATGGGTGGCGTTGGAAGGCTTGCACGGGAACATGGAGGGTCGGCTCAACTCGGGGTCCTCGGACACGCTGGGGAGGATATTCTTGCCTTCAAGCTGTTCTGTCTGTTGGAGCCCATCCTGCTGCTCTGGCCTAGCGCCCGGGGCTTGCTGCAGTCGAGGCCACCAACGGGGCCGAGATTGATGGTCACATTGGCAAATGGGCCGGTGGTCACGAAGCCACCACCAACTCCCGCGGGAAGCTGGATGCTGCCGCCGCCCAGTCTTGCAGGAGGAACAATGACTGGACCTTGATGAGGGATGGAGTCACCATTGCCACCCAGGCTATACGAGTCTCCGTTGAAGACGGGCGATTTCTCAGTGGCGGTATGAGACTTCGCCCAATCCCAATACTACCCGAGCGAAACGAGTCAGCCTCAGATGACGGCCATCGCTAGTGGCTGAGACCCCAGGATATCGACATGGGTAAATGACCTGAAGAGCAGAGAATTAAAATAAACTTACGGGCTGATACCCCATGTATCCGCACTCGTCCCGCAGCGCCTTCTCGTATCTGTGAAGGAACCAACGGTGCCAGGGCTGGAAGACGCCGGAGAAGTGAATGTCCAAGGTCGGTTGGATGTGGACCACAACAAAGTCATCGAACTAACATGGATTGGCTGTGTTAGCATCAAATATTGAGACCACCATTGCTTTCTCTAGCCATTTACGGTTCAAAACAGGAGTGGCAACGTGGCAGAGAACCGATATACTTACACGAGACTTGGCGCCAGCAGCTTCGCTCTGGGGAGTCCGGGCCGGAAGCTTCTGCAAGCATTTGACAGCTTCGATGTAACCCAGCCGTTCCTGCTTGGAGAGCGAGCCACTAGTTCGAGTGCAAGACTCAGTATTTGATCAAGGAGGACTGTCGGGCAAGGGACGGAGAGACTCACTACTCGCGGCGGAAGACGATGTTTCTTGCATTGCAAGAGGCTTGCTCGCCACGCTTACGCATCGTCTCTACGCTCTCATCGAGAGATTGCAGAACATCAGCCTTGATCTCCTCGATGAGTTTGGCAATTTGCTGCTCCTCGGAGCCTTCTTCGCGAAATTTGACATGAGGCTGCGCCAACGCCAGAGATATCAACGCAACAGCCAAAAGCGATGATGCGCGCATCTTGATTGATTCTTCGGTCACTGTCAAAAACAAGCTTAGCTATAGCGCAAGAGATGGGCAATGCTCTAAGCGGACTAGAGGTACGTTGGATATCAGAAGAAAGCGATGTGGCAGGCAGAGCTATCAGGACTGGGAGCAGAAGGATGTCGACCCCATAACAGTGCATGGCAGGAGTACCCTTCTTTTGTGAGAAATCCACAAATTGGTGTTTGCTTTTACCATCTCAGCTAAGATTGAATGCAGCTCGCTTGCATTTCTAGACATACATAACTAGGCAATGTAATGCATTGGTCAGGAGAACCGCGGTATCCATTTTGTATTTCCAACCGATTATGTCTGTATGTAGCTATCAAGAGGAAGCAAATGGCGGACCGGTCCGAGAAAGCATAAGCCATCATGTCGGTTGGGCTAGGAGTGAGGTGGACGCGATCCTTTTCGGGAGAATCACAGAGTCATCATAGCATTTCCCCTGCCCGATATGGAAATTAAATCTCGTCTCCATCCGTCCGTTTGCTAACCATCAAAAGAGAATCCCGAGAAAAGAATCAGTCATATCCTCCCACTGCTCTGATCTGGCAATTCATGCAAGCATGCTCATCCTTCATCAGCTTGTAGAAACCCCACAATGAAAACCGAATCCCCGCCGATGTGGGCCGAGGGCCGGGGATCCCCACGATCTGCGGATCTCTCGTTGCTTTGGCCTTGATCCCCAGGGCGATCCGGGGCTGGGTCCGGCGATCATGATTAAGCATACTGGTTGGCACGATTATACGAAGCCAAGGTCAGGGGCAGAGCACGTATCGCGTATTGTCGAGCACGCCTGATAAAAATGCGCAGGTGGCCCTACCATAGCAACCAACAACGCAGGAAGACTTCGTGTTCCAGCTCCCCAAGCTGACAATGAAGGGGCTTTTTTGCCTTGTCCAATGGCATCGTCACATACCGACCATCGCTTCTCAGCTGTAGCAAGACCGGCATCAACTATACGAGACGATTTAGTGCCATAGGCACCCCTAGAGGAAAAAAAAACATAAAGTGGTCTGACAATGTAATACGATAGATACGACTCATCAGACGAAGGGTTAGTGCCCAGGCACAACTACAACTAAAACAGACAGGACAGGTTTGGGCAGAGTAATTCCAATCACCTGGATCACTGCTTTGCCTTGCTGGCACTGCATAAGCCCTAAACTGTAACCATCTCCAAGTAGCCGTTTCCGGCGATCTGCTCTAGCGGCATACACGGAGTTTTCCTTCTGTGTGGCCACAGCCTTGGACTAGCAGAGCTTATGTCTTAGCCTCTCGTATTCATTGTCCGGCCGGCATCTTCCATGGCTATTTTTAATTTGTAGTCGAACTCTCGCTCCTGCTTCAGACGCGTCCTCCCAAGCCTGCCGTTGGCCAGGCGGCATCTTGTCGGCACCTAGTCGAGGAGCAGCTTCGCAACAGCCAAGCAACCGTTTTCGGCGGCAGAGACCTCTGGCTCCTTTTGTTTTTTGTGTATCGATACATTCGATTATAAGTCATCATTTTCCCTCATCCAAATTCATAGCACCCCCAGCGCCATCTCTGAAGTTTACCCTTGTCAGCACAGCACATCATGAAGAACACAGCACTACCTCTGCCTAGCGGCTTCACTATGCCGCGCAAGGCCGTTACCGTTTGCCTGTTCCTTGCCCTTGTTTTATGTTCATTCATTTTCCTTTCTTCAGATCCAGCCACTTTGAATCAACAGCTTGTCAAGGCTGGTAATTATGCATCTTCAACCCACCGAAAGTCACCTCTCGCCATTCTGGAGTCCTCGCCGGATGAAAAGGTGACGAGCTGTCCCGAAAAGCAGACCAAGATCGACGCAAAGCTTTGGAATTCAATCAAGAAGAAGACGGATTCTTTGCTCGACGACAAGTTCACGTATGTTTACATTACCTTGCCTGTTGCGGAAAAATAAACGATTCACAAGACTAACTTCTTCGGCGCAGAATCTTGCTTCAGACTTACAGGCGGCCCGACATCCTGGGCAGAACTCTTCATGCGATTCTGGGCGAATATGTCCCCTCCCTGCTCGAAGTCCACATCATCTGGAATGACCCTGAGACACCCGCCCCCGAGAACTTTGTCTCAAAGCACGGCGTACCCGTCATCTACCGCAAGACCACCAAGAACAGCCTGAACGAGAAGCTCCGTCCCAACGAGGCATACCGCACCAAGGCCGTCCTCCTCCACGATGACGATGTATACTACCACCCTCGCGACATGGAGTTTGTCTTCCAGACATGGCGAAAGAAGGCGCAAGACCGGGTTGTCGGCGCATTCGCCCGCATGCACGTCCAGAATGCCGAGGGCGTATGGGAGCTTGGCTTTTCCAGCGACGCCTACTCTGTCGTCATGACCGGCCTGGTCTTTGTCCACATTGCCTTTACTGAGTACTACTGGACAGACGACCCCGTCATGAAGCAGATCCGTGATTTCGTCGATAATCTCACCAACTGCGAAGATGTGGCAATGAACATGCTCGTCTCGGCCATCACTTGCCAGCCTCCATTGCAGATCAATGGACTCAAGAATCCTTCAAATGAAGCCCCCGCTATCGCCATCAGCACCTCCGCGGAGCACCCCGCGGCACGAATCGCGTGTATGAACGATCTGCCAGTCATGTTCGGTGCGATGCCTCTGATCAATACCACGGAGTCCATCAAGCATGGACAGTTCGACTGGTGATTCAATGTTTTCTCTTGTTTCATTTAGCATTTCTGTACGAACTTGTAATGAACGCGATTGTACTGCATAGCTTTTATCGATTAAATCGACTTGCTAAGATACATTCTCATACATGTAAAAGTCATCCCATTTTGTCAATTTTGTACTCCAGAAGCTAGATAGAAACGAAGCGGGTCAGATTCGCGTTCCATGACAGCCATACTAAATTTAGCATAGCTACCAATTTTCAATTTCAACATTGGCTTTTTTTCCCACTTTCATGGCCCCAAGAAGGTGACTTCGGCAATTTTGACACCGGGACAATATAAAGCATTATTATTGAAGAGCGGCTTCGTGAACGTAATTCTTTTGGGGCATTGAGACTGCGATAGCCGCCTCAAGCTCATGAAACGGTCGGAGAAAGCCCTCCCGTATCTTTACAGCAGTCCCTAAAGAAACAATCCTTATATATTCTAGACCCAATATCTTCATATCATAAGGATAAAATACTAAATTAAGCTTTATTAGCTTAATGCATATCGAAGAGATGTTTTTTTCTTAAATGAATAATCAAACAATTAAATTATTTATTCATAGTAGACATATATATTTTTATTTTTATCAAGTCTTATATATATTTAATATAATCAAAGATCTATAATGCTTGTAATTAGGGCTTGCTTTATGATATAGAGCATTAAAAAGGTGGCGACCGAAAATATGCGTGCAAGCACATTTTATGAAGACAATTAATGAAGTTTCGTTGTGAATGTCTTCATGAAACTCAACGCCAGCGATGACAAAGAGAGTATCGTTGACAATTGCGAATGTCTATCGCTGCATTAGGTTGAGAGGGACGGGGAAACATTAGAAAAGCTACTTGGATGATGTTGGGAGCGTTTGGCCCAAGATGACGGCCTCGTCTTTCCATTGTAACCCGAGCCACGATAAAAGTGACCTACAACCTGCATTGAGTTGGCCAAAACCAAACGAGTAAAGCACCAACCCAATAAGGCTGATAGAGTAGCCTAGAAACTGGATCGGAGAGATCGGAGTGCTCCAGATAAGGACTGATACTCCGACCAAAAGAATGTTCTTAAAGATTGAAACTAAAGTCGTAGTGAGGCCCGATGTCTTGCCAATCTGCTCAAAAATGTTAGAATGAAATAAGACTTGTGGGCTTACTTCTCACTGACCAACGCCATGCTTGTGTAATTCAGCATGAATGCAATAACGGCACTCCCAAGGAGCATTGCCCAAGTCACCGGAGTCACCTCACCAACAGAGAGGTGAGGGACCTCGACCACCCACATAATGCAAAAATTCAATAACGCGCAGAACGGCGCATAGTAGTAGAGGCCGACAATGGGGTCTAGCGATACTTCTTCGCCTGTAAGCATAAGTTGGATGAGAACAACGCGGGTCGCCTCGAAGAGTAGTCCAGCAAGCTGATATACAACACCAATCACAGAGAAGTGAACCTCTCCAGCGCTGGCCAATATAACACCGCCAGCAATAATAGTGACACTGAATATATCGCTCTTGGTAACTTTCCTTACCCCCAGCAACCAAGAAACAAATAGGGTCAGAACGGGACTGCAGCCCTTGACCATTTGTTGAAATGAGACGGAGAGATAGACAAGGCTAAGGTTTGAGCAAACGAGGGATCCTGACGCGACTATTCCCATCGGTAAAATTGTGCGCAGGAAGAAATTCCTATCCATAGGTAGAGTGTGACGACGGTGAAGTAAATTTGTTGTGCGGGCGAGAACCTGGGTGACGATGGAGGCGAACGTGAGATGCAAACATGTGAGGAGGATGGCTATTTGTCAGCACGGTTAGCATTTCTCACAGGACGATCATTATATGTACAACATACGATATCCTAAATATGTATTGTTAGCTTGTGTGTTGTTTAGATGGGAACTTGAGTGGCGGCAGCGAACTAACCGAATCCCCCAGAGCTTATTAGCCATTTGTTGGCAAGAATCGTGGTATTTGAAGTGACGATCCAGGCACTGAAGGTACGAGATGCTATCAGTGGAAGTCTAGCCAAGATAATATAGGTGAAGCAGCTACTCACATGATATAGGCGGGGATTTGGGCCTTTGAGCGAGCAACTGGTGGTGTTGGGGTTTCTTTCTCCATGATGGAAAGCAAGGACAATGAAAATGATCTATTCGGTCAGAGGATAGGGGAGACGACAGAAAATCAAAGAACAACAACAATGTGAGAGGCGCGGGATACACGTACGTCCATCCAAGTGGGGAGGAATGGTGCGAATGGGCAAACTCCAACTAAAGTGAATGGTACAAAATCATAAGTGCACTTGGGTTATTAGCATTTGCGGCTGGAAGTAAAATTAGACCAAAGTATTTCTCGGGTCACATTTATTTAATACGAGTGGTTTACAAAAATCTCAAGGGATTTGGTCTACATCACACTTGATTCAATTTCTGAGACACGGTCCTCTTCGGAGCAGCCTGACAAAATCCATCTTGCTGTTTTCGGCGACTCAGCTCATTCGTGTCACATTCGCGACTTTCTTGGCGCATGCGTCCATGAACAGCTTCGCAATGTCCAAGTGGCCGTTTTCGTCGGTCCGATGTAGCGGATACGTACGCGAGAGTTCAGCCGACACTTCAGCTCAATGAATACGAAAGTTAAAAAATAAGCTCTAGCCCGGTGTGGCACCTTCTCCCTTTTCTCAGCTTTAGCGTCGGCTATCGCGCACACCATCGACAAGCCGTCACGTAATATCCAAGTGCCCGTTTCCGGAAGCCTGGTGTAAGTAACGGCATCGCCATCTCGTTATACTTGGCGTTCATGTGCCGACAAGCAGTCTTGCAACACTCAAGTGGGGGTTTTCAACCGCCTGGTCTGGTGGCCTCCTAACAAAACTATCATTCGCGCTGACACGAGCGCCCTCCTTGATCGGTTGACCGACTACCGGCTCGTCCCGTTTCTCTACTGCATAATACAGAGGCGTTGCGATATAAAGTTTATACAGCGACTCTGAAGAAACTGCTCATATCATTCGCTGAGAGATGTCCTAGGACGATAAAATACAAAGAACCGCCCCTTTTTGTATAACTGGTACGTAGGGATAATACCAGCGCTCTTCTGACCAGTTGCGTGATGGACCTACCTCGGCCACGATTTGTTCGTTCGTAATTGGTGCTTCGCGATCAGGTTGCAATTGGCATTTTTGATGACAAGCGCGTTGTGAGGTACAGGGCTTTCATCGGTCGTACTTCTTTGCTGGATTCCAATCTTTACAGGCCTTTACCTCTCCGTGAGCATATCAGCTCACCCTTGGACAACAACGAAGTGAATTTGAACTTGCCAACGCGTGTAGGGACCATAGCAGGAGAACAACTTGAATTACCTAAATCCCTATGGGTAAGAAAAACAGTCCCTCGGGGGGCGGCTGGGCAAGGGCTGCATGAAAAGGCCGCTCTACCCGCTCCGATCCGATACCGAATACTACATTCTACGGATGGCCAGCAGGATGACACATGCGTCGCCTGTATAAAGAGGCCATCACAGCTCGATGCCTCTACGATGTTCGTTGTATCGCTTATTCAACTCTTTTATTATATTTCCCCTTTGTGCCTACCGCGTTTGGCTGCCGATCTGCAAGATGGGAGCTGAAAGTCATCGAGAAAGAACTGGGCCAGACTCCACGCCACCGCTGCACTCGGCTACACAAGCCATCCACGCCGATGATGACTTGGAGCACCACGACGCCGTAGCCGCGGCTATTTCCGTGTCCACGACCTTTCGTTTCCCCAGAGATGCGGAGGCGCTTCAAGCTAGGGCAGACCGTGACCCGATGGCAAGCCAGGCCAAAAGCAGTTGATAAGTACGGACGTCTTCAACCTTGCTAACCTGCGGTTCCAGATCCCGACTGATCTGAACTCGCACCACTACTCTCAAATATCAGCACCCACCACGACGCGGTTGGAGGATGTCTACGACTTTCTGGCATCCGTGGTACACATCATCCATGAAGATCCTCTTAGGGTTCATCATGATCATTAGGGCATGGAACGCCGCCAGCCCGTAAAACATGATGTATCTTCTCCAGCTTCTTCCCGAAGAATACTTGCTGCTTGACAAGTGGAGTTTAGAATGGGCATATCCACCCCATCCTTCACGGCTCTTAATGCAGAAGCATGCTATCGCGATTTGACAGCCATCAATCCATCGCTTGTTTAGCTAGCGGATGATGAAGAACTTGATACTCAAGAAATCTCACATCTCTTGTAAAATCAACAGAAGTCACTTGAACTATAGCTATTCCCAACATCAAAGTAAAACTAAATTGTTACGGACTCGCTAGAGCACGCTTCCAATTTACTACTGCCTATGGAATGTATATTTTAGGCTTGCAACACTAAATGAGCTTCTACTACATGATAATCCCACGAAGCAGTAAGACTTCGGCAGGTCCCAAGAGGTACTGCTTATGCTATGTATGTCATTTGCTCATTTTCCCAAACCATTAAGCAAGTAATCTATCTCATTCGAGTCTAGACAGCTGAGACTTCAGCTCAGGGAGGGTCAAGGCGTAATACTTGTCAAGTCCGGCAATGATCTCTTGACCCTGCTTGCTGAGGACGAAGCGCAGGAATTCACGAGTTTTGGGGTCCACGGGCTGGCCCGGGACGCGGTTAAGATAGATGTAAGCATCGCGCACCAAGGGGTAGTTGCGATCCGAGACGGTCCGCGGGCTAAACTGGAAGTACGGTCCAGAGTTGCTTTGCGCAATGGCGATTGGCTTTGCATTGGGGTAGTGCTTGATATGGAGTTGTGCTCCCCAGCCGATACCGTATTTATCATTGGATAGCTCCTCGAGCATGCGGTCACTGGCGACTGGCTTACCATCGTCATCTGCAGTTGCTTGTTTCTCTTCAACATATTCCTTGTAGTTTGGATTCCACTTCTGTGACCAGTGGAAAAGCTTTCTCTGCATGTAGATAACGAAGCCGGGGGGCAATGTAGCCATAGGTCTGTATCTCCTGGTCTGCCCACTCGCCCTCAATGCCGAGCTGGGACCATTTGCGGATGTTGGCGCTGGCATTTCGGGCATACTCGGCTGTGAAGAGTATGTTGTCACCCTCACTGACTGAAGCGAGATTGTCATTCCCCCCAAGCTTCCACCCTCCCATCCTTTGGGAGCTGAAGATGCGATCTAGTTGATCCATGGTCAATCTTTCCGAAGGATTGTCCTTGTGGACCACGATCACTGCCGGCCATAAAGTACCACGCTTTTCATGGCCACCTGTAGCAATAGAAATCTCAGTGGGAAGATACCCGTTGCTGTTGAAGAACGGCATCATGTGGTCAGTTTTGCATCATCGCCAGCTGGTGCAAGTTCCGAAAGACCCGTGTAAAGACCGGCAATGGATCCTTCCCTGCTAGTATAATTGTATATACCGATGGAGGCCCCAGGCTGGTATTCTGCAAACCCAGCAGCAAGTGCTGGGTTTGCGCCCTTGAGGTCACTTCCAAAGATTCTAAAGATACCGGAGACATTGAGCTCAACGTTGTAGTCTTGGTTAACCAGTCAAGTCACGCCGGGGCAAGTCCTGAGCAAAGATAGACGCAGCACCAAGAGCTGCTTCACCCGAGTTAGTGAAGCCCCTTCGTAGTCCTCGCGGACAACCCTCTCTGGCCAGTGGTGGTGATCTCTATGTACAGAGTAGCTTAGCGAAAGCAGTTGTTTTAGTGGGATGCTAATATTAGCCATATTATATACACTATGATTTGATTGCATCAAATTCGACGCCAAGAAAGGGAATGTCACTCGGTAACTATCTATCCACCGCGCTATCGTTTCATCGCGGTGACACTAAGAACTCCGCCCCTTACCACCATGATACGTTAATAAATAGTTTAGAATTCCCTGACCATCAATCGCTGAGCAAGTATTGCTCTTCATACATGGCTGGGTCGGCGATATATAGTCCGCTCAAAAACGGACCTGAAGGGCCTTCTTTTCGTCTCTTGACTCTCCATCCGGCCCAGCAGTCAACCGATCCGTTGCGCTGCACAGTCGTGGAACAACCTCTCCTCAAATGCGACGACTATGAAGCCCTTTCTTATTGCTGGGGCGATGTGGCCGACAAATTGCCCATCTACTGCAATGACCAGCATTTCGCGGCCACGCGCAGCCTGGAGGCGGCTCTGCGACACCTCCGCCACAAGGACGATGACCGCTGCATATGGATCGACGCGGTGTGCATCAATCAAGATGATATCTCCGAAAGAAACACCCAAGTGCTCCTCATGCGGTCGATATACCGAAACGCCAGCAGAGTGATAGTCTGGCTTGGCAAAGATGAACATGATAGCCAGGTTGTTTTCCCTCTCTGCCAAAGAATGTATGATGAACACAGCGAATTGTACAACGAAATGGATTATGCGATGCTATGGGGACGTGACAGAGATGATCGGATCAAACAGAAGTTAGAGGAACACCGCCTAAGGACAGCGGGTGATGGAGATGACTCAAGCAGTCAACTGGAAACCGATGACGACGACGACAACGACGATGCAACTGATTCTGGATTCCACACATTTCTGCGCTTCCTTCGAAGGCCCTGGTTCCAGCGCTGTTGGGTGGTCCAAGAGTTATGTCTTGCCAAAGAAGTCTTTGCCATGTGCGGCCCCAGGCTCATGCCTTGGGACATCTTCTTCGCAGGATACTACCTATGTCTGCTTACCAGCAAGAATGCTCTCACGGGCCGCCCAGAGCAGATCATACGCGGTAACTTCCTGGCCGCCACACCCCTCAGGCTGGCGATGACTCGAGCCCGCGACGCTACTACAAACGTGGATCTGCCAGACCTACTGGGCCTTTTGTGGTCGACAAGATCTCTGGAAGCGACAGACCCACGAGACAAGGTCTACTCGCTTCTTGGTCTCATCCCGGAGACTGAAGCGGATGCGATGAGTATAATACCCGATTACGCTGCGTCTATTGAGGATTGCTACCTTCAAGCAGCCACAAAAATCATTTGGCAAAGCAAAACCTTGGACATACTGACAACTGATCGCATGAAGAATCCGCATGTCGAGTTGGACTTGCCAAGTTGGGTGCCTAACTGGAGCTATCTCTCATCACCAGCTCCGGTTAGCATCCTCGGCGTGATCGAATCTTGGCTGGTAGATGTGGAATCTGACCCTGAACCATTATCAAGGAAGTATCAGGCCTCTGGTTCCGCCAACAACTGCACACCTCAGCTAATTGGTCCTCGAACCCTTCGTCTATCTGGTTATATCCTCGATCCTATCACCAAGATGGAAGCGGTCCTTACCGTCCCACAAGGCGACAACGAGGCTCTAGCGGCAAACATGACCTCGTTCCGCGGCGCAAGCTCATTCCTCACCAATCTGTTTACTGGTCTCGGTTCTTATTTCGAGACATTGGTTAAGTGGGAGCATCTAGCCATGGACAAAAATCACGATCCATATCTAACAGGCGAGTCGGCCGAGGAAGCGTTTGCATCAACCATGTCTGTAGGAAGCGTACAGGATGGGCCGATAACACTGGAGCAGTTCGAGACGTGGCGCACGACTCTACGCTGGCCCAGAAAGCTCATGAAGCTACGATATCTCGGCGCGCATCACCTCGGGGCAGCCTACAAGATACCCCTTGCTGCTTTGGGAATGCTGACTTCGAAAGCCAGGGGAGACCGCACATTTTCGACCGCAACCGAGTTCACACTGTATCGGCGGTTGGCGAGGACGAAGATGGGATATCTTGCAGTTGTTCCAGCGGAGAGTTGCCCTGGAGATCCTGTTGCGCTATTCGAGGGTTGCAAAACACCGCTGGTCTTAAAGGAAAAGGGGAACCAATGGGAGCTAGTTGGGCCAGCATATGTGCATGGTGTGATGCAAGGTGAAGCATGGGATGACAAACGGTGCGTGAGCATTGATATTGTGTGATCGTAGCTCTACTTACGGAAGCTTCTATATTATATAACCAGAGAGTCAATTCACCCGACCGCTTCTTAAAGACCAAAAGAAGACTTGAGTTCTATTTTCAAAACATGTATACGTGTCTACCAGTACCATTCCAACATGATTGATGCTAAGTCTAGAATCCTCCCATTTCACTAGCTGTATTCACTGAAACCTGGTTCCTATAATTTGGAGTGGCAGCAGGGTCCTGCACCCTCTCCATCGCTTTCAGCGTATAATACACTCTTGTTTTTGGCTTGCGTGGATACTGCAACATCCAGGCCAGGATTTCCAGAAAAGAAGTTAACAGGCTTGAGTCCAACCATGAGCTTCTCGCTTGGCATCACGGGCCAATCCTCAATCCGAGGGTTGTGGGTTGAGCCAAAGGTATGCCAAATGACGATATCCTGATCTCGCACAGACTGAGGAGCACCGGAATCCCTTCGCCTGGCAATCACGGAAGCAATCCCATCGCCGCCAGCAGATTGCATGGTGTACTTGCCTGCGGGGAAGTTTTCGCCATCTTCGTGGCGGGTTACCCAGACAGCATGAGCAGCAAACTCGGAACGTTTGGCATGATATGAGTCGGGGTGAGCAAGCAGCATCTGGCTGTAGTGAGGCATAAGCTTGAACCCAACAGGAGTACCTGTGATGGGATTCATCTTGCTCTCGTTGATAATCTTGAACGTGCGGTTTTTGTTAATGTCAAGATCAAACCCGCCCTCCTCCTCAATAGTCTGACTCTCTGTCATGTAGCCATTGCCGAACGGGTTATCGATGGGCGAATCGATGGGCGAATCATTGGCAGACATGGCCTTTGATTCCTCTACAACGAGTGAGTTGGCATGCCCATCGATTGCAGGATCGATACGGAGACTGAACAGGTGCTGGTGGTATGGGGCCAAAACTCCAGGAGCAACCACAGTACCGAAAGGAACCTTATCCTTGACACTCAAGTCGACGGGCACGGTAGACAAGATGCCAGTTGCACGCACCTCAAAATTTATCGATGCATCTTGGGAGAAGTGGAAGGCAAAAATGTATTCGTAGTTGCTGACCGTTATGATCATTTGCAGAACGAGGATCCGAGACCGAGTCACCACAGGGTTCTGTGTGCGGAAATTGGTATGCTTCCACAGAATGCCATCATCCTGCTCGTGGCAACACATCACGTTGGGCATCTTCAATGGCTCTCCTGAGGGAGTATTGTGGTAAGCGTCAAAGTACTTGATGGTCCCGAGGCAATCACACCCGAGCTGGAGGTTATTAGCATTGATACCAGCACCATCATTTCCTAGGTCAAAGGCAGCCTTGCGAGGATAGGGCGCCCTGGGATCGCCATAAGGGACAAACATCTCAGCCAGAGCAAGGCGGTAGAAGACGTTTCGACCGTCATAGCGAATATCGTGCAGGGTCATTCCTTCGCGATAATTGAAGCCAACTCTGAAGTTCCACTTCTCCCATTCAACGTGGTTACCGTGGATCCGAAACGACGGGCCCTCTGGTTGTATGACCTGGTAGGGTTTGGTGGTCGTTCTTGGGCTGGGTCTAAGATCGGGATGATATTCGCTTGCAGCTGTGTAGTGGATTCGGTTGCGATCAAACTTCTTCTTTTCATTGTTGATTCTCTCCTCCGGTTTGGTGGGTAGGCGGTAGACTTTGGTGACCTCAAGAACCTCTGATACCTCTGCACATATGTCCAGAGGGTAGGCGTAGTAGTTGGCATCGGCATTCTCTAATAGGCGCAGGTAGAACCAACACTTCATCACTAGTCAGCGTATTAAACGACATACTAAAGGCACGGATACACCAACCATGCTGATGCGAGTCGTCATATCATTCATACCGTCTGTGGCATATGCCCAGGGTTCGACGACGACAGTTGACCCAGCAGGAAGATCCAACGTCCGGATCTCAGCCTGGACCTCCTCATTGGCCAGACAAGCTTGTTCCACTGCTTTCATGTACTCGGCGTCAATGTATGAGTGCTTGCCTCTCTGATGCTTCTTGCTAGCGACCTTCTCTGTATCGAGCTCAACCACGAGCTCGAAAAGTTCATTCTGCTCATTGTGGCCTTTGACGACAACCTCAACGCGAGCATTGCGAGCTGGTATCTTTCCGTGGGGCTGCTTCCGATGCTCCTTTTCCAGATATTCGACCATTTCTTTCTTAGGCGGCTCCAGGAGGGTGATGACTCGGAAGTTGGGATTACGACTCCCAAAATGAGGGCGGACAATGCGTGAAGCCTAGCCGTTTCATCTTAGATTCATCTCAACGGTCGGAAAACAATGTAAATTACTTGCCTTCGAGATTTCCTCGGGAGTGAGGGGGTCGAACGGGTGGAGGGCCATGTTGGGGATTGAAGGGTAAAGAAGTCTAATGAAATTCTACAAGAGTCTGAACGTATGCGGATTAAAATTCTAAAAGGCAGTTGGACAACTCTATCAATTGATGATAAGTTGAAGGGTATCTATACAATTCTTGAGTGATATGAAATGAATGCTAGTAGAAGAGAGATAGGTATCAATCACAGTGTTACCCCGCTGAATCTTGACAAGATCCACAGATTCCACACCACAAGCGGCGCATCAGTAGGCGCTAGATGTGTCCCCGGCCCGGTGTACATGGCTGATGCGTATGCTCTTGCCTTTGGAGGACAGGAATGCGAGAGTCTCATCTTCCCTCTAAAGGTATGGCTCCCCCAGATCGGGTCTTGACGAGACTCAAGGCGCCAATCGCGCCTCTACACGTAGTCGAGGTTAACTGCTTTGACCAGCCAAGTCCCACCATCCCTGTGTGTAGGGTGCAATTGACAGTTAAATACTGAGCCGGTTGAGACTCAGGTAACAGATCCGATCCCTGAGAAGTTCAGAGGAGGAGAGGTGGCACTGGGGTATGGCATGGAGATACTGCGTAAAGGAAATTCAATCTGAAGTCTCATGAGGGAGCAAACCTATTATTTCCTCAATCGCAATATTGAGATAGTCAAGCCACACAATCAATGCGACGTGCATGCCAGATTGGGCATTGGGCAGAGCAGCACAGCAATTTTAACCTCTGCGAGGCCGGTGCCAGAAAAATGGCAAGAAACTGCTGGAAGATGGTGCAGCTGGGTCGGGACTCTTATCAGCTTATCGCCTTATCAGCTTATCGGTTTGTTTTCCTCGGCTCAGCTTAGTGCGTCCCAGACACGCGACGCGTCAGACACCAATTTGTCAGAGAAAGTCTGTAAATGAAGATATTAATGGTAATATTTTATTGAAATGGAATTGCATATGAGCGTGCCTGCTAGATTGTCGTGGGGGCAAGTAAAATATCAGTTACTAAGGTAGGTAGATAGAAGGAACCACTTCCAAGCTCAACACAAGTGATAATCTACATGACGTGCCTACATAGGAGCACTGACTACTTATGAGTGCATCAGCCTATTCATGAAAAAAAACCCGAACATACGTAGTAAATCTTAGACAAAATCGTAGAACTGTAATCAGTTACTACTAAAAGCGAATCCACATCAACCAATGGATTTAAATACCGACAAAATCAATCAGTGATAGCTTCCACAGGTTGTACTCGGAGGCGTCTAGGGTAGGAAGACCCTATATTGTCGGACTTTCTTTCTTCCGTTCCGATCTACATTGACCGCTGTTTAGCCGATATCTGATAAGAAAAGACGATAAGATTCTGATAACAGAAATTCACCTGAAGCTTTGTTCTGTGATTCATTACCTGCCAACTGGTAAAACTACACAGCTTTATGTTAGAACGTGGCGGTAGGCTGCGAACGAAGCCGGATTCCAATCGATCGAGAGGTTCAATTGGCCGTGGTTTTCATCATGTCTGCTTTACCTCTGCCTTGTCCGGGGGGTTTACCAAGATTAGCTCAAAGTCTCTGCAAAGCAGCGAAGCAAACAGTAACCACCTGCTCATTCGGTCGTTTCAATTACGCGTACTTTCATTGATCCTTGAAGAATATGGCTGATTTGGGTTAAAATAACTGACACTGGGTACATACTCACCCCTGGAGCGTAGTGCCACGGGCAGTGGACTTATCTCCGACAAAAGTATCAGATCAGCCCTAGAGATCTGTCAGCAGCGGGGAAGAATAAATCTCACCGCCATCAATCAATTTGAAAGCTTCTTTCTGCATCTTACTGACACGCTCATCGTCACCATGGCTCTCAAGACGTATCGTGGCAACTGCCACTGTGCCGCCTTTGTCTTCGAGGTGACTATCCCCGAGATCACCAAGGCGGAGCTGTGCAACTGTAGCCACTGCTACAAGAAAGGCGGCGTATGGGCTATGATCCCTGACACGGACAATTTCACCATGGCCAAGGGGGACCTAGATAAGGCCAAAGACTACAGGTTTGCTAGTAAAAACTTTAGCCACAAGTTTTGCCCAACCTGCGGAACAGTCTTGCTCTTCACCGGACGCCTCCCAGGGAGTGAGAAGGAACAGATGGGTGTGAATGTAGGCACTCCCGCCAGGGCATTGCTCTCGAACATGATTATTTATATTGGCATAGATTCGATGTTTTCAGCACGGACTGGTTCCGGATATCTGGGACATGGACACGAGCACGTAAGATATAAATCACGGGGAGCTGTAGAGGTGAGCTTATTGAGTTCTGCTAACTGCGACGGGATAACCTAGCTTTGACGGGGCAAGCCTCGGTGCCCCTTACGAGACTCCCACATACACTGGCCCTCTTCCTACGAAAGAGGTTGAAGGCGGCAAAATTTACACGGGAAGTTGCCACTGCGGAAATGTCACGGTGTGCTTGAGGAGCAAGCCTCTTGACCACTCCTTTGAAAGTCCTGCCTATGAGTGCAATTGTAGCACCTGCATCAGGGTTTGCCGCCCCCTCTTCTGAATTATCTTGCCAGTGTATATTTGCTCAACGTTTCAACTAGCACGGCGGAACGACTATATGGCCGCACAAAGACCAAGTCGTCATCCAGGGCACGGAGCACCTGAGCACGTACGCTTCTGGCATGCTCAAAGCATGGGAAAAAGCTTTTTGCAGCCAATGTGGTGTATTTGTTGTGAGGCGACCCCTTCCGATTCCTGATGAAGTCTCAGTCCATATACCAGCTGCGGTGAGGGAATGGACTGTCGATGCGCAACATTTGTTGCCTTTGAATCTGAAGCTCTTGAATGGAGTCGATATCAGCCAACTGAAGATTACGCACATCGACGGTTACGATGTCATCCCGCCTCCATATGTCAATCCTTGAGGTACATTGTCAAGGTGGACTTATGAAATTCTACATAAGATCGGAGTTCATTTATGATCTAGGTACTCAATAATGATTTTATGCAAGAGTTTGCTTTTACGTAACATCGTAGAATTTGACTCAATTGAGAAACGACAACGTTTCATTCCCTCATCCATCTATCAGCCTCTGTGTCTGGGAAAGCTTCAGAGTAAGGATGTTCATCAAGCCAACCGTCTGCCTTCTCCTTGATAGAATACTGAGCAAAAAAATCGTGGAGCCGGCCGTTGAGGTCTTTGAAGTAAAGTTCAGACAAGATTTTTGGTTTTGAGTGGAGATAGATGGTGTCTTTACTTACGTTGGAGGGGCATGCCAAAGGATGGCTGCAGAGAGAAATGCGGGACTGAGATAAGACTCAGGGTGAGAGAAGGCGGAATTGGCGTTCCTGCAAGATGTAAGGTTTGGTTTATTTACGACGTATTGATTTTACGGGACGCTGGATTGCTACCCTTTGGTATGGTTAATATATATGGGATATCGGCTTTCATGCCCTCATCCTCTCGATCAAGCATTTCATCATAGTATTGTCGCACCATTTCCTGAAAATTGAACGTATTCGGATACATTACTGCACCATTGCAGCCTGAAGGTCATCATGATTAACCAAGCCGATACGGGAGAGACTAATGACTGATGACTTGAGTGGTGAACTCACCAAAAGCAGAAGACTTGGAAGGCGACGGATAGACTAGCCCATCTTCATTCACGAGCACGCTGTCTTCAAACAAATCATGAGGCCGTCTTCCTTGCTCTGCTCTGTCGTAAAGTATCGTTGGAGTTGGGCGATAATGGTGTAGTGTGGCAGGGAATGACCCTGAGTAAGCGGCTTTTATGGAAAGCTGGCGAGCCCAGAATTTGGGCGGGTTACCCAGTAGTAGTCCTCTAGCCTTTTGAGCGAACATGGCGACGCGAATGACAACGGATGGTAGATCGGCCTCTGCGACTGATTTCTAAAGATGATGTTGTGTCGAGAAGATCTGGTCGGATGATGAGCTATTCCGAATTACTAATGGTAGTTTAGTGGATCCTGTCCCCTGAACCCTTTTGAAACACAATCTGACAACGAAATCTGGAGATACTTGGTGAAATCTCACTTCCAACACTGTTCTCAAAATGGGGGCTCTGAAATTGATCCAGAGCTTCAACAAGTTCCCCAAAGAAATTTTCCGTGTAAATAATGGTATCTCCGTGAAAGCACGTGCCTGGTCACCGCAGCGCCGTGTCTATGACATTGTTGCTGATGGTGGCCTGGTCATGCCGAAGGCGCTCAACCCCACGACCTATACTGGTTTGTATAAATTCACTGTCTCTGGTTTGATTTACTTGACGTACTAAAACATGTTCAATAGCCCCTAATGGAGTATCGCTGCGACCCAACTCACCGTACCAGCAGTCACTAGTGTCTTGGAGGTTTCGAGGCCAAGATATTCGTATATATGCCGTCCCTCAAGGTTTGTTTGACGCGTAGCCTGCGCGTACTATGAACCTGCTAACATCTTTGCGAGGAACTGAAATTCCCAATGATCTTATCTTGGTTCATGAACGCTCTGATCATTATTCTCTCCAGCCAGCCACTACAATGACCCTTGAGCGTAAGCCGCCTTCTTCTAACGGAATGTCAAAAAGTCATTTAACAAAGCTCCAGATTTCAACATGAGAGTAACTCAGTTTCTGACGAGTAATTCAACTGTATTCACACAGGAAGCATGGATTCAAGCGTACCCCAACGCCACGGATAACTCCTGAGGCGGAAATTAAAATTGCGCACCGGAGTGATTACTAGTAGTTGAGATATCGAAGGGCAAAAACAGTAATCACTTTTTCGTATGATAGTATTGGTGATAAAAATTCCACAATCTCTTCTCTCGGAAAAAGAAAAGGAACTGTATAAAATCGCGAAAACGCAGCTATCTTTTCTTTATATGCTTGGTTAGTGTAATGCTTATATGTAGGTAGCGTAGATAGCTATAGACCAGCAAGTTGAAGACTAGGGCCGTACAACTGCTTAAACAGGACTACTTTTCTTGCGACCCCTCCTTTCCCACGGCGATTTCATTGGCCATTGCAGAATCCTCTGAAAGCTCTGCACTTTAAACGCAAAGGTAATAAAAATAGCGGAGATCGCGAACGAAACCGGGACTAAAAGCTGTTTGGTCATTTTCTGCCTTCAACACTCAAGGATCTAGAGGAACTCACACATTATGTCTGAGACATAGCCTAACCCTAGAGTACCACCCGCGTCGCGCTGGAACTCGGTGATGTTGATAGCAAAGAATGCTGCCATGAAAGACAGCGGCAGCTCCGATAAATTAGTACCGGTCTACAAACTATCCATGCTACATCGCTAGGGAAGCTGAACAACAGCGCAACACTTACAAAGACAATAGTGGTAACCGTGAATATCAGCAAAACTTTGCCCTGTTTCTCAGACTGTAATGTCATTTTGTAAGAGGCTTGGGCTTGAATGCGAGTTGCTCGAGCGTCCATCACATTGCTCTGCTTCTGCTTTAAGTCAACAAGAAAATTTAGCTGTATAGCAATGAAGGTTAGCAGATAATACACTTCAAGGGGACCCGAAGTCCTCCTAACCAGGGAGGGTAAGGGTACCAGGGTTTCATACAGCTTTGTATGTCCTCTCCGCGCGTTGAATCATCATCTCTACACCCTCAGCGCATTGTAGGACCACGCGCAACGGAAAGCTGGAATTTGGTGGACTGTGGCTGGCCCCCCAAATGTCACCATTGTAGATATCCCTATCCGCTGATTGGGTGATGGACACATCGTTGTTAAGCGAGATACTGATTGTCCCTGCGTTCCCTCCAATCTGTATAACGCTTTGTGTACTGGGTCTTTGAACATGGCCTTTCTGCGTTCCGCCCTCTGCCTTCTCTAGGCTGGGATTGAATCGAGCATTTGTGTGCTCCTGTTCATAGAGATCTTCATCTGAATATTTTCCAAAGTTTTCAGTCTCATGACTTTGTTCATTTGGGTCGGGCGATGCCAACAAGTTGGCATTTCTAGGCGCTCGAGAAGCTGGCTCCGAAGCCGGGGCTTGCATTGAGCGACTTATTCTCTCCATTTTCTATAGCACGGCTCTCTGATTCTCGAACACCATAGATATAATGCTGAGTTCATCTTGGATGTCTTTAATCTTGCGCAATAGTCCTATTTCTCGAGTAATATCAAGAATGTTGGATATGATGAGCATCTGTAGGAACCTGGCGGCCTCTTCGGCGAATTCCGGGTTTGTAGATTTGAGGATGGCATTAATATCCTTATCCATGGCAATTTCCTGAGCTTTTGTGTCATCATTGTACTTCATCAGAGTTCTTTTGAGCTCGAAAGTACGATCCTCGCTAAAAGAAGTCCGAGACTTCAACTCTCTCAGTGTTTCTAACATTTCTCGAGTCGTAGTCGTAACCGTCGAGCGCAAGTCTAACGTCGCGTTGAAATCATCAAAGAGCTCGGCCTCTTCATTCATCTAAGCACGTGTTAGATAATTCTCCTTAAGTGCCGTCGACCCGCAGATTAAATTACGCGGTGAGACAACAACCGATTACTTACAATGTTACTAATAGAGCTTTCATATACGTCCGCAAACCGCAAGCCTGTAGGGGGAATTGAGGAGTCTAAGAATGCTCTAGAGCACATGCTGGCAATCACTCCGACCAGGTCATAAGGATTCCTCACAGTTTGAGGCTCTTGTGGAAGATAATGTTTGATTTTTTGCAAGACTTCGGTCTTTCCAGCCGGGTCTCGGGATTCACCGGTGGTAAGGTCCGAAGCCTGTTTGCTCGGGAAGCATGAAATGACTGCCTGGGCTCTCTTTGAAGGACCTACAAGGACCCAGAGCCATAGTTGGTCTGCCACCGCTATAATCTTCGGCTTGTTTGGGAAATAGGTGGTTTGATACCGAGAGACGGCTTGGTCTCCGTCCCTTTTCTTCGTACTTTTTAACGAGTGGTAGTAGAATTGATCCAAGGTTCTTCTAGTGTGCATTAAGTGAAGGGGGTGATTGCTTTTATCGTAGACATATTGATGTAGTAGTTTTTGTTCTTTGGTCCACTCGTCATCCATGCATTGACCATGGTTTTCAATGACAGTATTCCTTTCGATATAGGCCTTTTCTTCATCCCAATGTAAGTATGGCATCTATCTTCATTTTAGTGAAGTTCTTTGATATCTTGCTCATTGAACGACTCACAAATAGTACGACATCTTTGTCTGCATTGTCCTGTTCTTGGATTGGCGTCGAACTAGCTGTGACACATAACGTCAAACTCCCGTATCCTATGTGAATACTTGTGTTGTACATATTGCTCACTATCAACTTCATTTGGAACTGGATCGCATAGAGGCTGCATGAATCTAGCTTGCGGAGATTCATTTGATCCATTATGCTGTCGTTTGACCCATCGGTCTGGCTTCAAGATTCTGAGACTCGATGAGGAATCATTCTTATAGAGTTTATGAATCAAGACCTATTCAAAAAGTTAATCGGATAAATTGAATTGGCAACCTAATCCATTTATTGCTCTCCTTACCTCTACCCATCGCATCTGATGAATAATTAGTGAAGCCTTTCGGATATTAAGAGTGGGACAGTGAATTAAACTTACGTTGTTTGCAGGCAAATGATACCATCGGAAAGAGGTTCCACGACTATCCTCCGGCAGCGCGATATCACTCTCTTTGCCTAGAAATTTATCGATAGGTACTTCTGAATCTTGTGGCGAGAAGTTATACCCAGGGTTAAACTCTATAATAGTGGCGTTGAAAAGCTTGTCTGTTTCGCTATGCAAATCTTGAGTGGATGTCGCCAGTTCCCCATTCTCGTCATCCCACGAAATCATGCTGAGAATAAGAGGTTGACTTTTAGCAACGTCTGCCGGCGTAGACAATATATTGCTGTTAATCGAAGTATCTGGTGGAAATAATGGTTTGTAGGTAAGAAGAATCATGCGGCGATTTTTCTTTCTCTTTCTTTATTCCGATTTGACTGCATGAATAGCTTGGTTAATCGCACACACTCCTCAGGGACCTTAAATTTGGATTGGATCAGTACCGTACCATTGAATGAGGAACAGAGGGAAAGGATATTATGCAAACATTATCTCAGCTCTTGCATGGCAAACTAAGATTTATTGGCTAACTGGCCAATAGAAGGTAACACCTAATGTAGGTAAGATTTGTGGCGTTTGTAAGACGACCAAGTATTTAATCTGTTAACGTAGGTAGAAAGATACTTATAACCTTTTTTGAGAAGCAAATGATTGGCTAGTGTTGTGCATAACTATTTAGTATTGGTGATTTTTGAGGGTTGTATGCATATGTAGGGAACTTATGAAGGGGCAAACTAGGACGTGGCAACAGGTTATTGGGTAGTTGCTTCTCGTATCTGTTACATGTGGCTTGGTGTGACTGCCATCTTTCCTGACCGATTTCCCCATCAAGAACTGGCGTTCTAGGGCAGGAGAGAAAACCCTCGGCCTATCTAAGGGGATACTATGTATGAGCTTCTGTGACACTCTACTTCTGAGAAGGGCAGAGCAGGTGGGAATGATTTGGTGGGATAGATATCATGGCTCAACCGGTTGGTGACGAGAGTTCTACCTTGCGCGTTGATCATAGCATAGGATGCTTATGACGCTTTCATCTTATTGAGAGTGGGTTTATAAAGTTATGCTGTCTGATAGCGAATGAATAGCCTCGGAGTCTAGGGGGATTATGTGTAATGGAATCAATGATGAGGATATTGTTTATGTTGGACCCGAGATTAGCAGTGGAGGAAGATTCGTTAAGAAATTAAAGCATCGATAATCGCCTAACAACAATGTCTTTGATGGACATGTGATATATCAGTCACTGGAAGTATAAGCTAGATGCGAGTACTCCTCCCTAGGAAGTGGTGCAGCTCGCCTTCCCAATTGCTCCTACGCTACTGATTCTCAGTTTCAGGCTCTTCAGCCTCAAAACCGATATCAAAGCCCAGCTTCTTCATCACGACAATAGAAACCATGCCCGCCTCCGTTTCCGTCATGACGTTAAACACATCAGCAGCTGCCTTTAAGAGTCTCCCGTCCTGAACACCTCCGTCGATCCCACTCGCCGCCATCAGGATATACCCGATTATCCACGGCAGCTGGTTCTCCCGTTCCATGTACGCGGGCGTGTACAGCTCGCGGAGCAGCGGATCGCATTCGTTCTTGACTTGCCGGAGGAGGTTCCAGCACCAGCGATGCATCAGCGTGTAGGGGAAGGCCATCTCCAGAGACTCAAAGTGCAGAGCAAGAATGAGGGCCTTGACCAACTCCTCTGCCGTTGGCATATCGTTCTTGTCCTTTTGCTGGCCTTTGCCCTTGCCTTTCACGGGGGCGTCGAGCTGGGACATGATTAGTCGATTGTCGCTGGGCTCCTCCACGAGGGATCTGCTTCGCGCAAGAATGTCTTGGACCATTTCTGGGGTCCAGTTCAGTTCGGACTCATGACTGGAGATGAATTCGGCCGTGAACTTTGAAGACACGGGGCAGCCGTCCTTGATACCTCGCGGTCCTGCCCGGGAATGGAGAGTGCCGATCTTCTTGCGGCGGTTGGTTGTAAAGGCAGAGGCTGTGACGCCCATCTGCAGGCAAAACTTCTTGAAGCAGTCGCCGATCCCAATCGGTCTCTCGTCGCCGACCCAAACACTGGATTCTCCAAGTAGAGACAAGGTGAGGTCCATGTCGGGCCACAAACCCTGCAGGAGGTTCTGATGTCGAAGAGCGTTGTAGAGATGGGCTGTATAGGTGATTGATCCCCAGGCATTGGAAATTGCGATTCCGGCATCCCACATGTCATACCGGGTGCGGTAGAGGTACAGGCCAGCGAGGACGGGTGAGTAGATCAGGATACGGTGAAGTTCCATCTGTGGCGAAACTGGCACACCCATGCTTTTCATGACCTTGGACTTGACCTTGTGAATAGGGTCAGAGCCCATCCACTGGATCCTCTGGATAAGCTGCTTTAGCCCCATGTCGTTGGAAGCAGGCCAATTGTCGATGCGGAGGTTTTTGTGGTACTCGAGGTACGACTTAAGGTGTGTCTCTACGGCCGATGTTTGCTGGACCATGATGTTGAAACTACTCCGGGCGGCGTCTCTCATTGTGTGGTTGATGTCGAGCAGGATCTGGACTGCGAAGACTAGAGAAAACGGAACCGTCTTGGTCTTTTCCAGGACCCGCATCCCACGGAGAACCTCGTCTTCGACTGGGTAGCCAGGCACGCAACGGATAACCGTGATGAACTCGGTGAACAGCTCCATGATGATAATTTGGTCCTCGAGAAACTTTTGGCGACCCGACTTCTTGGTGCGGTCACTCTTGGCGTCATAGTGACCGAAAAGGCCCTCCTTGATCAGGGGCAGCTGGCTGGGCTGGAGCACATCCGCGCAGCTAATTAGGAGTCGATAGGCGACTAGGTACGCCTCGTTAGTTAGCTCATATAGGTCGTACGGGAAATTGTCGTCGCCGTCGAGAACCAGTTCATCGAGGGTGTATCCTTTCCTGAAGCCAAGGATGAGAAAGAATTTATTGAGGAGACCATAGGCTCCTCCCTCGTAAAGGTTGAGCATTGGTTCAACCTCATCAATCATGCCACGGGCTAGGGCAACTGCAACATTGGTCGCGACAGCGGCAGCACCCAGGTCAAAGAAGCCGTCTCGGTGGTTGCTCCAAATCCACTCAATGCGCGAGCGGATCTTCATGAGGTCATTCATCAACAGAGTCAAGGAGAAGAGCATCTCCTCGAGAGAGACTTGCTCTTCAGCAGCGTAGGCAACCGGGTCTTGTTCTTGCGCCTTGGGTCGCTTGATCGGTGTGTTGACGAAATCGTCGATGAACGCTTGAGAAGGATCGTCCACATTCAGAGCTGCGAATTTGTTACCGAGATCCTCGGCCGTCGTCTGGAAGGGTGAGGCGCTGGGGGAAGGCGAACCCTTGTCGGCCGATGCGGCTGCCTCTTCGGGGGTCATACGTGGTCGCAGACTGTCTCGTACAGCCTGGAGGACGCCGACAAAATAGCCGTGCTTTTCGTCCCCCTTAGAGTCTGGCTCCGCGCCTGATTCAGTTCGCATCTGGCCATATCCAGCTCTGAGCGTGATGACTCGATTGAGGGTCTGGGAGAAGACGGCGGGCACCGCCACGGAGGGGTTGGTTCGGCCGGCAATGAAGTTTGCCAGGGGGAGGAAGTCCCTGATGGCTACAATGTACTTGTTGGTCTTTGGGACTGCTTTGGCCTTTCCTGATGCCTTGGCCTGCTTCCTCTGCTTCCCCTTGAGCCTGCTGCTCTTGGCTTGCGGCGCGTCCCACGCCGGCGAAGCAAGGAGATCAGCGGGGTAGCCGCATGACTTGGCTGTGGAGGCGAGCCATGCAGCAACGGAATCGGTGTCTTCCTTGTACTGGCGATAGACGCCCGAGAGCTGGCTCGGAAGCATCTTGGCGATGCGATGCGAGGGGGTGGGGATCGGGCAATCGACGCTTTTTTTGCGGAGAAGAGCGGTGGGAGGAGCCCGTACAGGCTGGGGTAGAGTGGAGAGAGGAAGAATGGTCTACAGATGAGCGAGCGGGGAGGACAGACTTTTGTTCGCGTTGGGCGTTGGGAGGTTTTGCTTTTTCTGTTCTGCCGACTTCGAGTCCAAAGTGCAGGGCGGTGAGTTGGGCACAATCACGCCCAATGACGGGCGGCAGTTACATTAAGTTGCACAGACGCGACACGCGGTAAGAGTTCGCTTATGGGATGAATGCACTATCTTTTAGTCATAGTGAGATACTCTTCACCAGCTACTGAGCTCGTTGAGAAAAGTTGAAATCTCGGAATCTTGAATACACCTACAATTCGCTGCCAAACGCAACTATGGCTCAGTGAACGGAAAGGTAGCTGCAGGCACTATGCTGCCGATCGATAAGGAATTTCCAGAACGGGTAGCCTAAATGAAAAGAAGGGTCAAGTAGCTAGGCTTGAGAGTTGCTGGGCTGGTCACTTGTCTGATGGTCAAGGACACATGTTCCTAGCTAGCACCGGAAAGAGATGTGTCTATTATAGCCTCTCAGTATGAAGGTTTATAGAATTTTCCCCCACATGACTGCAGCCTTGGGCTAGCGAAGCGTTGTTTACCCTTCGTATTTATTGTATTGAGTTGTCGGGTTCTGGCATCTTCCGTTGCTGTTTAACTTTATACCCAAACTCTCTTCCGTCTATAGCCTCATGCACATATGAGATAGGTTGCGTTTCCCCTGATGCAATACACATCCATGAGAGTGACTGAGACTGACTACAGAAGCCTTGCCGATCAATCTCATCGCAAATAAAGATAGCCGCATATTTGGCTACTCAGATTCCGTTCATTCTGCCGAAGAAAATCAGTAAATTTATCAGAAATGGTATGGATTCTCTGCCTAAAGCACAAACCTTAGGTATTCGTTCGAGCAACGCGTGGCGGCAATATCCCATCACACCAACAAGCTCACTGCGTAACTTCGCGCCCATACACCACAGCTCATCCTCGATAAATCGGTCTCCGGGCACCGAGAATGGCGGAGAATATTCATAGGTACGTCGTTCGGTTAAACTGATTCATCATGGTCAAAGCATACGCCCGGATGAATTCAGGGTTCTGCCGTTGGCCGACGCGCGCTAAGAGATAGTTGAGCACGAATCCTTGTGCCACAAGAGTAAGAAAGACGAAGGCTGTTTTGATTCTGTCCTTTACGGAGCGAGGTCCCGCAGATTGTTGGCCGAGTCGAAATATAACCACTAGGGTTAGGAGCATCGAGAAAACGTGGGCCGCGAGAACACTGTCCCTTACTCTCTCTATAGCAGCTTCTTTCGTTTGAGCCATTCTTTAGTACTTTGCAGGTTCTGTTGTCGTACTGGACCAGGGGAGGAGTTGGGGATTGCCGTAGTCGGATGTGGGAAAGTTGTAGCTCTCTGTATAGGTTGTTGCCTTTTTTCTCCCAGAAATGTTGTGATAAACTTGTTTGCCTAATGTGGGTCACTTGGACAATGAGAACCTCTGCATGTCACTGACGTGTTTGATGTTCTAAAACATGAGTGTGGCAGAGAAGGTGAAAATGAATAGTTCCTTTTCATTCCCAATGTGGGTATTCCCTATATTGGTGACGTGTGATGAAAGAGTTAGATAATGCTGACTTCCTTCTAGACTTGTTCCTAGCAATCCTGGAATGCAAGACGGTAGCTCAGATTTGTTTGGATGAACATTTTCGATCATTTATTATTTGACGAGACCAAACATTGTAAGGTTATTTGTTTCTGACTGATTGCTTAAGGTGCAGGTCGGGTGACACGTGTTGGAATGCTGAGAATTGAGACAATAAATAGCAGTGTATCATTCAGCTTGCTAAATACCTAATCTAAAACAATAACACCAACTCCATGAGTTACCCTCCCATTTTTCAAAAACTATTACTAATCATTTACAGTTATTTTAAATGCATTTCCAGTATGGTAACCTGTCAGTCATCCATCCACTGGTGTGCATCAGGCTCGTCTTCCGTTGAGACATGCCGGGCGCATAGCCCTGGCCCATGGCTATTTTATCGTCCATCTTGCACAGATCCTCTGTAAAGGACCACATCATGCATTCGGTCCATGATTTACATGCGGCTTCGCAAGCCTCGGCCGACTGCCAACCCTGCTTCCAGACAGCCTCATCATACGAGCTTCTGTCTTCAGGAGCTGGGGGCCACTTTTGGTTATCAGAGGTGATAGAGAACTGACTGGCCCCGTTCTCCCACCACTGAGCGGGCTTTTCAATATGTGGCAGAATCATCTCATTGAAAAAGTCGCGGTGTAGGAATGGCTTCTAAATACAGTTAATTGTTAGCATACTGTGACATGTAAGTTTAGGGTGATTGGGTTGGACGAACCGAAAAGTCCCAACGCTTCTCCAGCTCATAGTATTGGGCCACGTCCCGACTATGAGTCTTGTGCCACGACATTAATGGATAACACCAATTCGATCTGCTGAAGGAAAAGGCCCAGTGAACAAGAGGGTTGAAACCCCAGGTGAACAGCTCTTCACCGTCATTCTCGCCAAACTTGACGCCGTACTGGTTCAAAGCGTAACCGAGCACCTGGTCTCCACAGCACCTCTCGGCCGTGTAGTTATACAAGGTCTCTGCCATGTTTGGGTTCTTCCCGAACGACGCCTCCCAAGCACCTCGCGAGAGAGCAAAGCCCGCACCGCCCTGGGCGAACACGACGTCCGACTTGGCGGCATAGCTGCCCAACCAGTGCGGCTTCCGCCAGTCGAACCCAGACAGGTAGCGGCGGATGCTGGGGAGGAAGAGGTAGGCGTCGTCTTCCATGTAGACGTACCACTTGGCCTTGGGCCAGTTCTCCCCCGCATGCTGCACCAGGGGCACGAACTTGTACTTGTCGATAATCCACCCGCCCTGGGGACCCCATTCATCCCCGTTCACGCCCGCAGCCTCTACGTAGAAGTTGTGGGCGTTGTACTCGGGCTGCTGTCGGTACACCTCAAAGTCGGGCGCCTGCTTCGCCTCGTCTGTCATGTTTGCGAGCACATCAATGATGGTGAAGTCGCCGACCTTCTCAGCAAGGTCGGAATAGATGACGATGTTTTTGGGAGAGATTCGCTCTTTTGAGAGTGATGTGGAGAGATGCACAAGGAGCCGCTTCCACATTGTGGTGCCTCCAGTTTTCATGATGAGAAGAATGTCATCATCGTCATCTTCGGCCACAGCAGGGACCGAAGCGACTGGTTCTGGTGTTTTAGATTCGACTGGCTTGTCGTTCTCAACATGGCCGCTGGGGCTATTGAGTGGTGCGCTGGTGGGAGCGCTTGGAAGGGACTTTGTTGTTGTGTGCAATGGCTCTGGTGACTCAACCTTCATCTGATGTGGAGGCTGATTGGTTGTTTTTTGGACACCATGACCGTAGTTCTCAACGCTTGGGTCAACCAGCCAGAAGAGAAGGATAATACATGTAGCCATTATTACGGCTGGCACGAGCCGGTTATTCCGGTAGGTGACGACCATGTTGCCCTTCATCTTGGCGTAACCTGCAGGACAATAGACACCGCTGAAAGAAAGACAAGAATGTTGAGGTGGGCTGTAAGTAATCCTATAACCGACAGCTGGGAATGAAAGGGGTAGAAATGACTCAAATTAGATTATTAGAGTGAGTGCCATCGTATCGGGGGTAATAATACGCCCGGGTGGCCCGGCTGCCTGGTGCCCAGCAATTGAGTCCTTTAGAAACTTCCCCAAGGCCAAGAACTTCGCCCGGTAAGCGGCAGATGTTCTAGGGCCTACAGAGATAACGGCCAGGGGTTTACGGCCTTGATCAATTTGCCATCGATGAATTCGTCCACCTCCGGGGGGCAAAAGATCAAAGATCAAACGATAACGAAGGCGTCTTACCAGAAGAAGCAAAGCATGAAAAGCATGGCTCCGCAAAACGGAGCGGCTGTAGCATTGGTTACTGAGATGAGAAGGTAAGGCAGAGGGAATAGGCAGACACGGGTCCACACGAATGTAACGCTGACTTGCTGTCGGCAAGCCTTACGGAGTAATTTCTGATTTCTTAACTCTGACCCTCACCGGCGGGAATTCGTGAATTTTGTCACGAAGTGGCGCAGTGGAATCATTGAATCCTTTTGATGCCAAGACCCGAGCTGATATCTCAGCGCATTGCGCGATGTTACATCTCGTATAAGCAACAGCGCGATATAGAGAAAGGTGTCGAGAATGCCTAACGCATCAGTCACGCGTTCGGTCTCGTCGAAATTTTCACTGGTAATTACTCGCCGCTAGCTTCTGCTCGGTGATCCTACGGTCCCCATCCCCCATGTCCACAGTTAGGGCTTTCGGATATAGTGATATGGCGGCGAAGCACTTTCGGCAACGGCGGGCCTAGACCGTTGAATGGGTTAAGGCACATGCAGAATGCTGGAACAAGGTGAGTAACTAGGCAGCTGGGCAAATTACATGACAATTCCATGATGACACAATTTGTTGAAAACCCGCCGCAGCCCACATGTTAGAACGTGGTTGCATAGACACTACACTGGTACTTCTCCTGAGCTGATCCGGGTTTAAGCCCATCCTCTACCGTCATTCTTTTAATTCTAATCAACGCTCGTTAATCTTTAATACACCACGTCTAGAAAATGGGTGTGAGAGAAGTGTACCAGCAGGGTGGCTACGGTACGACTGTAGCCAGTCCTCGGCATGTTTCCGTCCTTCGCCAAGTGGTCAATGTTCTGGGCTGCCTCGCCTCCCTGCCATTGTATTGGTTTATCACCGTCCACTGTCGGTGGCCAGTGACACTGGATCTGATCATCACGATCGGACTGGCGGAGCTGAACCGCTATATCAATGAGGGTCGAAGACTAGCCTTCCTTGATGAAGCAAGCTATGACTCCGAGTCTGACATCGAGGAGAAGAACCACCATGAGATCCATGCTTTGCGAATCGACGAGAAGTCGATGTCTCCTGTGGAGTCGGGATCAGCGTCCTCTCAGTTAGATTGCCTTGCTGCGATCGTCGGTTGGCGGGAGGACCCATCGCTCTTCACCAGGGCCTTGGAGAGTTATAGAACAACTCAGAATTGCGCATTCGTCCTCGTTGGTATCGACGGCAATGAAGCCGAGGACATGGACATGGTCCATGTCTTCAATAATGTAAGTTACCAACAAGCCATTCCAAGGTATACGAGACTAACTCAATGTACAACAGGTCTTTCCCAAGCAATCCCATGTGATCGACGTCCCAGAGCCCCTAGGCGAAATAGCCCATCGGGTTCGGAACAGAGAAATTGCCAAGCGCGAACGAAACGGCGAAAAGATAAATTACACTGAGATTGACGAGATCGCTGTTCGTCAGTGTATCCAAATAGCCCGCTCGCTGATCTCTCAGGCCAATCTTACATTCAGTGGCCCTTTCGGGACTCGTCAACTCTGTCTCCGACAACAACACATGCACAAGAAAGGCATCATGTTCACCACCTTCATTTTCGCTCTTGTGATATCGGATATCATGGGTATCGAGTTTCTTTGGAGTTCTGACTCTGATACGTTGGTGTTTAATGACTCGTTGAGCCGGACTGTTGATGCTATTGCCATCGATCAAAGCATTGGCGGAGCGAGTTCCGGTCTGGTAGTTCACAACGGCCAAGAGAGCCTCGTAACTCTCCTTGCTGAAACGGTATACTGGGGCGAACTATATCTGACCCGATCAACCCCTGCCGCCACCGCCTCAAGCGATTGTCAGAGCGGACCCAGCACCATCTTTCGACTGGCTGCTTTGCCGCCCATCCTGCTCCCTTGGTATACTCAGACTATTATGGGCAAGAGAATGGTAAGATAATAATCTACTGAACTTTGGAAGACCTTAAACTGACAGTACCGTGCCCCTAGATCATCAATGAAGATCGCCACCTCACCACCAACCTCCTCAAGTCTGGATGGGGTGTCGTTTTCGCATCCGATGTCCTCACAGCAACTGACACTCCCGCATCTCTCTCCCGTTGGCTTCGTCAACAGGTACGGTGGGCGCGGGCTACCCATATCGAGTCGTTGCTACAGCCCCGTGTATACCTCAAGAGCCACCCTCTTCTCTTCCATGGCATGGCCAAGCGCGAGTTTGGTCCAGTTCTCGCCGCTATTGCCATGATTTATTATTTCTTCACTGCCAAGCAACTCATCGTGTTCTCTGCCACCGATCTCTTCTTCCGCTGCATCGTGGGACTGGTGTACAACGTTCTCCGTAACCCCCATCGCTTGAGAACCAGCTCGCTGAAATGGGTCATACCCGGCATTGTGTTCTACCATGTTCCCCTGCCCGCTGTGCATCTGTGGAGTATGTTGACTCTGACGGCGGATGGTTGGGGCACCAGCATGCGCGCAAACAGCGAGCAGGCAAAGAAGGATAGCACCTGGCAGGCGTGGTGGGAGAACGGCTTCTTCGTGATCTGGATGGGTGTCGTTGCTGGGTCGGCCGCGAGGTGGATGATGACCAATGTGATCCATGATCTCAGCCATTCTGTGTCCATGTTGGTGTTCTTTGGCAGCATAACGGTTGCCGGGATGCTTGCATGGAAGGCGACTATCGCATCCTCCTGAGTTGGCCGGCTTCATTTGAATCAAGCCTCTGTAATACTCAGGAGGCTTCATGAATAAAGAATAGAAAATCAGGCGATAAAGGTATTAGATTATACTGCTTCTTTTGAATAGACTATAGAGAGATTCATAAACAAACAAGATACCTAAACCAAGTAATCAGTGTCATGCCATAAACACAGGGCCAAAGACAGCAGTGAATATTGCTTGTACGTACAATGACATAGATTCGAAACTGAGGAAAAACTCAACAACGGCTAGAACTACGTATATAAAAGCGATCAAAAGCGATCAAGATGAAGCTACTGTGCTGGAAGCTCGTCACGGGTAATAACCCAAAGCTTCTTTGAGAACGGCCCCTTGGAAACCCACGTCACATGCATTCCAGAAGTCAAGCCAATGAGGTCACCAGCCTTGAAGTTGTGTTTCTTGCCACTCTCTGTCTCCGTAACCTCCACTTCTCCCTCCAGAAGGAAGATGGTCTCATCACCAAGTACCCCGGTGTAGGGCGTAGTCATGGAACCCTTCTCGTCGAGATGCGTCGCTGCGATGCCTTTGCCGGAGCGCCAAACCCCGCTCAGCATTGTGCCTGTCGTCCCGCTATTTCGAATAAAGTAGAGCTCTCCGGCCACCAAGTCGCCCTCCTTGGGCTCTGTGAAGTGGTAGTCGGCCCAGTCGGCCGGGCTGTCGCTGACATTGTTGATGCCGAGGTCAGTCGGGGGATTGGAAGTATTATCGGTCCCGTTCCAGATACACCACCATTTCTTGAAGAAGGGGGCATCGATCTCCCAGAGAACCTCCAAGTTCTTGGGCGAGCTGATGATTGTGCCAGGGCCGACAGTGTACTTCTTGCCGGTCGAGACAACGGTGAGCGTCGCGCTGCCGTCAATGACACAAGCAGTCTCGTCACCGAGGGGCGCGGAGTATATGAGCTTGGAGGAGCCATCCGCGTTGGCCCCGGGAGCCGAGGCAGAAGTCCTCCAGAAACCGGCGGTGAGGCTCCCACTTGTTCCGAACTTGCGGGCGACGGTCACCTCGCCAAACACCTGCTTGCCGATTTTTGGCTCTTCCCATTCAAAGGGCACCCACTCAGTGGTAGGTGGGATTGGGCTGCTGCCATGGACAATGTGTGTTTTAGGTTGGGCCATTATGGGATGATATTCGTTAAGCGCAGGGAGGATGTTGATAGGAATATTTGTTATTGAAATAAAGCTGCTTGTTGGATTGCGTTTCAACCGGTGATGAATCCTTTATTTATCTACTTGGTGACTATTCTCATTCCGCATTATTGTCAGCCGTCCGGGACAAGAAAAGAACAACCCCGCTCTGCGGTATACTCAGATCCGCAGATATGAAGCTATACCGAGTCATGTCGAGTGGAATGGGCTGTTAGCTTGCGGAACCTTCACATCCGCTCGTAATCTCCAGTGACATTACCCTGGCTCACCACGTAACACACTTGATAACAGCCAGCCAGAGCCCTCGTGACCTACATTTACGGGTGAGATCATTCACTCATCACCCGCTAACTATTCTTGGTCTTTGAGCGCTAGCCAAAGCTTCTCCGGGGTACACCATTAACTTGGAGGACCTCGGCACTTGGTTGATTGATACACCATAAAACACCATAAGGGATGTTTGCTTTGCCATAGTCAGACTGCAAAGTCACCAAGCTGGCCGGCTTACTTGCCATGCGAATAAACAGTAAGATAGTCTGCAATCGAAGCTTCCTACGGACTTGAACGATACATACTTCAGCCCAAGCAATTAGCGACAATTGATATCCATGGCATTTGAAACCACAAAGTCAAAAGTTTTTTCTTCTTCTTTTTGTGGTAAGACCATTCTGATTAATTCTCTGATATTTAGGTGTAAACCCCATCTACGATGGAATCCTTTGTATGATTGTGTACATCAGCTAGCAGATTAAACTATATCTGAAATATGCAACATCACATGCAGCAAGAGCCGTCCCTATCACTTAGAATGAGGACATTCTGCAGCTTTCTTCTCTCCCTCAGCCCCCTCTTTAGCCTCCTCCTTTCCATCGGCACCGATGATTGCGTCCTTGAAGACCGCAAAGCTGGAAGGCGTCTCCTCCAAGACGGGGAAGTGAAACCCGCATCCGGGGCACTGCTCGTGCAGCACCGCCTGTTCCTGCGCGAGGTCGTACTTCTTGTCCTGGGTGTGGTTGCAGACGGGGCAGACGCGCAGCAGCCGCGTGCCGACGAGCTCAAAGTTGGTGATGATGTCCTCCATGATGGCGCCGTTGGCGGCCCACGCCTTGCAGTGTTTGTGGTATGTGTCCTTGTGCCAGCCGTAGAGGGCGCCGCGGCTCGTCCAGAACGAGCACTCGTTGTACCACGTGGGATCGTCTGGGTGCTCCCACCACGTCAGATGGAGGAAGCCGTCGAGCTTCATGAGGTGCCGCCGCGTGTCGGCGAAGAGCACCTTGAACTTCTCGTATGCGTCGGGGCTGGAGAAGCGCACCCGCTGCATGCTCAGGTAGATGGGCATGATGGAGGTTTGATATAGGACGGAGTGTATTTAATCAAACGACAAGGGCAGAGGCGCTTTGGAGAAGTGTAGACGAGTAAATATAGCGTAAGGAGGTAAACAATTGAAAACAACCAAGAGAGTGTCTTCTGCCCATGGTAGACAGACGAGCTTTTATGCTGCTCATCAAGTGCTCATGTAACAGACACACATGCATGGATATTTCTGCCTAATTCGTCCATCGACGGCAGTCACCATCGGACTTCTCGAGTCCGATGCATTGTACTCGACGTAGATGCTATTGGTCCGCGAGACGGTCTGTCCTGATAAGCAATACCCGTACATTATGTGCGGATGTGCGGATGTGCCATTCCGCCCCCGCATTAGCCTCTTTCTACCCCGCGTTTGCTCTATCAAACGGGTTCTCGATGGGCAAATCAAGTGCTTGCTATTTGTTTTGCCTTTTGCTGGTTCCCTGCCAGGCATGTCACCACTCTCTCGCTACTGGAACGATGTCGAAGGATGGTTATCAGCCACCAGCTGCCAGCTGCTGTCCTGGCTGATGGCCCAGTGCATGGCCTCGAGCTCGGCGTTGCTGATGCCCAGACCAGCGGGAGGGAGGTCCTGCCACAGGATCGAGTCGTAGCTCTCAGCCGACGCGGTCTCGACGGCGCCCCCCAAGCCCTCGCCCACTCCGTCAAAGGCCAAGCAAGGCCCCGGGGTCGAGACCAGCGCGTGGGTCACGCCCCATCTCGTGGCCAGGTTCTGGATGTATCTTATCGCGCGGCTGGCCTGGAAGTGCCACATGCTCTGGATGTCCTGCAGGCTCTCCAGGCAGATCTTTAGTCGGTGCCAGGAGAACCGCTGGACGGTGGCGTCTGTCGAGGTGGCGAGGAGCAGGTGTATCGTGGCGGCCCGCACCGTGAAGTAGATGACGACCGGTGGCGAGTCAGTCAGTTTGTGGAATTCCCGAAATCGAGAGAGGAGGACGGTGTGCGATGTAGCGGCCTCGGTCATTTCCTGGAGTATTTCGTCCTGCTCGGTGCCGCCACGGCCGAGATACGGTAGATTTAACGTGATGGGCGAAGTGTCAAAGGCCATCTGGAGAAAGTAAAGGAATGGGTGATGGGCTATACGGTCAGAGCCCAGCTTGACGCGAGGATCGATCAGGCCTCGGAGGTTCGCGATGGCTTGCTTGCAGTCAAGACGCAGAGTTTGCCGTTCAGACTCGGGCATGGTCGCGAACCGAGGCGTGTACAGGATGTTCATGTAGTAGCCGTGTAGCCTCCACAGAGCCCATAGATGATCGAAGTAGAGATTCTCAATGGTGACGGGTGTCCCCGGGATAAAAGTCGTGGAGAAGCGCGGAATCTGTATATTGTGCCGCCAAGGGATGGAGGACATGCGTCCCAGCAGGGCAGCACAGATTCGGTCCACGGCGGAAAAGGCCCAGAAGGCTGTCAACTTCTCGCTAAAGTTGCTGCTTTGCTGCTCCTTCTCAATGGTCTCAAGCGACCAGTCGAAGACTCCAAGCTGCTGGAGCAATGCCGCCGCCATACAGTTGAACATCCACGTGCGAGTGGGATTTCCTCCAACGGTGAGCTCGCGCCAGACGAGGATGGTTAATGCGCGGACGGCAACGAGGGTCGCCGTCGGCGTCGTGCAGGCTCTGGTTACCATTCTCTCGGCGCACTGCACCAGCTCATCCCCGATGCGATGCTCCCGCGTGATGATGGTCGAGGCGCTGATGATGGCAACCAAGAGTAGCAGGCTGTGGTAAGGCTGGTCGAGGGAACACGAGAGCCCCGACAGATACTCGCCGTCGATGAGGCACTCGAAGCGGTTTATGCGATCAGCAAAGTGCCGGAATGCCCTCTGGCGAAAGTCGTAGTCGTGGAGCCTCGAGGGCCACGCCGGGACCATGTCCAGGTTGGACGAGGCGGCGGGCTCTGGGTCGAGACGGGGTTCAAGCTGGTAGATGCTGGCCGAGCCCAAGCCTCCAGGGTCTATCCGGCGATGCGTCAGTTGGCTGATCTCCCGGGCCGCATGCGAAGACCAGTCGAGCCCGTGGCCGTCCGGGTGAGCGTCTGGAGCATGTGGTGGGCTCGGCATGCGCTGTCTTCTCGCCACTTGGTCTGATGAAGGTCCGGACAGCGACTCGACAAGCGACTTGAGGCGGGCAATCTCTGAATGCAGCTGCTCGGTGCGCTCCCTACCAACGGTGAGCCTACATGTAACATGGACACTTCCGCCAAGGGAGTGGACATACGTGCGAGACAAGGGCGGGCGCCTTGACCCGTATACACAACATTTCGAACGGCGGCGACACAGATTGCAGACCGGGCGGCCGCCATCGCACTGGAGACTCAGACATCAGCGTCAGATCAGGTTCGAATTCACCAAGCTGCCATGGGAGTGAGTGCCAGACCTTTCGCTTGCCCTGGCGACATGGATCACACGCAATCTCAATGCGACGGACACTACAACTCATGATGTAAACAGTGATGCACTCTTCTTTTCAACATCACACTGGGAAAGCGGGGGAGACAGATCCTGGATGGTAGTGACACTCTGATGATTGGATCTTTATTTCGGTCTCCTCACCCTCATCTGACTTATCATTGAACTAAACCGCATCCAGCTATGACACTCCGTGTCTCCCAAGTAGCGTGTAAATCTTAGTGTTGAAGACTTGATCTACAGCGACGTGGTCATTAATAATTTCCACTTCTACTCTTAGAGGGCGTGGTTCCATATCCTAGATGAGAACATTTAAGGAGCATCTTGTTGTAATTGCAGTCTATGTTTGTCGTGGATGGCAGGGAGATGCGGCGTTCAACAACCATGTTTCAAAGCCAACACTTGTAGAACCAGATCGTATTTAGTAACCGCATTCTAGATAATCAACTCAGACTATATAACACACTCACTAGGATCCAACTTTACAGCAATTGATAGCAATTCTGCTAAGACGTTTTCCGGACCGCGGTACATCACATGGTTGGAAGGTCTTTGAACATACTTCTGAAGAAGTAGCTTAGCTACTGATCTATAGCCTCTCGATGAAGGTGTTTGAAACGCGCTTCTCAAGTGCCCACCTTAGGCGTTAACATTAGCACCATTCTCGATGAGCAGCTTCACAAGCTCCTCATGGCCTCTTGAAGAAGCAGCTTGGAGTGCGTTATCAAATTTCCCGCCCTGTGCATTGACATCAGCGCCATAGCTGATCAGCAGCTTCACTAGCTCTTTATGGCCGTTTATTACAGCCACTTGGAGGGCGTTGCCACACTCTCCGCCTTGGGCGTTTGCATCAGCACCGTAGTTGATCAACAGCTTCACCAGCTCATCGTGGCGCCCGATCAAAGCTGCCTGAAGAGCGCTGCCCAGTGCTCCGCCTTGAGCGTTGACGTCGGCGCCATGGCCGATGAGCAGTTTCACCAGCTGCTCGTAGCCGTTCCAGGAAGCCACCTGGAGGGCATTGCCATATATTCCCCCCTGGGCGTCGATATCGGCGCCACTATCGATGAGTAGCTTGACTGCCTGCTCATGGCCTTCCTGGGAAGCCGCGAGGAGGGCACTGCCGTACGCTCCGCCTTGGGCATTCACATCGGCGCCGTTGTCGATGAGCAGCTTCATCACCAGCTCGTGGCCCTTGCAGGAAGCAGCTTGGAGGGCGTGGCCATATGCTCCGCCCTGCAAGTTAACATCAGCACCATTGTTGAAGAGCAGCCTCGCCAGCGACTCATGGCCCCCAAGTGAAGCCACCTGCAGAGCGTCACCATCGTTCACATCAGCGCCATTCTCCAATAACAACTCGACTATGGGGCCGTGGCCTCCTTCTGCTGCCCAGACCAATGCTCCTTGGATTTGATTTTGGATTGTGTCGGTATTCGCATTTGCGCTCAAGATCGCCCGTGCTGTATTCTGGTGTCCATACCTAGCAGCCCAGGTCAAGGCTGAGCCATCGGAATACTCGACGTTGTGGCGATAGAGGCGCAGATTGAACAGTCCAAAGAGGTGGCGATTGGTCCGGGCGATAGCGTTCATGTCATTCTCTGATACGAGGTGCTCAAACGTAGCACAGAGCAATTCTTCGGGTAGATCAAGCAAAGATGCCATGTTAGCTAATCGATTGGGAGCGATCAACGTTGAGGGAGCGAAATTTGGTGGCGAGCAGGTAGTACGTAGGTTTCATTATGCTCAGCAAGTCCTTTAAGCCATATATACCCGTACGATTATTCGTATTGATTGCTTAATCACGCCTGAAGAAAGACCCACGGCTCTCGATCTATCCCTAATTTCTCACCTACCTAGTTGAAATCGAGGAAGAGCTGACATGCAAATGGACCAGATATCGTAGTCCAGTGGGTCAATATCATTGTGGGCGCTCCCAGTTGGTTCAAAGACCTCCTCACTAACATTAGGGCTTCCCACAATATGTCACCGACACTTTACCGGGGTTTTTTAAGTGCTCCTCGAGTCCCTGTCGTGGCCTGCATAAACGGATGCCTTTCATGGGAAGCTGCTGGATCCTTTGTGTTTCCCATCAGGTCTAATAGATGTAAACTCTTGCGGATCTACATGTGATCTGAGTAATCTTTCTTCTAAATGGTTGTAACTTCCTTCTAACATAATTGTAGGCTTAGGCTAACATAGGTCTATTTTTCCTTCCGTATTCAATGTATGAGATGTCATGTCTGGCATTTTTCATTGCTGGTGTGAGTCAAGCTACTCGAACTCGTACTTGTATAGGGTCACGAGGTCTTTCAGTCAACCCACTCCAATTTACTGGGTGTTTTCTCCTCAAAAGACATCCATACTTGGGCACGCGAATCTACGTACAATAATTTGTATAACTCTCTTCGATTCAATCGCCGATATCTGACTTTTGTGGCTGAGGCGTAAATGAACCCAATAAAGCCCTAAACTTTCTTGTTTTTTTTGTAGTGTGCTTTTATTATGGGCAAAAGAAACTCAGTACTCTCCCCTACAAGGTATATATAGGTGTGTCGCTTCCGCTCTGGTTATTTACTGTACGCTTGCCCGAGTGCCCTCGCCCCGTCGCTACTTATGTAGAACAATGATGATGAGTTGATAAATTTTCTGCCTGGCAGAATGAGACTTAAACTGAGTTCTTTTTTCCAGATTGGCGGCGATGTGTTGATAGTAATGATGAGACTAACGTCTCTATCGGAAGGACTGTCAATTGGCCGAGTTGTCTCTCGAAAGCTGGGTGGCCTATTTGGTGATCTCTTCACATTTTCTCCCTTGGCTCTGTTCTTTCCCATTCCTCCCCCTTGTCTTCTTTCTCCCCTTCAATTCCATTTTTCCTGCAATTACTTCCATGGACGAGTGATAGGCTGGTTACCTTGACAGAAATTCAAGAAAAGAAAAAGCTTGCCGTCATAAGATAATTTGACACAAGTAACGACGGGGCTATTCACAGAGTCATGCATCAAAAACATGATATCTCTACCTGATATCTCAACTTTATAATCTGATTCTAATTATAATTAGGAAACTGATGACGTGAATTATACTCGTTGACTATTAGAAAAAAAAAAGGGATATAAAGTTACTACGACTATATTGAATTTTCAACACCCGCCATGCATGCTTGAGCTTTGAAGATCAAGTCTTGGGTGTCATTATCCTCAAATTTATCCTGGTATTGAACCAAAATCTGTTTCCATAGGCCCCAAAATTCCGGCCTAAAAGGACCGGGCCGATCTTCCCTTCTCAGTAGAGCATCTTGTCGGAGTTTGTTGGGCGCGTAGATGAGCCAGAGACACAGCAGACGGATCTCATCTTCTCTAAGATCCCCTGTTTGAAAGTCGACGGTGCCAGCCACAGCATCATAGCACCAGCTGACGGTTTCATTCAGTTTATAGAAGCCCAACTCCGAGAGCTGGGCAAGAAAGGCATAGAATCTTTCATTGGCTAGCGTAGCACCAACACTAACCTGCTCTATGATTTGATCGGGAACTACAGCGTTGACATAATGTATGGATCCGGCTTGTCATCAAATATTCCTGCACGTATGAGCCTTTGTCCTATGTTCATCCGTCATACCACAAGCCACCAACTCCATTGTTCGGAGATCTGAGGTGAAATAAGCTGGTGGAGAGAAATGGCGGGATGCATATTATGACGCTAGATGTGCTGGTCATCTGTTTCTCCGGCTATCCTCCAAGCTCGAAGATCGCTCTATCATTGGTCACAAAGTCATAATGTGAAGAAACACATTTCGAACACGTGGCAGAACTCAGCATTTTCGGTTAACTAACAATACTGCGCCCATGAGTGCCCCAGTTTGCCTTGGGCATAGCCTCGTAGGCGGCCCCCAACGGTGAACGAGAGGCTTGGTTTGCACAGCCACCACCTCGAGCAAGGCGTCCACGCATACGTAGAATATAGTTCCTAAGCAATCTACGCTGCTACAGTAAATCAGTTGTTTTCTGAAGACTGCGATTCTGCGAGCGTTCCATCAACCCCGTTCGTCAAATTAACCCTTGATTGTTGTGAAGGCATTCCTCGGAGTGTAGTACTAAAGCGCCAAGGCAAGCCCAACACGTCCAACAATGAGTAAACGTTTTCGCGAGACATATAGCCTAGAGTCTCATGACTCTTATGATGAAATAAAGGATATCTTCCCCGATGCTGAGCCACAGGAGGACTTTGCTCTGTTCAGGCTGCCCTTGGAAACACGCTGGACGATCTACGAACTGATCTTTGGCGAGGTTGAGGTGCCCGACGGAAGATACATGGAGCACATCGGCGAAACAAACTTCGAAGATACATCATTAGAATTGTCTACCCATGTCAATAAGGCCGGGAAGAAGGTGCCCTATTGGATCCGGCCTGATTGTACGACACGCGTGATGGTTTGGACGGACTTTCTGCAGACGTGCAAGCGGGTATATAACGAAGCAAGCTTGTTTCCAATAAGCACCAACAAGCACAAGTGCTACCAGATCCATGGGCCTGGTGAAGACCCCGGCCAATATCTGGAAAGATTTACATCGCGCCAGCTTACCCAAATGCGCCATCTGCACATCTATACACAACAGCACACGATAGATGACAGCGAGATCCTATTGAGAAAACAGCTGAAGATGGCATCGGTGGGCTTGGAACATCTAACTATTACCATTCGAAACTACCCGAGGCCTGTCCCAGGGCGAGGTGACCCTTCGACAATCGGCGAGCCGCTCCAAGTCAATCCATATCGTCGGGGCTTGGCTTGGTGGCAGGATATGATGGAGGATATGGAGTCAATGGAGGGTGGTGACAACTTGCTGATGCTCAAATCCGGATGGGCAGGTATGTTCGGCCAATTCCATAATCTAAAGACCTTGACAATGGAGTTTGAACATCACGAGGGCTTCGAGGGTGAGCTAGGAAGACTCGCTCAGTGGGCTCAGAAGTGGCGGTTTCCCCTCCAGGAAGGTCATGTATTGGTATCCGACTTTGCAGAAAGACGGACCTGGCGAGGACTCCGAGTACATGACTCTACGGCTTGTCGGGACTGTGGGCTGCTCAGGCCAAGCCAAGCCGGAGCAAGGGTGAATTGCAAAGGTTGCCAATGGCGGAGGCGAGGAAAGGGGCCTCGGATGATCAATTGGATGGTTAGATGGGTGAAGAAAGAAGCAAGTCTCTTCAAGGACACGACAGTGAAGCCCCGCAGAGCAAAGGGTACCAGTGGCATGTCAAGAGAATTGATCGGGCTAGGCTTTCAACCACCGTCGAGCTCCTATCGAAGTCTTCCACGCCCGTTAGCTCCATCTTTACTTGGCTGGGGAATTTTCTAATGTTCTGGACGTACATAGGGAGTGGTTTTAAGGAACATCTTATTGCGGACACTGTGAGCTAGATAATGAGAAAAAAATGAAACAATTGTTAAAGTTCTGAGGTGGAGAATACGAGGCCAGCATTAAATGTGGGAACGCAACAAAGATCGAGGGTCCTAGGAGCATTTTCCCTTGTTGCTACTTTGTAAAATGGCAATTTTGGTAACCCGCGAGCATATGAGTTTGTCAAAAGTTTGCTGTTTTATGCAAAAGCAACAAATACTCCTAATGGCGGCCTCCTTCTTGGCCACGGGAGTGTTCCAAAACAATTGCTATTCAGCAGGAGCAAACACAGAAAATGGACCGCGCCTACTTAAAATGAAGTTTTGCTGTCGGCACAATCATCTATCGTCCTAGATTTCCCGACTTCACTTCTGATCGTTACCATGAATCCTTGCCTTGTGGTTCCCTACGACATCACTCACGATGCACTCCCTATACGGAAAGAGCTTCTGAATGCCCGCATCGAGAGCTATCGTATCCAACACCTACCTTTAGAACTCTCCCCCGAGCCTATCGTGGGAGACGAGATGAGGGATCGCCTGGCTATAACGATTGACCTCGTCCACAGCGTTACATCCGCTGACGCCCGTCTAGACGGTGTCAAAACGGTGCGCGTAGACGTGCTGATAAATGCTTGCCTTCGCTGTTATGGGTCTGAAGACGAAGGCCGCTATGCAAGGCTCCTTGAGGATCCTGCTGGCTACTGGTATGGTTCGCGGACTAGATACCCTCGGGGATGCAAGACATTTGGCGATGTAGTCAGCGCCTTTGAGAAGTCCAACATCCTGGATTTCTCGTTTGCCCTCATCAAGGGGGAAGGTTTTGGGATTGTGTAAGTTCAAGCCTCCTCATCGGGGAAGATATTCTATTTGCTAACAGATTCTGAGTCTCCAATCCCTTTACCGACTGGTCAGACATGGGGAAATGATTGAACGAAGCGCTAAGAGCTTTGTGAGGGGCCCATCAATGCATGAAGATGCATCGAGTCATGTATGTCGGATCGTGACAACGGCCAACATGGATAACGCCCTGGCCCTGTTCGGGGCTGCTTAGATCTAGCGGAGCCTTCAAGTCTTCTATTGGACGAGGAAAGAATATGTGCGTCGGCAAGATGGAATGCCAGAGACTATAGAGATTACGATCTCCAAGTATTTTAGCCATCTCCAATTTCACGCCTTCTCAAGCCTTGAAAGTCGTGTTGATCAACAGATCTGGTTTCTATATGTGGAGGCGGTCTTCGGATCACACCTTGGGAAAGTTGGAAATGAACAATCAGTTAGGGAACTCTGAGTATAAGATTTCTGGTTGATTTTATCTAGGCTGGATGGTTCGCTTTTCGATATGACAATATACATCGTTATTACAGCTTCTTGACGTAGACTTTGAGACCCCCTTCCATTGGCAGTGTTAAATGATTCCGACTCACCTTCTCACCCTCATAAGCCGGCGAAAAGTTGAACAAAGAGACCAGTTCCAAAATGACCTGCACGGCAACCATTTCAGCCATCTTTTTACCCAGACAGAGTCGCGGTCCACCCTGAAAGACTGGAAACTCAGCAGCTTCCCTGTATCGCATGCGTCCGTCCATGAGCCATCTCTCTGGGCGAAATTCAGCAGCATCCTCTCCCCAGGTGTCTTTTGAACGATTCATTGCCCAGGTGCACCAAACCACGATTGATTTACTTGGAAGCAAAGTCCCATCAGGCAGCAGAACATCGGACTGTGCCTGTTTGATCTCAAAAGGAATAGGGGGATACAGTCGTATCGTTTCATAGAACACTGCAGTAATGTAGGCGACCGCCTCTAGGGAGGGCTCGCCGCCAGAAGACTTGGATGGCGAATGGTGGGAGAAAGAAGTCCCCATCAGCTCTCTGATTTTGCGCACCGCATTGGGCTGCCTCATGAGTAGATAAAAGGTCCAAGATAACGCCTGGGCGGTGGTATCTCTGCCAGCAGAGAGGAAGTTCAGCGCTGATTCTGCGACAAGGTCATCGCTACCGAGAGCCTTTCGAAGGCCTTTCAAGAAACCCTCGGAAGCTCTTCGTAGATCTGTGCTGCCGAAGCACGGGTCAGAGTCTTTGGTTAAAAGAGAATGTGAGACGAGCTGTGCGCCGCGAGTCTTTATAAGCTTCAAGGCTCTTTGAAACTGGTAGCCAGAGAAGACTTCGGTGAAGCGCCATAGTGGGTTCTGAAAGCGCTCGGAAACAACGCCAGCAGAGTAGTCAAAAGCTTGGGTGAAGCTGTCTTGGCTTTGCAGCTCAACGCCGTACACCATCTTGCTAATAAGCTGTGTGGTGATTTCCAGGATACTGGCATCGAGATCGACAATCTCCGCAGTATCAGCCTTTTCAGAAAGGTGTCGAATAGTCTTCCCTAGGATGGCTGGAAGCTCATGACTGGTGACGATGTTCATGTTTGCGCCAGCGAGTAGCTGTACCCCGACCTTCCTCTGCCTCTTCCATTGGTCGCCATCAGAATTGACGATTCCATTTCCAAACAGATCGTTTAATCTTGTTTTGAAGAATGCGCCTTTTTGAAATATGGGCTCATTTTTGAAGACAAAATCGAGATTCGCGGGATCGGAGATAATGACACCTGGGGGCAAAGAGGGCACAGTGATGAGGAGGGTTTCTCGGCCGTACAGATGGATGCACTTGGTGAACCAGTCAAAGAGTTTCTGGCGAGGCTGGATGAATTTGATACCATTGCCGAGGAATGGCAATGTGTCGGGGGCTTTCCTGCTGGAGTGTGAGTTTTTGTCTTTTCTGCAATTTGTTTGATTGTTTCACCTCAGCGCGATGCCATGGCGAGTAATTTTTGGGGCATGGATCCAGCTGGACAGTTGCTCGCTGATAAACAACAGAATGACAAATATGGCAGATAATGCCAAATGTTGCCATGTATCCATTTCGATGGTAGGAAATTCAGAGCCTGGTCTGGATGTGATGGCCAACCCTTGACTGACAACGTAGGGTAGCTGTTTGCGCGGACTTTGCCGGATGGCAAGAGAATGAGTTGCGGTGGAAGAGACAGTGTTTTAATGGATGATGCGGCTATTAATGCCACTTCACGCTCAGGTTATATGGCAAGCACGCCCTGGATGTTGTCGGTGAATCAGAGCCTGTCTCAGCGGAAGGACGGGATGAAGTCATCATTACATGTCTGTCACACCCAGCCCCCTAATCATCCGCTAGGCTGGTTTCTGGGGCGCAGTTATCGCTGCAGTTTGGCATGAATGCTTACGACTACTCATTATGGAAGGGTAGGACGGGCGCTTGCATGCTTTAAGTGGCCCATTATCGCATCCTTTGGGCGGCCGACGGGAGCACACAAATACGCGTAAAGCTGGTCTGGGCCGGTGGACCTGCATTTGCATCATTGCTTTCATCATTGCCTTTTTCTATCTTCGTCTTGGCTGCCATACTGATTTTGCGAATACGAAAATTCGACAAAGCCTCACTGATTGTAATGTTGCCAATTGAATGGATGTCGCCTACGTCCACTGCCCGCCGTGTACCAAATTAACCAATCAAGGTTTTTGCTGTTGAACCACCACGTCCGGCTGGTCAATCGCCTCTCATGCGCTAAGACCATGATTCCAGTGGGGCCTCGAGGCCTTAGGGCGCTGTATCAAAAATACAGAAGGCAAAACCATATAATCATCAATATTACATCCCGTTGAGCTCTTCTTGCCTAGGAAAAGATATCGAGCTATTTAGTAATTTTACCCATAAGTAATAATATTTGTAGAATCCAACTCCTCCTTAAATTATAAGAAAGCGACTCTTGGCGTGTACACAGGTGGTTGACTGCCTAGCTAGACGTGGTGATTCGATAGTATAATCCTGAATTAATTCTAATTATTCTAGACTGTCAACTTTGTATTACGTAGCTATAAGAAAATGAAATGCAATAAAATGAGAGCAAAATGCCTATCCAATAGGCGTCAAAGCACCTCTGAATGGAGTTTGGAGGCCATCCAGTGCACCATCTTTCAACCTCCAGACTCCTTTCGTTTCAGAGGCCGACAGATGCCAGTTTATCCCCTCCGTCAAGCGGTGAAAGACCGAATGCTCCTCACCCGGAATACTCTCAAAAAGAAACGGCTGCCAAGACACCCCATTCGTTTTCTCGTCTCGTCTCATCTGGCGCTGTCCTTCCTCAACTATGTGCTTTGCTCGAGAAACCCTCATCCAATCACTCTCACGTACTCCCTGAATCACATCGTTCCAAGCTCTCCGCGACTCCCACGGGTCTTGATCTTTGACATCTGCAATCTGCATCGGCTCTGGATCATTCTCTTTGGCTTCGACGTCGTATTCTTCAATGATCTTGCCCGTCGCGCCGTCTTTGACCTCCCATCCTTTGGACCAACTCCCAGAGGCTACGTACAGCGGCTTGTCGCGGCCATCATCTTTGTGAAAAACGCGCGCTTCGAAATAATTCTTCTTCCCACGTAGAAATCCAGCGCCTGAGAATGTGATCTCGGAGATGTAGCCGCTGCTGGATACAATCTTGTACGTCCCCCACAGCTCGGGGTACAAGCACGTGGAAAGAAACCCGCGCACCTGGGCTGTGGGCAGCGGCAGAAGATGGTCTTCGTCGTATTTATCAATGTGAAGAACCGCGTGGCCCGTCTGACGAACGTTGAGGCTTCCAGAAAACGTCATTTCCACACGAGAGTAGCCCTCGGCACGAATGCCATGTTCACGGCTGGCGACGTGGATCGCCGTGATGGGCGGGTGATGGCTGACTTGCTCTGCTGCCACTTCTGCCGATGCGACTCCAGACTTGTCGGTGTATCTCGCAAAGAAGAGCTCTCCGAGAAAGGCATTGAGAGGCTTTTTGATGCTGACGTTTGGCCCTCCCGCGATGTAGTATTGATTACGGAGACCAATAAGGAACATGCGGAGGACCAGGAGACTGCGCTTTTGGGGACTTGATTCAAGTGCCGGGGCAGCGAAGACGGCGGGTCGCTCAGCCCAGCACCGAGGATTCTCGACCACTGAGGACGGCGCGAGAAATGAGGGAGGAGCCGTTATGTTTGCAAGATCTCCTTTGAGTGTTGAGAGGACCTAAAGATGGTCAGTAAAGTCTGCAAGGTAGATCCAGATGTATCAATCCACGAGAAGGCGACGGCACCTACCTTGACTAGTTCCGTCATTCGCATGGGAGAACCTTTGGTCTCCGAACGGGTCAAGACTATCTGCTGTGTGGTCATCATTGGAATCTGAATAATATGTTTGATGTGAGAGTATGAAGGTAATGGAGAGCTTCTTCATCTTTTCCATCGTTCATCCCGGGTTACTTATCAACTGATATGAGCCGCTGTTGGCGATGAGCCTCAAACCATCCCGCCGTCATCATCACCAGCTAGCCACATCTCCCCTGGCACCAAAGATAGGGTCGGCCGCCGTGCATTAGTTGGGCGTTTGCAATGCCGTTTACCGAAGCCACTCACCCACAATTAGGGCTGTGCAAAGACCCGTTCGGTTGCCTCCGCACGGGAGAGAGGCACCGCGTCATCTCCGCACCTCCATCTATCTCTAGCATCGGTCGGCCGCCACAGGAGATGAGGCGGGGTACGAATACGAGCATCCATTACCTGCTGTGTCTGAAGCATCTGCATCTACTTTAGATAATGTTCGAAGATTTGTGATATCGAATGGCTAGCAGTAAGCGATACTCAGTAGCGAACCGCTTCTTGTTGTTCTACAATTGTCCTATTTTTCGCCTTGCTAGTTATCAAGCAGCCAAGAATTGATAGATTGACTTGCATTGTCGAAAATTACACGAATATCGAAATACCCAAGGTTCATCAGTGGAAGATGGCTCCTTTGATTCCTAGAATGCATCTCTTTGAGATTGATGACCAGCCTTGGTAAGTCCTACCCCATATTATTGACCTCTCAGACAGACAAATAAAATGCTAAATGTATTGTGATCACTGTAGGTTCCCACCGGCATTGCGGACGTTGTTCCAGGCGGCTCTGACAGTCACTTGGACGCTCCCTCTACCAATTGTTCAGTCACACCCTCCAGCAAAGATCGTTGCCCAAGTACTTCTTGAAGAACTGGGCTCTGATATTTCAGAGTACAGTTTTGTAGACTTCTGTGCCGGTGCAGGAGGGCCTACGCCCTTCATCGAGAATTACATCAACGCGCACCTGCGACAAGGGAATGCAAAGGCCGTGAATTTCACACTTACAGATCTTCATCCCAACATACAATGCTGGGATCCTGTTGCCGCCGCCAGTCCCCATCTCTTCTACGAGAGCAAGCCCGTGGATGCCACCAACGCGCCTAGACACCTCGTGAGGCCAGCAGACGGAAAGAAGTCAATGCGACTCTTTAACCTGGCCTTTCACCACTTTGATGACTGCCTGGCTGCACGGATTCTCAAGGATACGGTAGAGTCCAGCGATGGATTCGCCATTTTTGAGCTGCAGGATCGAAGTCTTGCTAGCTTTGTTGCCGTAACACTGCTTGCCGTCGGCACCTTGATCCTGGCGCCATACTACGCAATGAAATGGAGGTCGCCTCTCGCCTTGGTGTTCTCGTGGCTGGTTCCAATACTGCCGGCGGCTCTGGCCTGGGATGGTTATGTCTCGTCTCTGCGGACGAGAGAGCCCGAAGAAGTGGAGGCTCTTCTGAGGTCGTGCGGAGCTGATGCATCGCGGTGGGAGCTGAGGAGTGGCAGCACTGTGCATCTCTGGCCTGTTGGATACGTTAATTGGATCGTATGTCGAAAGATCTAGTGGCAATCGTAATCAGCGAACCCTGAGTGGGAGGGCAAGCCAGTGTCATGGTACCAGATATAACATTCATAAATTTTATCTAGACTCCATTATTTCTTCATTATCACGTTGCTCTCCTAGACATTACTTGGATCAATCAATCTTTGTAGTCCACGATACCAACAGCTGCCCATTCCAATTTCCAGCATGGAGTATCCTCATGCTCAAACATCACGCCGACGATGTCATCAAAATCTGTACCTTGCCTCTTGGTTGGGCATTGATAACCAGCACCCAGGCCCCATCCACATGCACTGCCTCCCTTCCCGACATGTCGGAAACTAACTTTTGTAGTTCATATGTTGGATCGATACGCGTATCGACGCCTCGCTTCATCCCACCATCTTTTCCCACATCTCGTTTTCGGGACATCCCTTGTATCCCACACCAACTCTCACGTGTCTGTCCTGGATCGCGGCCGCCACTAGCAACGGTCTTTCAACCCCACTAACATTGACCGGAAGGCATGTCACCACCGTGCTACAATCATTATACCCTGGCATAGTCTAAGCCACACATTACCATGTATCGGACCAAGTGGGATCCTATAGTCTGAATTAGCATGTCTCGCTTAGAATTGGCATGTTTCTCGCTATACCAAAGTACCAAGGTAATAGATATTCATTAGGGACTAAACATTGGGGATCTTCTGGCAACTTGCGCATGCAGATTTGACTGAGAAACTCTACCTACTCTCCATCAACACATCTATTTCTGCTTCATCATGGCCACAGTAGTTATTCTAGGTGCCGGTTACTCTGGAATAGGCATCGCGCACAGGCTCCTCAAGTACACGCTGCCCAAGGTCACGGATTTGAAAGTCATTTTAGTCTCGCTGTCCACGCATCACTTCTGGAATCTGGGCTCAGTGCGGCGTGTTATTCCTGGGGAAGTTCGAGATGACCAGATCTTCCGTGAGATCGCACCTGGCTTTGAACAGTATCCAAAAGATGCCTTTGAGTTCGTTGTTGGCGTAGCGACTGGATTTGATGTGGCGGGCAACAGAGCACAAGTCAATGTTGGCGATGAGACAAGAGACATCGAGTACTCTCATCTCGTTGTCGCTACGGGCGCATCTTATCCGACGAAGATGCCTTTCACAACCATTGGACCACACGAAGAAATGCTTGACACCTGGCGCCAGCTGCAAGCCAAAGTTGTGCAGGCAGAATCTATTGTCGTCTCTGGCGCTGGTCCAACTGGCATTGAGACAGCTGCGGAACTTGCTTCCCATTTCGGTAGCTCCAAGAGCATCACTGTCATTCTCGAGGGCGAAAACCCTCTCCGTGGTTTTATGCCCCAGGTTGGGAAGATTGCGGCAAACGACCTTGCTGGTTTTGGTGCGAAGTTGGTTCGCAATGCACGCGCCGTCAATTCCACCAAAACCGACAGCGGCAGGACCGTCGTGGAGCTTTCCAACGGCAGCAACCTCGAGGCGGATCTGTACCTCCCCTTGTACGGAAGCCGGCCCAACACGCAATTCGTGCCGCCTCATCTCCTCGATGATCGCGGGAACCTCAAGCTGGAAACCAACCTACGGGTTCAAGGGCTGCACAATGTCTGGGGAGTTGGCGACGTTGGCAATCTGGAGAGCAAGCAGCTCATATACGCCGAGAGGCAAGCCCTGCATCTTGGCAGCAATCTACACGCCGCTCTCACGGGAGGCAATGTGAAGCCGCTCCCATCGACGGTTACTCCTCAAGTATTTGTTACACTAGGGAAGCACAAAGGGACCGGGCAGTATGGCTGGTTCAGGGTTCCCGGATTTGGGATCACCAATACAAAAGGGAAGGATTTCTTCATGAGCAAGGGCGATGGTCTCATAGCTGGAAAGAATATCGTTCGATCTCCAATTTGAATAGTTTGATAGAGTTTCATAGATTTTGAATTTAGATTTGGAGGATTTCTAGATATTGGCAGGTTTGTATCGTTTACTCAATCATATACTGGAGTTACAAATCGCTGTCAATCCCTTAACCTGATGAATAGCCTAGCACATTAACTCCAGACGCTACAAATAACATGAATAGTAGTGCATGAATGGCAAAGTGAGTAGGCGGCCCTCCCAATGTTTTTTCCGTTCCAACCTGGCCTTCCTTCTGTTGGAGCAGCCTCGAAGCAGCACGATATGTTGGCCAGAGGTGCCAAAATGCAAAGGCAAAGGCCATCAGACCAAGTGTTCGATCAACCTCTGGCTGGGAGAAAAAGGTCAGGCTTGTGAGGCTGGTAAATAGAAGACAGCCTCCATAGCATTGGAGCACTAGGCGCATGTCATCGGAAGGGCATGGTATCTGGCGCTGCGGATAGAAAATGAACGTGAAGGCCGCAATGGTCTCTACCACCGTGTGAAGCAGGAACGGAAGCTTGGTGACAGGATTCATGGTTTTGGTGCAACTGGCGGTAAGAAAGTTTGCAGAAGGATTCGGGCGTGAACTTGCAGCAGCTGCATTAGGCAGTGTGTTCTTGAGTTCGGAGGATGGAATAATGGATTCTCGGGTATGGCTTGGCGGTTGCTGGCTCAGAATGGAGAAGATGGACGTGAGTCTTCCCAATTTGTCAGCGAGAAATGAGATAGCCCAAAGTCCCTGAGCCACATGGTGATGTGGCAGGATTGCATCAAGGAAGAGATGCCTTTTGCCCTTTCAGGCAGTGTGTCAGCACACTAAAACACACGTATTCGGCTCGGCTAGATCGATAGGGACAGCAAGGATGGATGTGGGGAGAGGCGGCCGCCGTGCCAAGACTGAGTTCAACACCATATCACCATCTCCACTCCCTCCACCCCGACGCGGGTTCAAGGGCTGTCACTGATTGTGTTGTGATTTGAACGCGGCGGAAGCGTTGGTGCCGGACAACCTCCCGTGTCCACCTTCTAGGAAGGGTCCAAAACGCTCCGTCTAAGATGGCATTTGTCCGGTCTGAGCTTGCATAGCCTCAATCATGTAGGGCTATGCCACAAGTCTGCGTTGCAATGGTGGCGGCCGTTGGCTAGCTGGGACTTGTCTGGCTGCGGATAGGTCTAGCTTACAGTGCTGTGTGTTATATCTGTCCTTCATGTGATTGCTTCGTCTTTTCAGGATATATATGCCGGGCCTCTCTTCACTTTTCTGATTCCACAAGCGCAAGCATCCATCCTCTCAACAAGACTCATCTGCTCATCAGTCCTTGGTCAAACTATTGAATATCAAAATCATCATCATGGTTCCGGTAGACAACACGTTTGGGGAGCTAGGACTTTCCATCATTGGAGTTGGTGTGCAATATCCACGCTTCAATCTCGCACCCGATGACTTGGAAACATTGAGTAAAAGATTTTATGCAAGCACCCCGTCGTAAGTGACTGAACTGATTCAAGTATTCACGAGACAGCGAGATGAATACAGCTGACTGTGACCCTCACAGCATGAACAAAGTCCTGTCCATCAACCGATTCACTGGGATCGAAAATAGGTCTTCCATTGGGACGATTGATCACCCACTAGTCAATCAAGAAACTGCCCCTTCTGTCTCGCAGTTGCATGAGGTGTTCGTCGAGGACGGAGTCCCTCTCGCCATTACTGCCGCGCAGAAAGCCATCGAGGAGTCACGCATCCGGCTGTCGGATATTACACATGTTGTGTCAACAACATGCACCAACAATGCGAATCCGGGGTTCGACAATTTAGTCGTGGCCGGCCTTGGTATCAAGCAACAAGTAGAGAAGGTGCTTCTGCAGGGAGTGGGATGTAGCGGAGGGCTTGCTGTTCTCAGAACTGCTTCCAACTTGGCCCTAGGCCGCACCGCCCAGCGCAAACCAGCTCGCATCCTCTGTGTGGCACTGGAACTATGCACCCCTCTGGTGCGTAGTGAATTTGACAGTATCAACGAACTACAGGAGGTGAGGATCGGCCCGGCGCTCTTCTCAGACTGCGCCAGCGCTGTGATCCTCAGCAATGATATTGGAGGCTATGTGGAGCCAATTTACGATGTTCTTGGATGGGATCATAGAGTTATCCCGGGCACTGCTGAGCATCTCAGATTTAATTCCGACCCACTCGGTAAGTACTCTCCATTCTTTAGACTTCAGAAGAGTCAACTTACTGAGACTTTCTCTGCCAGGCTGGAAGGTGGTCCTTACCCCTGATGTGCCAAAGATCGCTTGTACCGCCGTCCCTGAAGCCTTTTCAGACATCCTGGCCTCTGTCCCTTCAATTCCTCGCTCTCTGCAAAAAGCGGACGACTTTGACTGGGCATTACATCCTGGCGGCGCAACTATTCTGACAGGAACAGAGAAGGAGATGAACATTACGCCATACCATCTGCGCGCCAGCTACGACACGTACATGAAGCATGGAAATTCAAGCTCTGCAACCATCTTTAGCGTCCTGAATCGCCTACGAGCGAAAGACATGGATGCTGTAGCCCCATCAGGTGGCCCTCGTGAGTTTGTCATGGCTTGCGCGTTTGGACCGGGCGTTTCAGTCGAGATGTGTGCGCTGAGGAGAAATCAAAACTCCCAGCGGGTTGCCGACTGTTTGACACCGCCTCTTGATGATCATAATTTGGATTAATCCGTTGAATGGTTGATGAGAAATGTCAGGCGACCACGGTTTTTACAACTATTTTCACATATAATAATAGATAGCAATGATAGAAATGGGTAGTGAATTTCTTTAATTTGAGTTCGATACATCGTTCTTGGTGGTGAAGTTGATAATAGATAATAGAAACCAGTCACATTTTACCTAGACCGAGTTTACCAAGCCAAAAGTTGATACGAGTGAACCAGAGCATACTGGTTATATGAACGCACTCCCGGTTAATCAGGCAGGCTACGTCTCTTGAATATCCTGACCAGGACTACGTTTGCATAACAAGTATGCTTTGGGTCGCTCGTATTAACCTTTGCCTTCGTCAACTCGGTCCAGATGATCTTATGGACTTTGAAACAAGGCGCGCTGAGATTGTTGTGTCCGGCATGATGTCTGTATAACCAGCGAAGGCTGCACATATGAAAGTGTAAGTGCTCTGGCCAAGGGGCTAACAGTACTCAGTAGGTTATATTAAAAGCTGAAAAGCCTTGAGCTTGGTGTGTTGCAGTGTTTAGATGGGATAGTAGGCGAGTGTTTGAAGGAAGCCAGGTGAAGGAGGGTACAATAAATAGTTATTTGATGAGCGTCTTTTCCTAACGGAGAGTGAGTCATCCTTATGAAAGTTTACAGAGTTTACTGTCTGCATGGCTTTAGCCTTGGGCTAGTAGACCCTAACTTTGCCTTTCGTATTCACCATGCTAAGATGTTGGGCCTGGCATCTTCATTGCTGTTTTTACTTTGTCCTCAAACTCTCACAGTAGCACTTAACCGGAACCATCTCTTTTGAAGCTCCAATTCGTTGACGGCGGATGAGTGAGTATGCTTTAGTATCTCTGTGAACTCTAACCCCCGAGTTTACTGAGCTCGATCTTGACAGAAATTTATGGCCTTTGCAACGGGTGTATGACAATGAGCAGCGCCAAGAATACAAGAATATGTTAATACATCCATCACATCTAGAGCTTCGAAGGTTTCCAAACAGGAGACCGTTTCTGCTCAAAGGCCCTGAGGCCTTCACGTATGTTTTCACCACGCTCCAGCAATGAGAAATATGACCGGTGCCATTCTTCGGTCGCCTGTTCAACATCCGCCGTCTCCCAGGCCTGCCGTAAGCCAGCTCGCGCGCAAATAACGCCATCTGGACTATTCTCTGCAATCATCGACGCATACCGTAGAGCCTCGTCAACAACTTCACCCTCGGGAACCACCTTATTGATAATACCCCATCCGTGCATCTCCTGTGACGTTAACCGCCTTCCTGTCAAGACGATTTCTGAGGCAATCTGCATCCCAGCGGTGTGAACTATCCGTGTTAAGACGCCTCCAGTCGGTGCAAGCCCACGCTTTACTTCGGGAAGACCAAAGATAGCTGTGTCTGCCGCAACGACGAGGTCACAGTTGACCGCGAACTCGCATCCACCTCCGAATGCAAATCCATTTACTGCACCAATGATGGGCTTCTTCCCCTTGCGTCGTGTGAAGGGGGTGCGACCTTCCTGAAGCCCGAAGCGCTCTCCTTTATTCCCTTCTAAACTACGCCGCCATTCTTTGAGATCAGCACCGGCGGTGAAAGCCCTGCCGGTGCCAGTAACGATCATGACACGGAGCGTTGGCTCATCGTCATACCAGTCAAATGTTGAGTCGAGCTCCCGCAGCGCGTCTGAGGAGAGGGAATTCAGGGCCGAAGGGCGGTCCATACGAGCCAAGAGAACATGCTTTCTAGGAACCGTGAGCTTCAGAAAGCTCAGGCCCTTGGGTGGCTGTGTATCTGTTGGAAGTGGTGCTGACATGGTTTAGGCCGTGCCATAGTGCCGGTATCAAAAGCTGTGCCAATGGCTTTTGTTACTGCTAGGCCGGGTAAACAGGCCCCGCCACCTCTTTTCCCGAGGTTCATATGGTTACCAGAGATTATCTGCTCATGATGCGATTGGTCCTGGGAGTCTGACTCGACTCTGCCGAGTCAGTGTGGGGTAATGTTGAACTGTGTGGATCAACCTCCACCAACATCGAATAACCTGGGGAATGACTATACCACAGTAGGTGAGTTTGTGTGCCAGCTTGCCGCGTACCAAGATTCCTCCCATGCCCTTCTTGCGTACAGATGGTCTTGGTGGAAGTCTCGTGACCGCGCTGGGCCCATCTAATCCTTCCAGGTTTACTTTAGGATAGCCCCCTTCATGGCCTTTTCAGTTGGCTAGGTATTGCTTGGATTTGTGCTGTACTCGACAAGAAGGTGGCCATCTTTATCAAAACAACGAAATCGGCGTATCTTCCTTTCCAATCTCAGCGCTTGCCATCATGGGACTCACTCACGACCAACCATCCCCGGAGGCTGCCGTGATCGGCACGAGACAACTCCCCCGTCCCAATCGCCAAAGAGCTTCCGTCGCGTGTCTTCACTGCCGCAACCGAAAAATCCGGTGTGATGTCTCCCGTCGAGGCTATCCTTGCGCCAATTGTCGCCTTGACGACACGGAGTGTGAGGTTGTGGGCCGCTCATCATCTAGGTATGCTTTTATCGGTACCGTGTATTTATGCCATGATGATCATTAATACAGAAAATTCAAAGGGTATCTAAGCGACGAAAAGATAGCGTGGTTACTTCATTGGAAGAAAACCCACCAGCAGCTGACACGTCCTCTACGACCTACCCCACGGACGCTCTCGATGCTATGCCGATTATATGGGAATCATCTTCCCCAACAGAGACCTTAGCACGAGACGAAACCTCAACTTCAATCAACAACTTTCCATCATCCGAGGTGGATCTGCAGGATTTGGAGCCCCTCGCAGCCACTACGACATCTTCTGCATCGATTGCAAGCCCAATACAATTTAGACGTCCTAGTGAATCGCGCAGGAAAGAAGGACGCAGTGATGTGTTTTATACATACCATCCATTCCTCAGCCGGAATGACCTATCTCATCTTTCCCCCAGAGATTTAAATCTCCTAGAATCACAGTCTTGCCTGCGGGTGCCAACTCGTCCAATCCTCCACGAATTCATCCGGCAATATTTTTTGTATATCCACCCTCTCCTGCCCATGATGGATGAGGCTCGCTTTTGGAGGGTTTATAGGGGGGAGGATGGCCCAAAAGAGCACATTTCTCTTTTGCTCATCCAGGCGATGCTCTTTGTCTCATGCAACGTACGTCACATTTTATCATTCTTGAATTGTTAACCTGATCACTGACAGCGACCAGTATGTCTCGCCTGAAATGGTTCAATCCTTGGGCTTCTCTTCTAACAGATCTGCCCGGGCAGAATTCTACCGGCGGGCGAAGGTAGTACCCCTACTCTCGCTACATCAAAATCTACCCGCCGTTAATAATAACACTTTTCCAGATCTTATACGATATGAATTCCGAACTGTCTTCGTTTACAATTAGCCAGGCCGCCTTACTCTTGACATCCTGGACGCCACCCGCGAATTCAAGGGGGATGAAACCCAACACCCGGTGGCTCTCTATAGCAATAGAGCATGCTAGAGCCGAGGGGGCACATCTCTATGGCCGGCAGCAAGATCTAAGCTCTGAGAGTCCCAGCGCACATCAAGCCTTGGCCAAACGGATATGGTGGTGTTGTATCATCCGCGACCGTCTACTATCTCTTGGTGTGCGGCGAAGGATTCAAATTGACCGTGAAAGTTTCGACTTCGGCTCGAACAGGCGCTTGAACCATTCCGACCTGGCTGGTGAAGTAGATGGATCAGGAGTCTACTGCAAGAAAGCCAAGATTTCATTGATACGAATTCTACTGCGGATCGTAGACCTCTGTGTCTCGCTGACGGACCTACTCAACCTCGCCCACCGCCTTGAGTTCTCCAGAAATGGAGACAGCGAACAATGGCTTCCCCATCTACAACAAGTCAGGACAGTGAAGGAAGCCTTGAGAATGTGGCACGAAGTGACAAAATCCGAGTTTTCCTGCTCTCTTAAGCAACTAAGAAGCGCTAGCAAGTACGATGAACAGCGCAAGGCCGTCGCAGTTCAACTTCATGTGATGTACATGTATTATCAGTAAGTCACGCAGCTCACACTGATCAGAAAGTTCTAACAAATCTCTTTACAGCTCTGCGGGAATAGCGCTAGCCCACTACGAGATACTACTGACTACCATGGTGATTCCTACCGGCACGCCATATACCATTCTCAGGCCTTCATATCTTTCTAAGCTATTTTGCGAGCTCCAGGATGCATCTGAAGATCTCTCTGACTGTCTTGACGGTCTAATAAAAGAGGATCTGATACCATTACTTCCCATTAGCACGTAGGTAGTCAACGGCAACGACGCAGCTCGGCACTTTTGCTAACAGCAAGGTTCTAGAATTGCATTGATAGTTTTCCCCCTTATCCATCATAGTTTGGACCTCTACACCACACATGACGACTCATACACTGCCAAGGTATTAAGGAAAAGCCGCCTTGATGCCTTGACTGAAGCCATGAACAAATTCGAGCAGACATATGATGGCGTCGAGTGGGTAAAGAGCATCCTTAGACAAGTAATCGATCTTGGTGAGTCGCGCCTGAGCGAGGCCACCAGAGATCGAGAATGGAGAAGGAATCTCTCATCGTCGCCAGCCCCGTATCTGCGCATAGCATTTACTATCGAATTCAGCCTCAGCCGAAGTTATTTCTTTCAGGAAGCGGATGCCCCAGCATATTTAAAGACCGTTTTCAAGGATGCAAACCCCATCATGGGTCGCGCTGAACCGACATTAATGCTCCAGCCAATTTTCGGCATGCGCGATACGGCGGAGGCTTTAGATGAGGACTGGGAGAAGCTTTTGCAGCTACAAAGCGCAGCGGAGGGTCCTATGCTTGGGTCGGAATCTACCGCTACGAGTGTGGCCACTCCCATGGACGATTATGGTGGCTTTTTTGACTTGACCGTGAGGGAAGATACTCTTTGATGCTTGGAGTGCATCCCCCACAGATGGTTGATAATGTCTGCCCCCAAATGTACTCTTAGTTTGGAGCGTAAGATCTCAGACAGATGTTTTAAGAGGTGATTAACCCAGTTCAAATCAAACAATACAGTCGCGTATTTGCATTCGTTCAGATCTTCTCAACAGTCCATCGCATAATATATAGAAAGCTAGCAATCCACAAAACAAGACCAAATGGCCGTCTCGGTTATATTTACCCTTGGTGTTATCTCCAAAGTGCCCCTTTTCATTGAGGAGTCCAGGCAATCCAAGCCTGGTGAAACGAATGGAGATGGAAACATGTTCAATGAGAACAGATACCAGTCGTACAGAGAGAATCAATAATGCTATATGCTCACCAATCGGATGGATATATTTTAAAGTATGCTTAACTATTGGATACTAGCACAAAAAGGTCGGTTTTAGGGCAGCGGGAATACATTTCCAGCAGCCATCTATCACTTCTGACTCGACCATGTCTGACTCAACTGCTAACATGTTTAGCAATCAGCAATGGCCGGGATTAGTGCTTGGATCCCTAAAAGAATAAGCAGCACAGTACCCGTCCAACCCTAGCTACAGTGCCGTTTCAGCGGTAATCTGGTCTTTTGACCTGGGGAAATGGGCCGGCTTGGCTAGAATGCGGGGGATACAAGCCCAGGTAACAGTGCAAAAATGCTAGCGGCAGGTTTTGTTTTGCGGGGTATTGGTCTGTTTTCTGTGAACCTGCGTGGACACGGCCAACATAAGAGGATCATTGCCGCCTGTTCTGAGTAGCTACAACCCTGAGTTCTTCCTTCAGATACACACCTACAACCATCTATTTATAATCTCAAGAGATGGCTGTACAATATAACAAAGACGAGACCCCTATGGCAGAGCTCACAGGGGCAATCGTCCCGGACTCTGCCAAATCCCCCAACGCCGATCATGTTGAAGACCTGGAAGTGAAAGGTGCACCGGCTCCAGAGTTCACCCCAGCTGAGCAGAGACGAATCATGTGGGACAATCTCCGCCTTTCTGTATCATGAAACCAACATGCTAACCCCGGCCACAGTCGACGCATCGATATCAACCTTCTACCAATTCTGGGGATAATGTATTCGATTTCCCTGGTCGACCGTACGAATCTAGGATTAGCATTAGTTGCTGGTATGCAAGAGGACCTAGGGCTCGCAGTTGGCGATCGATATACCATTTTGGTGATGGTGTTTTTCGTGGCATACATGTGAGTTTTCCATGCCATCATGTATACTGAACAAGCCGCTAATTTACCCCTGAAGCCTGTTCGAAATTCCGAGCGTGAGTCTGCGATGGCACGGTACCGATCGACCCTTACATCGACTAACAACAATATCAGAATTTCATCTTGCCTAGAGTTGGACCAGCGAACTGGCTAGCTTTCTTAGGTGCATCGTTTGGCGCAATCCTGATCGGCATGGGATTTACCTACCATTGGGGTACCATGGCCTTATGCAGAGCTCTTTTGGGAGTATTCGAAGCGGGATTTCTTCCTGGTTTGTTGTCTTTTGCCAAATAGATGGCTGCTTAACGTACTGACATTCGTTAGGCTGCACATACTTGATCACTTGCTGGTACACACGGTTTGAAGTTGGCAAGCGGATGTCTGCATTTTGGATTCTTTCAGTTCTTGCGAGCGGATTCTCTGCCATCCTCGCTTATGCCTTGACGTTGCTGAGTGGGCAGCAAGGGCTTAAGGGATGGCGCTGTATGTTTCACCCCCCGGTTCTCTTTCCAAAACAATCGTTTATTACTATCGAAAGCTAACCAAAGCTGAATAGGGATCTTCATCATCGAGGGTGCCATAACGGTCGCAGTATGCCTGATCGGGTGGTTCATCATCGTTGACTTCCCAGCAAAGGCCCATAAACTCCTCAAGCCCGCTGAGCGACAATTCGTTATCAACCGCCTTAACGAGGACCGAGGTGACGCTGAAGAAGACGAAGTTACTACTAGCAAGATATTGCACCACCTCAAAGACTGGAAGCTCTATTTTTGGGCTTTCAATCTCATGGCGTCAACTCTGCCTGGGTACGCGTACTCATACTTTCTCCCCGTTATCCTCAGAGACGGCATGGGCTACAACCGGGCAATGTCTCAGCTCCTTAGCGGGCCTCCGTATGTTCTGGCCGCCATCGTGGCTGTTGTCTCTGGGTGGCTCGGCGATCGCTACAGAATCCGAGGTCCAATTATTGCAGTGCATCAGATCCTGACGGCAGTCGGCATGCTGATTACTGCTTACGCGAAAGGGAACGCCGCTCGCTATTTTGGCGCATTTCTAGGTACGATATTGAAATCTGTTGAGTCTATCCAACGTATGAAGCTAACGAGACTACACCAGGGATTGGATTCCTACAATTTTGTGTCCCGGGTGTTTTGACTTTTCAAGCTAACAATATCATGTCTCACTCGAAGAGGGCCGTTGGTACTGCCACCTGTCTCATTGGTGGCGGTATTGGTGGGATCATTGCAAGCTCCGTATTCATTGCGAAGGAAAGCCCACACTACACGGTAAGTAATACAGCAATGGTTCCTCTCGTCGAAATGTAGACACTAATGGTAAATAGACCGGTATATGGGTAACATTTGCCATCTCCATGGTTAGTGTGAGCATGATTACAATTCTTGACATCTACTTGTGGAAGCAGAATAAAGCTGCCAGAGCTGGCAAGGTCTTGAACCCAAATGTGGCAGGATGGTTGTATACACTCTGAAACTGGCAGACTGTTCTATCAAAGTCAGACACTAGACAATGATTCATCCTAGTTGCTATAATTAAATAAAATACTTTGGATGATCCTAGGATATTATAGATACTTGCAATACTTGAATACAAATGCATGATTGAAACTTGAAGACTAAAGATTGTGACGTGGATGTCGCAAATATTTCAGCTACCCTAGGCCATTTGAATGCTCACGCCGATAAATGCCTTTAAAGCTCATTAATATAGCCATTTCGAAGTTTAACATCCGACATAGCATTGGCTTCCCTGTCAGAGACTGAATGACGATCTCTTGGTACATCAATTGGCTAGAGCGAAGTTACAATAAGCAAATCACAAATAGGTAGCACCTGAAGAAACTTGCAGATGTATGCTCAAGCTTCTGGCCCTCGATATCTTCATTCGTAAATTAGTCCAGAGTACTATTGAGTATGTAGCAATAAAAAGTACAATAAATCAATTACTCAACCTTCATAATAGATCAAAGTTCTCATCATAATTGCCTATGAAGATGAAGACCTGTTGGTCAAGTCACGTGGATCAAATCCCACTGTTAAGGGCGGATCTCTACCCCGCAAAATGCCTAAATCCCGGGGAATCTGACCAAACACCTGAAGGCTGGGGCAAGAAGAGATCCATCGTCCGTTCCTCTCTGAATCAATCGACTAAACACACCCAATCACACATCTCCAGAGCCGATTTCAAGTCATGACGCCAACATCGGCCGATGAACATAATGCGGTTGATAGACGAGCCAAGAAGAGAGAGCTGGATCGTCGAGCTCAGCGAGCCGCTCGAGAACGCAACCGCAATCGGATTGCTCACCTGGAAGAGACAATTGAAGCCATGAAAGCACAAGATTCCACCAACAAGGCGGCTGATTTGATGGATCAACTGGCTCAAGTCAAGTTGGAACGCGATCGATTGGTTGAGACGCTGCAGTCCATTAGCGATCTGGCTGGGCGTCATGGATGTACGCTCCCAAAGACAGCGGAACCTGCTCAGATCGGAGGAAGCCAGAGTGGCCAGCAGGCCATAAGAGAAGCAAGAGTCGCTTCGCCCATACCATCAACGGAATCCTTTGTAGAAGGCCTTGCGATAGAGCCCAACATGGATCTTCAATCGATCGCTAGCCCGCTGCTCGGAGCTGGCCAGTCTGGGACTCAACATGTTGTCGAAGCAAATGACCAGCTCGACTTGGACTCTGAAACCCTGCCCATATTCTCTGCATCGGACGGTCTCATCTTACCAGAGCCCTTGGGAGTTTGCGATTGTATTCTACCTCCAGCGACTGTCGGTGTCACTAGTTCGTCCGACACAGCCGATTCGAGCATCTGGAAGAGTGCAAATCAAATTCTTGGCCTGAATCCATCCTTACCACAGAGTACGCTTCGGATAGAGGATAAAACATCCGAGGACTTGCCCGTTCGCGCCATTCTACGAGGATGGAATTCGTTCGATAGCGGAGACTTACCTCCCTTGTGGCAAATACTACGACAAACTGACACCCTCCAATTCCGAGGATGTAGGGATGTGGAAAGATTGGCAATTATGGTTATGATGCATCGTATCCTCCGGTGCCAAGCTGATACTTCCAATGAACGGTGGAAAAAACTCCCGCCGTGGCTGCAAGGCAGGTGTGTAGATTTTCACTCGATTCCTTGCACATTGGGAAAAAAAACTGACTCTTGACGTGCACATAGGCCATCTCAAATGCTGCCACATTCCCCAGCCGTTGACTTCTTTGTATGGTTAGTAGCAACTTTCTTCCCTTATTCCTAGGGGAATTCTTATCTGAGACGTGCTTTCCAGGCCCGGAGTACGAGAACGCTTCGTCTTTTTCCAGCACCGCTACTGCTCAAATACCTTCTGGAAGGTCTTTGCAGAATCCTTCCGATTATTGTGGCCCTTCGAATTCCGAGATTGTTATCAGAGAAATGTCATGACCGGAGCATATTCTTTGTCACCCGCATTCGAGAGCCGGCTATATGATATTAACTGCTGGGCGATGACGAATGATTTCTTTTACCATTTCCCAGACTTTCGCTCCGATATACCATGCGCGCAGAATATCACGAGCCTCCAGTTTCGGCACCAGCCTGAAAGCGAAGACTCAGAACAGCTGAGTAACAACTCTTCGTCCTACCTCCTCGACACTATGTTTTAGTTACCAATTCTGTGTAATTTGAAATTGAATGTATTATGTAGTGAGAGATATATAGAAACAATGCATATCACAGCCTTTTATGATTGATAGCCCACGCGTTCCGAAAGATGCTACGCTTTGTCCATGGAACGCTAGGTTTTGTCATCTCCTGTTTTAACCAATCATCCACCTTACACTTCGTAATATCATGCTGAGGAATGAAATGCCTGCCTCTGAAAATACACTAATAGCGGTCCATCCACCCCAGCCTCTTGCAAACGACAGTAGTACCGCCCAAGACCGCAGTCACTCCTGTGAAAACAATCAGCGGTCCATAGCCACTTCCCCATGCAGAGGCCGCTTCGTCCTTCCATAGAAGATTCTTGATGAGCGCCTCACTGAGAGGCCCCGACACAACATTACTCAGTCCACGCCCTGCAGTCATAACACCCAAGATCATGATGGGGTCATACGAGGCAGCCCTGTTCTCCCCAGCAGGTGACTCGTCCGCTGACATAGCACTGGATATGATGTCTCGTGTCATGGCCGGCCATATTGACACATATGAACTGGCAAAAAGCCCGTAGAGAATGCAAAAGGCGTAAAGTGTGGCTAGGTTGCTGGCTAGGCCCCAGAGGAGAAATGTGGCCAGTGTGGCGCCGATTGTGGAGATGATGAGACAGGTCGAGATCCCAAACTTATCAGTCAGCGAGCCCATGACAATTGTACCGATGACAGCCGAGACGTTGATGAGCATGACTGTCAAGGCAGCTAGGAAATGACCCGCGCCTAGAAAGGAGCGGGCGTATGTAGGTAAATAGACAGCAGGTAGGAAGAACCCAATGGATTCAGCCATGCTGGCAAATTGATAGAAAAGGAAGGTCTTGTCCAAGAGGAACGGCAGTTTGTAGGGTTTGGCGTGTGTAGAAGAGCTTATTGGGAGTCGAGGCCTCACAAAGTAAATGAGCGGCATTGTGACGACCAAAAGAGTGACGGCCCATATGCGTAGAGCAGTTCTGAAGCCGTACTTCCCAAGCAGGAACTCGAGCAGTAAAGGGATGAGGAAACCTCCAGTACCTGTTCCGGACCAAACGATCCCAAAGGCTAGGCCTCTGCGTGACACAAACCACTCATCCAGGTATAGCATGCATGGGCAGTAGCATGTGCAGGCTGCGATGGCGTAAAATATTCCTTGGGTTACGATGAGTTGCGGCACGGTCATCGCAAATGACGATGCCACTAAAGACAGAGACATGACTAAAAGGCCAGCTATAGGGCCATATAGGGTTGCGCGTGGATAGAGCCGTTGCAAGAGTACCACTAAGGGGAAGCCCATGTAACTAACACCCTACGATTAAAGTGAATGTAAGTATCGCGTCCAGGCACGTGAGGGGACTTCAACCTACGATAGCACAAGTTCCAATCGTTGCGATACCAGATGACCCGGCAAAGGGCTCATGTGTCTGATAGTAGTCTTGAAAGACGCCAAAAGAAAAGGGAAATCCTATATTCGCCGAACAAACACGCATCAGCACAGCGTAAGAACTGAGGATGACGAAGTGTAACTGCTTACCCCAAACAACGGCTTCGATTAGAAAGCTTGCAGCAAGGAACAACCAAGCGCTCTTTCCTCTGTCTGTAGGTGGCAAGGAGAACTCGGGCTGTCCGGTCCGTACTATGGTTGCTGCTTCAACTTGCCGAGGAGGTGTTTCATATCCGGAGGCTTTTGGTGAAGTGGTGTATCCGCTGTGCAAGGTTTTGCTGGTGGTGCGAACAGGCCCATTGTAATGCTCTGAGAGCTCGGAAAGCTCAAGAACTGTTGTTGTAGCCATGAGAAACCCACTCTTGTTTCTCCTTGTTTAATTAAATGCTTCTTTCTTTGGATCTTAGGGAGCATGAAGGCGAATAAATAGACAGAACGTCGGTAGCCGGAACCGAATATCGGGATGTGAAAGTTTTGCTTGATAAGCCGACGGGGGTTAATTCTCTTAGCACATCCTAGATCTCTTCCAAATACGGAAAGTACCATACAAAACTTGCATTATCTACCCTCAACACTAGAGGAGGGGCAACTAACTAAACAGCTTTCCCACTATTTTCAAGGTGGAGTCTTCGTTTCCAATATCGGTGACAGGTAGAGCCTGAGCTCGTGTTCGGTTTATAACCGCAAGAAAGACGGACACAAGGGCCCAACGTGCCAACCCGGTGTAGCCCTGGTTCAACACGTCTTGGACTGGAATTTACCGAACCGGAACCAAGCCGGAAGCACATCTGGCAGCCATAAGCAGAAGCAAAGTCAGAAACGCAAGATCTTGCTTCTATATCTATGATCCCGATGAGGGGAAATCCAAAAAGAAGCGGAACCTAATGGACGATGAGGTTGAGAAACCAAAGCCTACCATAACTTAACTACGTGCCAACCGCGAGGGTCATGAGAAAATCAGCTAGCGCCGCTTTTATTACTTGGAAAGCCGAAGTAACATGACGAATAGAGCTCTTAACTGCAAAATGAAAACAATATCGATCGTTTCTTCTTTTCTACCTCACATAAAACTCTCCGAGATCTCCATCTTGTAGTAGGTGTGGTATTCGAGGAAAGGGAGGGCCTTGCCTTCAATGCTCATGTATCCGTGAATAATCACGAGCTCCATAACTCTCACCACTCCAATTTTGGTAGCGTGATACTTTTTTCTATTACGCCTTATGCACCTCAATTCAAGAGTATAGCAAAATTAAGGTGGTGCCACCCCTCAAGAAGTTTGAATGCCTATATCTTTACCCCTTGACTTTCTGTTGGGGGCTATCGTTTAAGCGTTATATATTATGCTGATAAACCTGTAGACATAGAAGCCAAAGAAAGAATGTAACATAGTGGATAATGCTACAAAATTCCGAATGTAGGAAAGTTGGTGTTAATAGCTCGGAGACCGGTAAGAGGACTATTCTCAGTTAATTCTTTGGATATTCCGGAATCCAAAGTGTAGACTTCTAATGTATTAATAGGTGATACTAAATCTACTCTCTAAGTATACTTATTTTCACACGAAGAGAAGAGCTTTCCGCTTCCTAGCTGAGTCAAGAACAATACCCGGGGTCGCCATGTTATTTTGGCCGCCCTCTTCGCCATGCACTCTCAGCACTGCCACGACGCATGCGTCAGCTCCTTCATCATACGGTTAATCATGCTGAACACACAGGGGGTTGCACGAAGATGTCTGGGAATGTTTGGCAGTATGATTCCTCAACATAAAAGAAATACATCTATTGCATTTTAATCCTCACTAGGATCTAGTGCGAAAGTAACGGCAGCTATGAGGATTGAGGTTTCGGTAACATTTTTAAAGATGCAGACAAGTGCAGCTATTGATGGGCAGGGGAATGAGAGTCAGGCCAAGTCCACAGGCCATACCAAGGAACTGACTGATTGTGCTTACTTTTCCTTTGAAGTTCTGGGAGCGGTTCCCAACTCGAGGTTTCTGCTTTACCGAAAGGTTGATAGTCGTGAGGGCGGCCTTAATGATAGAGGTGGTAACATGTCGGCATTTTCGACGCCGATCGGCCGAGTAGTAATTGCCATGGCCCTTCTGAGACTCCAAGCTACGAGTCCAGTTGCCGTAGATTTGCGCCATTCGAGGCACCATCCCTTCTTCCTTTATTTCACATCTTAGTAACATATTTTGACCGTTTGCTTCATAAATTCGATATTTCCCATAACCCCAAGCCTAACCCTGGGGGCTACTCATGGAGACCGTGAGGTGGAGGATGGCAAGATTGATCTGCCCGGATTTGTAGCTGTAATTTCAGCAAACTTACACTCCCTATTTGGGAGCCTGTAGCTGGGAGCCTGCAGGGAGGCACAATTAGTGATACGAACAATAGACGAAATTCATCATCAGAAAGGGGCACTGAAGGTGGTACGTCAGATCGCCAAGACGGGATGAAATGTGGGTCTGCCGTCATGAGCTAAAACACGTGGAAAAAACTCTGCCAAGAACACGGAAAGGCTTGGTCAGACATCATCATCGTGTTTGCATCCATTCGACATCCAATTGCCACGTCCAGACATCCGAGAGCTGCTTGAAGCTCCTAAAATATATTTATAATCCATACGAAGACCATTGTAATACGGGTTTCCAGGATAAACACTTGGGTCCTCGTCATCATCAGCAGAGTGACCGATTTGGGCACACTTGCCTCTACGGGATACGAGGGTCTTCGACTGGGGCCAAGGATATACGGATTAGGATTTGAGAACACTCATGTCGCGTCCGGGTATAGGTCATGGCGCTTAAAGGCGATCACGGAGAGCCAGTTCTTAGCCCGCACTGAGCCCCTCAAGATGGTTTGCCATGGAACCCGAGGAAGTGGAATCTCTTGGATCCAGTACGTGGCAATGGAAATAGTGACTTAGCTGGCTATAGGTTTTTCGACCATAAAGGCTGGGACGAGTCAAGACACAGAGTGTGTATACTCCACTTGATTCTGGGAAACACGATCTGGTCGTCATGGGCGTGAGAAACCCGACCCGTCGTGAGTATCAGACCAGCCCAAGGGTAAAATCGTAACCAATCAACATATGCTGCGTAACTGACAAGCTTTTGCGGATCCATCAGGGACGCATTACTGCAGGAACCAGGGCTTCCGTAGAGGCGCAGGTCGGACGCGCGGACGATGACGCGAGCTTCCCCTGAAAGCGCTGTCCCTCTCTTTCGAACCACCAGCGCTCGCATGCCATTGGTTTTCCAGCCAATAGGTGCCACCTTCATCTTCGGTGTCTATCGATAACGAACAAATCTACAGTGTCTAGTGATCTGTACATTTTCATCATCCCCCGAGACGCAGCCTCTTCCAAAATAGATATGGGCTCACAAGTGACGAACGCTCTCCACTTTAGCTAACCTCCACTTTGATATTAGTCTACCCATATATAATCACATTGGCGATTCCATTTGAGATGTTTTATTTTTGAATTTCTTCTTAAGCTTGGCTGGCTATATCTTTTCACAGAATTAGCGTTTCCTTGTTTCCTGTCTCTCGCTTCTTAACGTTTCTTGATCACTCGTTCAACAACTACATCTTTTTAACTTTATTCAACAACGCACGAACTGCAGCAATGTTTGTCAAGTATTTGGGTGCGGTGGTTTGCATTTTTGCTACCTCGGTCGTGTCCCAGACATATACCGACTGCAATCCTACCGAGAAGAGTATGTTAGACCAAGCTCTTCAAAAGCAGAAATCAGACTTATTAACCCACGTCCAGCCTGTGATCCCGCTCCGGCCCTCGGCAACTTGACTATTGATTGTGATTTCACCCAGGGAGCTTGCAGCGACTTCACCGCCGCAAGCGGGACCACGATCACATACGATGACAATGGCGCCCTCTTTTCTATCGAGAATGATACCCAGGCCCCCACCCTCTCGACATCGCGATACATCTTCTTTGGCCGCGTGGAAGTTCAACTAAAGGCGGCTGTCGGGCAAGGAATCATCACATCCGTTGTGCTGCAGTCCGCGGATCTTGATGAAATTGACTGGGAGTGGTTTGGAGGGAAGGACACTGAGGTCGAGAGTAACTACTTTGGCAAAGGCGATACCACTACCTATGATCGTGAAGAGTACCACGATGTTACTACGCCGCTCTCGGCTTATCACAACTACACAATCGAATGGACTTCTTCAAAGGTTGAGTGGATTATTGACAGTGTGGTCGTCCGAACTCTGAACTACGCGGATGCTGAATCAGGTACTCGTTTCCCTCAGACTCCCATGCAGCTCAAGATCGGTACCTGGGCTGGCGGCCTCTCAACCAACTCCGAGGGTACCATCGAATGGGCTGGCGGTGTTACTGATTTCAGCGAGGCTCCTTTCCAGGCCTGGTACAAGTCCGTGTCCGTCGTTGACTACGCCGGCGGCAACTCCTCTGCCACGGAGAGTATCACTGAGTATGTCTACAGCGATACTTCTGGCTCACATGAAAGCATCACCGTGGTCAAGGGCGAGAGTGTCTCGGTTGAAAATCTCACCATCAACAATTCAACCTCACTCGTCACTACAGCGAGTGGATCAAACGCCTCGAACGATACTACCGGTTCAAACAGCACCACGACCAGCAGCACCAGCACTACTGCGGCCCAGGCTACAAGTGCGACATCTACTGTCACTACCAGCAATGACGCGGCTTCCGGTTCCGTCTCCACTCTTTTCGCCATCTGCGCTGCCGCTATCATGATTTCCGCTTTCTAAGTCTGCATTCCATGGGCATTCTTCATAGCGTTAGATAGAAGGGAAAACCCAGATGGAGGTAAAGCACTAAGCTGAAACTACTTTCTAATTCCTAACTCCAACAGGGGGATATCAAGTCAACACCGAGTTAGAACTTGGAGTTGAACAAATGTATTCTTTCATAATATTTATGCTCTGGATAATTATGCATTATCTTGCATTATTTCTGTAGACGAATCATTTAGCTCAACCCGCCCCCAAAAACCCAGTTGGAGATAAGAATCATAAAAGCTGCTGGCAGTACACAAATCAGATATCGCCTAGGGAGACGCGTATGATTTTTTAAGTTCTAAATCATGATATGGTTTCTCCCCATTGATAGATATCTAGCCTTAGAGCCTTATTAAGCGCCTCGTATCCGTGCCAATTGCGCCAATTAATGCAACCTACCCGGGAGCTTCGCAACACCTTACCAATTATTCAATGATATGTATCTTTTAAGTAATACATGAAGGAGAGTGAAATGTATTCGTCCCAAATGTTGCACAATGTAATTATTCAATCCTCGGTATCAATTTGTTGTTCACATAAAATCTCATCCACTCCTTCACGATCACCGCACATCCATGCTGCATGTAATCTTTGGGAGAATCAAGAATCCAAAAAAATTCTTTTAGAACGAGACTGATACACATAAATAAAAATCTTTATAAAATCTATTTTGCTTCTAAACAACCGCTAACTCAGAGCTGCAGTTCAAGTTTTCTATCCTTCCATCTATCGAGTATTGAACAAATCAAGCCTTAGTTTCCTGGCCAAGTGACGTTGCCAACCCACTCGCGGAAGATGGCATCAAACTCGGCGGGCTTCTCCTCGTGAACCCAGTGGGCAGTTTCAAGGGTCTGGAATTAGCAAGATGTTAGTAATAATATTGGATGTCATGGGTCATGCCATTTCACTTACAGCGGTGTAGTGGTTCGTCAGGTAGTGAGCAGATCCAAGCTGTTCAGCCACGGCCGCCCAATCGGCAACGGGGTCCTTGGTGGGATACAGAGCGAATGTGGGCTGGGGGATGGTGAAGTTGCCCTGGTTGTGCTCGAACTCCCAAGTCAACTTGCGGTTAGGTTCTTGGTATCCGTTGAAGGCTGCGGCGCAGACGAGAATTAGTAAACTAGGCTGCGAGCATGCCGGAATAATGACCGTGACCTACTGTTGTAGAAGCCCTGCTTCTGGTAGGAGGCGACCATGTAGTCCTCAACCTCCTTGGTCATGATACCAGAGAACGGAATCTCGTCGCGGCCAGCTTCCTCGTTGGCCTTGTACCACGCATTGAGGAAGGATTCGCGGTCAACCAAGAAATCAGAGGGAACGGTGCTATTGGCGACTTGAGCGCATGATCGGATGGCACTGCGAGGGTCACTGTCGAGCTCTGCAGCGGCGACCTTGGGGTCCTTTGAAAGGAAGATCTGGTATCCAAAACCAGGAGCCAAAGAGGCCAGAGCTTCGTTGCTGATGAATTCTGTGCTGCTAGGGACGTACTTTGCGCATTCATACGTCAGAATGGGTTATATACACACTGGAAGAAGAAACTCACAGGAACAACTTCGTTGAAGATACCAATGAATCGGTCAGGGCGGGCACGGCCAGCGCTCCAGCAAACCTGCGCACCGAAATCATTACCCATGCAGATACCTGCCTGAACGTTGGCCTGGTCCATAATACATGTGATGTCGTCAACGACCTGGAGTTCTGTATCAGTACAAGTTGACATGACATGCCTTTGGTCGGCCTCGAGTGATTGATTTTCGACATACATCAAGCATGGAGTTGGAAGAGATCAGGTCGTCGGGGTGCTCTGAATCACCAAATCCTCGCAACTCAACAATGATCAGACGGTAGTCCTTGCCAAGTGTGTCGATCTGGTGTCGGTAGGTAGTCCAGAGAGAGGGCCAACCGTGGACCATGACAATCGTCTTCTCTGCCGTGGGGTTGATGTCGACATAGGCAAGCTTCAAGTTCACATCAACAGGCGCATCGCTGCCTCTATTCACAGCCTTGCAAGTAGCAAAGGATTTCTTGTACTGGCTGGGGTGGAAGGCCCTGGGAGCAGGGGTCGCCGAGGCGACACCAGCAACAAGAGCAACGGCGGCAGGGAAGAACTTCATTTTCGCAAGACTTTTTGATTGTGGAATGCAGTAGCGATGCATTCAGAAAAGCAAAGCGCCGAATCGAAGGTTTAAATATTTACAACTGCTCAATGCCAAGGAGTTCTGGTCGGCCACTCCGACCAAGCACCACGAGGATGCTCCCATTGGTGGCGAATGACTGTTAGAATAACCCTTCCTTAGTCAAACAAGTCAATTGTCTTCATCGGCTGTATCAGCCAATCAAATACTGTGGGAAATCAGACCGTACCGAGCGGCTGTCCCAGTGTGCCGAGGCAGCTAGGGCTTCACCTTGCAAATCCAAAGAGGAAAGAAATTAACGTCGATGACTGATTCCTAAATAATGCTGGGAACTGGGTCCCCGTGTAATACGAAACTGGTAGACGCAAGGTCTGCATCCTTTGGCTCTTAGATCCGCATTATGAATCAAGCAGGGATATATGACACGAGGAAAGTGCTATATTTTGTGGACATTTGGTAGTTGACTAAGTAAACAACTAATTAAATACTCTTCTGACGAGCGTAGAAACCTTCTCGAATGAATCCATACTGGAATTGCTTTTTGTTGATTTTCCTAGTAGTGATCTAAATATAGCTCTTCTCACCTGTCATCCATATCTGGATGGTGATGAAGCAATCCATGACAGCGAGGGATCAAATTTCCACCTGCTCCACAAGTCCCCGCCCGCTAAACTTTTGCCGGAGTTTCAGTACCGAAACAAGCCGCCAAACGGAAGGGAAACGACGATCCTGGTGGCGGTTCCGGGCGACAATGTCTGGGACACGGTCCTTGATTCGAGCTATAGCGCTTGCCGTGTTCATATCGCCAATTCCCTTGTTGTCATGGTTTGCGTTACCATTTTACATATTTTTGAAGTGCTCTGTTGGGAGAGCGAGGATTCGAACTTTGTTTGGTAATTTCAATATTGTCTGGTTATTCGTGAAAGGTCCCAAGGATTTGTCAAGGATGCTATTTGTCGAAGGAACTACTGAAGAAGAACCCATGGACATCTCTTTTTACATAACGCGTCCTAATAGCGCAACTGGTTTTGCGGTCGAGGATCTTCAAATACGTATTGATGAGTGCTGAGTAATACTGATCCGTTTGCCCAACTACCATTTTATCATGGAAGATTGTTGCTCTACTGGAGATATCGCGACTTCTATCCCGTATCTGGGTCTTAAAGCACTGAACATAAGATTCCTGCGCCTAGATAGTAGCTATTGCGCACCTACTTGAGAAGACATGTCTTGTTTCTGAACCGTGGCTGGCGAAATTAGAGGTTCCCAGGAAACATAGCTAACCACCTATTCATACAATTCTGCATACGCGTCTCGGAATGGGGATAATTTAAAGCTTCCTAGTACATGTCCCTGAAAGTTGACCCCGTTGGCCTCAAAAAGGCATTCTATCTCCTCGTGGTCGGAAACGACCCCATCCATGGGCGTCGGGTCCTCAAACAAAGATGGTTTAGGCTCGGGGTTAAAGGCGAATACCCGGAGAGACTGTAGGCTTGGGTGCGACGATTTACAAGCCAAGCTGAATGTGCGCAGAACATCCGCCAACGCTCTCTTATACAGGAGCAAAAGGTCCTCGCCAGATACAAAGCTTGAAAGCTCACGAGGAGTAAACAGGTCCAATTTACCAAGCTGGTCGATCATCGCATTGGTCGGGCCCCAGGTCCAGTCATACAGCTGCAGCGATTTAAGCGAGGTGGGCAGAACGGCATGGAGCGGACGCGATTGGAATTTCTCGATGGGGCTAACGAGTGAGAGGCAGATCGAAAGATGCTCCAGTTTCGCCATGGACTTGAGGCAGGTTAGATGAAAATGCTCCATGTTTCGGGAGGTGCAGAAGTTGTGCAAGTCAAGAGCAACGAGGCTCTCCCCTAGCTTTGTCAACGCTGAGTCCCAGAGCGGTGGGCCGGTATAGCCGCCTGAACGTCCCGAAACTGCTCTCTTATCTCGGTCTTTGGTACTTGGTGCTTGGTCAGGGCAGTGTACCGTAAGCTTAGATAGACTTAGCATGTTGCTGATCTTGCCAAGTGCTAGCTCAGTGCTCGACGAGGTGATGAGGTGAAGTCTTTGGAAATTGTAGCCTGGTTTAGAAGCGACAGAGGGAAGAATTCCATGGAAATCTTTCAGCGTCCCGAGAGAGTCAACCACGACCTCCATCAGATTCGGGCACCTAAGAAGATTAACGCATGCAGAGATTCGGAATGTGTAATGAGGCCATTCGACTGCTGATGGTAGGAGCCCTTGTCTCATCTTGGAGTAGTTATCGGGTATATAGGTAGGGCAGTAGGTGAATCGCACATGCGTCAGCCTGTGTAATACCTTGTGAGAAACACCGTCATATTCGCGGAGTAGTCCAAGCAAAGAATTGAGTGTCTGGTACTCGTCATTTATTACATCTTCATCACTCCAGTCAGAATCATCGTCGTTCACCTCGCCGCCGGCGTCGTCAACCCATCCCGTGACACACCATTCAGGGCGAGGAAGAGGAGGGAAAGCCAGAGACTGGATATTGGGTACAAGACAAAGGATCGCAGCAAGACAGCGTTCGCCCAGGTCACTCGGTGGTTCTTCGCCAGAGTGTGCAACAAAGTCCAGGACAGCTGCGTTCAAGTCTGATAGCGATCTTGCTCCCTGGATCGCTTGCTCATATATGTTGACGGATTTCTCACGCAAATTTTTCAAGACACCCGAGGGTGTCTCGGGTGAAAGAGCGCCTTGTAGCCTTAGAAAAAATTGGCACTCAATGTGTAGCACAAGAGACCTCAGATCTGGGCGTTCCAGCAGGGTTCGTAAGAAGAGCGACATGGTTATGATGCTGGTATCCACGGTGGGAGTTTTCTTCGCGCTTTCTAATGGAGCTGATCGTAGGACAATAGTGCGGTACAAGAATAAATTTGCTGCTTCCCTTAATCTGCGGCAGGTCAAGGAGAGTACAAGTAGGATTTGAGTAGCTGATGCCTGCGCTCGGTCTCTGCTTTTGGTGTAGTAAAGAGGGGAGTCGCCTGTCGAGTTACTAGTTGATATATCCACAAGCATCAATCGGATAATATCACTCAGCAGCTCTGTGGGCAGCTGTAGGATTAATCCCTCGCTGCTGGGCAAATCGGACGGCATGGCGACGGCATTGGAGGATATGCTCATCGTGACGGACGGGCTTCTACCCCTCAGCGAGAAGAATGTTTTGTTGAAAATGAACAGACGCGTATCCAGTAATCAAGCAGCATGTATCATCCCCAACCAACAGAACGGGCTGAGGTGGCTGAGCTCTGCATTGAGCCCCAACTGCAAGTAACAACAGACTCACCGCCACTCTGAGTGACTCAGCAAAGCAAGCCACGATTTCATGCATGGACGTCTGCCTCACTTTGTTTGATCCAGAGTGGGGGTCACATGCCAACGCCTTGGATATTCCGTTTCCGGAATTGACGTATAAGCCAAGCTTAGTTTGATATCAGCGCCTCCTAAACTTAGTATTCATTCGTTTCGTAAACAAGACAGCATATACTTTGTCAATGAAGCGAGCATATACTTAGTGACAGAAAGTAATACGTGATTCAATGACCAAAGTGTTCCATACTACTATTGCAACCGTAATGTAACTATCCTAAGAACAAATACTAGCCTGTGGTCCGGCATTGGCAAGAACCTTGCTGGGGACGTCATTTGCACTATCTAGAGTATACTTGTAGAAGCTGCTTGGGTCGAATGAAGTACCCTGGTCCTTGCTCTGAGTGCCCGTGCAGCTCTTGAACACGTTCCCCTTGCCTGTCAGAGTCGCTGTGCTGTCAGCTTGCAGCGGGTTCTTGGAGCTCTCAAAGTAGCAGTTCTCAACACGTGCGTTGGTTTTCCCGCGCGCGTAGTGGCCGTAGGATTTGACTCCACGCAGGTAGTTGTTATAAAGATGGGCATATTTCAGGTTGTCTGCCGAAGGGTTGCGTTGGTTGGTCCCATCGAAGAGGTTATGGTGGATGGTTCCCTGTGCGACTACATTGTCTGTCCAACCTGTTGACGGGGTTAGTTAACATGTGAATTATATAGAGATATGGTTTGGTTGAATATCGCATACCGATGCCGAATGTCTTGTCATGGTTACGGAAGATGTTGTTCGATACCGTGTAGTAATTGGAGTCCTTGCGTAGGTCAACCAAACCATCTCCGCCCTTCTCAAATGTGCCTGCAGGTGTTAGTGACAAAATGAGACTCGTATATTAGGAGACCTACAATGATCAATCCAGATGTTAGAAGACGTGTCAACCTGAATGCCGTCGCGGTCGTTTTCAGCCCCAGTCCCGTCGTCAGTGTTGCCTGCGAACACAGTCAGCAGCCTGTCAAGGGATTCAAACCGCGTCAATCGTACCAATCTTGAGATTACGGATAATAACATTGTTCGCAGGCTTCAAGCCAAATCCGCCTTGATAAATCTCACCGGTAGATCCGATACCGATGATGGTCTTGTCGTTGGAGACGGGGATCTCGTACCCAAAAGGGGAGGCTGTGATTCTGCCGCTCACCTTGATGACATACTTCCCAGAGGCACTGGCATACTTCTTCAAGTCATCAAAGGTCGAAACCGTCACGACTGTGCCTCCGTTGCCGCCGGTGGTCCCGCCATTGAGCGAAGCAAAGCCGTCCGCATTGTCTTGGCATCCAGCCAGAACTATGGCCGCCTGTAGTCCGATACTGAAGAATATTGCTACCTTCATATTGAAATGAATTTGAGTCCACGTGTTGAGTTGCTGTAGAATAAGATAGGAGAGAGAAATAAGATGTCATAGCCGCGAGATTAAATACAAGCGACGGCCTCCCACTTCGGGAGTTTTACATTCCCTCACCCGAGCCAAATACCCCGTGAAACTGTTTTTAGTGTAATTGATCGACCTCCGGGACGTCTAAAACAGCATTCGCCTCGTATTTCCCCAGGAACGTACAGAATGGGGACCAGGTTGTCTCCATAATTGGTGGGCTTTTTGCTTCAGGTGTTGTTTCGGCCGGTTACATTCCGAAGTTGGCACGGAGCTGAGGCTCCCGATCTTCCTTGTCCAGCAGTCTTTCGCGGTCCCTTGCAATTAGAATGCCGAAGGATAATCAGGCTTAATTTTTAAATTGCGACAGGTGGTATGAATGCTTCATTTCGCCGTTTTGCATCCAGGTACTTCGTGAGAGTCTTGCGATGGGAAGTTGCTGAGCTACAACAATATATGAACGGATCTAATAGTTGAAGAAACCCTTTTTTTTTTTTTTTTTGTCCACCGTCATATTTTTCATGCGAAGTGCAGAACTTTCCCTTTCATCTTTGAGAATCTTGAGCATTCTGAGCGACCACCAATCCCCAAGAAATTCGTTTGTCTGGGCGTGAATAACCGAGCCCAGCAATCAGAGAATTTACCTCATGTGACTTCATTTGAGCAAATGAGCCTCTATTGATGAAGAACCGGCTAAATTAGGTTGATTTCAAATCATAGGATAGGTCTCTATTGACGGAGTTATAAATATATGCTCGGGGCGTACGGCGTACGGCAGCCGCGGGCTGCGCAATACAAGGACAGACCCAGCAGGTGCAGCTGCCGGATCTGGGGTGTTTTCAACGGCTTTGTTACTGCAAGCAAGCCCTCGACTGTTCGGAGGGGTGTATGTTGGATATGCTCGGTTGAGAGCTGTGTACTGTTATCTCTTATGATCTCTATTGTCTCGTCAAGGTCCGTATTGCCTAAAAAATATTACCTGATAATAGGATATATTCTTACTTATACTTAAAATAATAATAAGAATTTAAATAACATAAAATAAAATAAATAAATAAACATCTATTGTGATATCGAGTGCTAATGCCTAATATCAACCGGTAGCGACTGACAATACAGCACTGGATGCTATGTACACTATATATGCAAGTCTATGATAAAAACACTTTCTATATCCCATTCGAGGCCCATATGTACAGGGTATAATAGGATCTTTGTACCCGTAGATAGTGTATATACTCTGGCAGGCGGGCCAGTCCAGGATAAGGGCACGGATAGGTCCTCGTTGAAGAGCAGCAAACAAACGAGTGTGATAATGGGAAAGGTTCGATGATAAGAGAGTGTAAGGAATGAAAGTTGATGAGGACAAGACAGCGGAAGAGCTACTTAGTTGGAGACGTAGTGAGCGACGTAAGCAATCTCCTGCATGGAGGGGTAACCATCGACGGTACTGCCGTCAGGGTATCCGGGCTGGAAGAGGCAGGTTAGTTAGTGATTTACCCATCACATTAGAAGCAAAGAAAATGTCACTTACCCAGTTTCCTCCGACAGCTACGTTGACAATAAAGTACAAGGGAGATTGGGCGATAGCAGTCCAGACACCTGCATTGTTGATGCGGGCTCCAGTGACTTGGTGAAACTGGTTGCCATCAAGGTACCAGGTGACCTTCTGGTTGACCCAGTTGCTGTTGGTGCGGTCAATGTCCACACGCCATGTGTGCCAGCCTTGGTCAGGAATACCAGTGCTACCACCGATACCGGATCCCTCATTGCAGATGCCGCCGGGATAGACGTCACAGTGAACCGTTCCGTAACCGGTAAGCTGCCCATTGATAGTCTCCATGATATCGATCTCGCCACATGAGGGCCAGCTTCCACCAGTACGGAGAGCATTTCCGAGCATCCAGAAAGCTGGCCAGATGCCCTTCTTAGCGCTGGTGGCGCCGTCGCCAAATCGAAGTTGGCCTTCAAGACGGGTGATCCGGCCGTTCTGGGGAGTGAAGGTGTACTTGCTCTCCATGCGGCCGGAGGTCCATCCCTTAGCTTGGGACGAGTCCCTCCATGGGACCAGTTGGAGCGTGTTGCCTCCGCTGATCTGGACGTTCCTGTTGGAGCGGGTGTAGACTTGCAGTTCGTTGTTAACGCCCAGGTCGCCAGTGATGATGTTCCAGTTGCCCTCGTTGGGGGTGGCACCAGAAGCGCCAGGGAAGGTGTCCTGCCAGACGCGGGTGAAGCCCGAGTAGGTTGGCGAGTCCCAGGCGGTAGCCACGCTGGCAAGGGAAAGGACGAATGCGAGATCAAGGCGAACCATCTTGATTGATCTTGAATGAAGGAGTGTGAGTTATAAACGCCGGCTAGGCAGACTATTTGTGATAAGGATCGTGAGTAAACTGTTTGTATGTGCAGATAATGATGAGATTTGGCTCTTCAGGATGGAATCATGATGATCTTATATAGCTGTATTTTTACAGTCAAGGTCTGGTTATGAGACATTCTAAAAAGACTTGGGCTTCTTGGACGCCTGGGAATGCAAGGCAAGCAGACTCATCATGTTCATTTATCCATTCTGAACGTGACGAAAGACCTTGTGCAACAGCGGAATGAGCAGAAACTGTATTGACCAGCCCTGCTAGAGACAAGCAAGTCATCATCCTTTCGTGGCAGCTGCCCTTGGATTTCTATGGGGAAGGTGTTTGACAGAGAAGAGATATCATGGGAATTTCGCAAGAGATATGTGACGCGGCAAACCAAGGAGCGAAAGACATATTAGGCTTTCAGACATGGGATAGTAGCGCACATGAGCGTGCAAGAGGTGGCTGAAAATATGGCAGCATGATCGGCTGCGGCAGACCTAGAAAGCCAGTGGACTAAGCCAGCGTCTGTCTTGGGCAAAGAAAGTCCGGGGGGAGTACGTCCAGCCGACCAGGTCAAGCTTAGACAAGATAGATAATGATACAACCTGGCCTAGGTTTGGAAGGTGGGCACAAGATGCGTCGGTTGCTTCGTAGTCCCCCCTGAAAACATTGCATAGAAGGCCATCCTTTCCATTCTATAGCTTAAGAGAAGATGGGTTAAGCGTAAGGAGCCTTAATTATGGAGGGTATAAGCTTTTTTAAGGCATGGAAAAATACGAGCAAGATCTGTGGCTTGCATTTGCCGACACAACCTAACATGGTCCCTGCATATGTCCTAGATTGTCGAAGCAACTTGAGGGGTATGAGTCGTCTGAAAGAGGGTGCGACATCCCCGAGTCCTGGTAACTACACGTGATATTGAAATGCTACTTTAAGGCACCTGCGACTTTAGTTGATGAAACGTTGCTAGGACGAGGACATATCATGTGCTGACTACGGTACGTCATGGATAGTTATGTCAGCAGGCGATGATGCTACTCAAGGTCATCTTGGGATAGGAGATCCTTGTAAGCGAAATGTCACCAGCCATCTGGTGGGTGAAGCCAGCAGTTTGGAAAAGGGCCGATTGGCTAAATACTGGGGGAGAGTAATTGATCGTTAAATTGGACAGATCCATTGAGCAATATAAAGAAAGCTTGTAAATTTATTGGGAGTCCTCCCATCTGGGGAATATTGTGACGATGGCGGTGCGACCTGGGTTGAATCAGGCTACTTATATATCGGCCAATTATTCCAGGTTAAAACAACTTAAAACATGCGGTGTAATGGAATTTCATCGTTTGCTTATCTTGTTTCCTCGCCTTTCCCGAGAACACGGGGATTTTCCTCGGCGAGCATGTTTGTAGTTGCATGTCATCTATCAACTCTTTTACAGCATAAAGAGCCCAGTTTCAGGCCTGTGACAAAAGTTTATACAACAGCAAATTGCAAAATATCTTTGATAATATTTCATTGACTCTTCAAGTGGCATGTGGAGTGATAAGCGATAATTCTAGTCAGAGACACCCCATTTAAAACTTAGAAAACCACTTCGAGCTCTTGGATGGATCTTTGACAACGTCATCCGGCTTCCCAGATTCGTCACCCATCTCCTCGTCCAGACCATTATCCGTGATGACCTCCATCCACACATCGCTCGTGGCAGGGATGGGAGACACCTTGCAAAGACCCCAATACACGCTGGAAGAAACGATGAACCCGCAGAAAAAGTTGAGGTTGTAAATATAAGTCGCGCCAATAGGGACGGTAGCGCCAACAGCCCCGGCAAAGCCGACGACGTTGATGAGGATACCGCAGATGTAGGCGGTATAGGCGCGCCAATGGATTCCAAAGGTGTAGTAGTACGGGCCGTTGTCGCGGGAGTGGTAGAGCTCCGAGATTTCAAGGTATCCCTTGCGGACAAAGTAGTAATCCGACACCATGACGCCGGCAATGGAGCTGAGGAAAACGCTGTAGGCGGACAGATAGGTTGTGAACTTGTTCGAGTCGCTGAGCAGGTTCCACGGGCACATGGCCAAGCCCACGGCAGCACAGATGTAGCCACCGCGGCGGATGTTGATGAACTTGGGTAGTAATGCAGTCAGATCAGTGCCAGCTGAAATAGAGTTGGCAGCAATGTTGGTTCCGAGCTGCGCCAGGGCAAAAGCAAGCGCAATAACGAAGGTGCCGAACCGTTGACCAGATGAGGCGTCATCAATGAATCTGTCGAGAAGGTCCAGAGGGTTCCAGATGGTCTCTCCATAGATGATTGTCGCAGATGATGATACAATGATACCAATAAAAGACGTCACTGCGAAGCCCATAGGGATAGTGATCAACTGGGACCAGAGCTGGTCTCTGGGTTTCCGCGCAAAACGAGTAAAGTCGGGGTCATTTACCACCAGCGTTGCAAAGTTCGCGATGGAAGACATGATACCAGCAATCATAGCCCACGCAAGCTTTGATCCGTGGACTGTGTGCCCCTGCCTGATGATGGGGCCGATGCCTCCAGCACGAGAGCATGACCAACCCAGAAATGCGATACCAGCAATGGGCACGAAGTACGCCTTGACGGTGAACAAATGTCGGATCTTGTGGACGGGGAACCAGATCGCGGGCAGCGAGACAAACCAGAAGATGAAGAATGAAACGAAGTCGGCCGTGCTGGTTGAGGAACTGTTGAATGTGTCTGGGATCTTGGTGCGGTCCCAGGATAGCCAGATAGATCTGATCATGATGTAAACGCAGTGGCCGCCGATATAGCACTGTGTCCCGTACCAAATACAGGCTAGAAAGTGTCAGTGACTTGTTTCAGTGTAAGAGGACGGACAAGCATACCCATGGCGGCTCTGTTGAATACAGGCCACAAGCTTCCCCAAATACCGAATGACGATCGAGCGACAATCTGCAATTTCTGTTAGTTCCGATAACCCTCTTGGATGGCCACTGCTGATGATTGGATATACGTACAGGGAAGCCGATGTGATATGTGGCCCCAATGTGGCCCGTCAGGCAAATGAAGCACGCGGCGATGGCATAACCGATCCAAACACAAAGCCAGGCTTGCCACCATGAGAGGCCTCCAATAATCATAGAAGACGAGATCATCCATGTATTGATGTTGAAAGAGTCAGCAATCCAGAATCCGACAAAGTTCCACGCTCCCCATTGGCGGCGTTCTTTCTCGACAGGCTTCAAATCATAGTTGTTGAGCTATAGTGATTGGAGTGTTAGCGATTAGATTCTATGACAGATAGGAATGGTGCTAAATCGACAGCGCAGATCAACGGAAGGGTATACTGACCATAGGATTGCCTTCAGCAAATTCTCCCGCGTCAGCCTTGACGGACACAAAGTCCACCACTTTGGTGAGGGCCGAACCGCCAGCCATTTTCACGGTCTTGTGATACTGGCGATCTCGTTAAACACCGATTCGACGACGGAGGATACCAAGAAGGGTGGGAGAAAGTGAGTCTTACGGTGTGCCCACTGCGCTGTGTGTGTGTAGTATTGTAGGAATTTCTCCAGTGGCACGAATGAACGGCTACAACGCAGAAATGATACCCAATGCGAGCCAGCCCAGGGTATTACAAGGGAGGGGGCCAGGTACTTATATTTGGGGAAGTGTTTCTGTCGCTCCTCATGGCCGGCATGAACCATTATCGAACCGGCAATCAATTCGCTCCCCACGCGAGCTGGACTGCTTACAGGCTGGTCTCAGCGCCGTTGTAAAACAGGCTCAATGCTACTGGCCAGCCAGAGGCGGGAGATAAGACACACTCTGGGGGAGACCCAGCCCATGTACGGGCCAGGCAGCGGGAATCCCGGGGCAGATTATCAGCCAGACTAGGCATTTATTATCTAGGTACTCAGACCCTGGCTGGAGATAAGTATTTGACGCACTGTCATTGGCACATCTCGTAACTGGGAGCGTTGCTTATCATCGACCGTCTCCCTGAATTCTCCGCTAGCTCGTGGCATATCGGCTCCAAGAACAAAAAGATTATTCTAATTCGATCGAGTAATCGCGCCATTTCCTCATCAATCGTAAGACGAGCACAATATCCTGACTCTCTAGGCCTTTCTGGCACCGAAATCAACGCCACTCCCGCCATTGAGGCAGCCCTCGCCCCTTCAGCCACGGGTGAAGATGATAAGCGACCCCCTGGCTGAGAGACTGAGATCTTTTTACGTACTATTTTGCTTCTCTGGGACCCTGGGAGCCAGATATAACAATGTCACTCCCGCCAAGCGAGATAAGCAACGCAATCCTGGCCTTTCTCATTCATCTCGAAGGAAGCCATCTCATTCAGCTCCGAGGACTACGGGATGACATCCTTTTCAGGTTAATTGCTTTCCCCAAGTTGAAGTAGTCTCATCACGCAAGCCAAACATGAGTGCGCTGCCAAGTGATCATTACTTGCTATTACTTTTTCATGCATGGAGAGGCTAGAACTCCTCGTCTAACCGCAGCACTCTGGTAGCATTCCCTCCCAAAATGGCCTCGGTCTCTGCCGACTTCCCCTCCGTGGCCTTCCTAATGGCCGCCGTATTCCACGTCACACTCTCCCACTCGCCCTGCTCGTCCGTCTCCAGCGGCGGGAAGAACGGGTGGTCAGTCCCAAACATGACCCGATCCGCCCCGCTGGACTCGGCCGCCAGCTTCAGCGACGTGGGCGAGTACACCACCGCGTCGAGGTAGATCTGCTCCTTGAGCACATCCCACACCGTCCGCCGCGACTTGGCCAGCTTGCCCTCCCGCAGCAGCTGCCCGTCATGCACGACGCAGCTCTCGATCCGCCCCGCGAGGAAGGGCAGCGTGCCGCCGCTGTGGGCCAGGATGATCTGCAGCTCCCTCACCTCGTCGAACACGCCCGCCAGGAACATGCGCGTGACGGCGATGGTCGTCTCCATCGGGAAGCCCAGCGCCAGGGGCAGCACGTGGCCGTACTCGCCCGCGCGGTCCCCCCAGACCTCGCTTGGCAGGCCGTAGTGCGGGTGCAGGAAGATGGGTAGTTTTGAGTCTGCCAGCGCCTTGTAGACGGGGAGCAAGCGAGGGTCGTCGAGGCCCTTGCCCAGGCCCGACGTGCCCAGGATGACGCCCCGGCAGTACTTGAGGTCGCGCACGTGCTTGATGGAAGCCAGGATGTCCTCGAGGCTCGCCGTGAGGGGCAGGGCGGCGAAGAAGAATAGCCGGCGGGGGTACTGGCCGCACAGGTCGGAGAACTCCTCGTTGATCTTTTTCGCGATGGCGGGGGACTCGGAGGCGTCGAGGAAGTCCAGCCAGGGGTTCGCGAGCGAGACGACAGACTTCTGGATGCCGTGCGTGTCCATGAAATGGATCTTTTGCTGCACGGAGCTGTAGTGGGTTGTGAGGGGGCGGCCTGGGACCTTGGCCTGGGGGTCTTTGAGGGCATCCTCGAGGGACTTGACCTCTTCCTCGAGCAGGATGAGACGAGGGTCTGAGGCCTGCGGGAACTTGCGCACGATGGGGATCGTGGTCCGGCTCTCCATGATCTCTACATAGCTGGGAGGGTACATGTGCGTGTGGATGTCCACGATGCCCGACGTTGGGGAGGCCATCTTGGGCAGGGAGGGTGATGTTGTGGAGGGAGTGGTATGAATGGCCACGGGACTAGCGATTTGACGCCTGAATGAGTCGGAGAAATGGAATAAGGGATGGCAGTAAATTCAAGAACGTCTCAGTCCGAATAGATGATATAGCTCGGGTCACTTCACGATCCTAGACTCGGGCTAGTCATGACAAAGGCGAGGGCGAGAGGAGCAGAGAGGGACAGACAGGCAAACTCAAGGCAAAGCGGGGGTTCTCCACACGGCAATTGCTCGCAGGTCTTCTTATCATCTAGTTACACGCCCCCAGATTCTCCATATTACTTCTCCACATGCCCCAGTCAGCGCTGATGGTCGTCGTGATGGCCGTGATACCACCCCTCTGCTCGCCTATACGGTCTCGGCGCCAGCCCCAGCCAGGGTGTGCCTTGAATCGGGGGCTCCTGAAGATGAATGAAGTGAATGGGCAGTTGTGTCGCTACACTTGTTGATGTCGTAGTTCGATGTGAAATTCCTAGTATCCGTGTATTGGAGGATACGAATCATCTCAGTGGAATTATCAGATTATCGTATGTGTGCCCATCAAATCCACTGCGCAGACCTCGCGACGATCCAGTTCTGGAAAGCTTCTATGCTCATGTGCTCGGCAAGCCCGAACACGGTCCAGTCGATCTTTATATCGTAGAGATGGCGGAGCTCATCACTGTCTGCAGCTTCATATAATGGCACCACCATCAAGAGCGTGTCTTTAGCAGAAAGAGCATGCACCGTCTTCAGATGCGGCAAACAAGCCCATACTTGGAAACACAGACCGCGGTAGGTCTCATATATTGCGCCATCATAGACATCGACCAGGCTGTAGAGATCGAAGAGAACCCGCAACAGCAATGCCCGCAGCGCAACCAAGTGTATGGCCACCCGGGTAATCTTGTACGTGGTGAACTCGTATCTGCGACCGACGAAAAAGTCGGGGTCTGAATGCTCGATGATGGAGCCAGTGGATTGCAACTTTTTCCAAAGATTCTCGCCCACAGCACCAAGAAATCTCTCGGCCTTCGACATGCGATGGATGAGCAATGCTCTCTCGTTCTCCATGTCGCTCGGGTTTGCCTTGATCTGCCGTACTCTTTGGCACCAGCGACTAGTGAAAACAATCCAAATGTCGTTTGCAAGTTCAAATGTGGTTTCTGCCTCAACTCTCTCATTCCATTCTCCATCTTGGTCGTCTTCGAGCCATTGGGTTGCAAGTTCTCTATCATCATTTCGACTATCGTCTGCCCAAAAGTGGTTGTAATTGCTAAGAATGTCTGACCAGGGGGAGTCGTAGTAGGTACTGGGATCCAGATTATCAAAGTACGCAAGGTTACGCTGGTCGGCATATCAGCAATCCAATCGGCATCGCATGGATAGAATCCCCGAGTCGAGACACTAGCCATCATGAATCCAGTTATGCGGATTAGCGACAGATGCAGCCAGTAATTGGCACTTCTCGGATCCGGCATTCCCATCTTCTTGACTACATGACGGATGGCGAGTCGATGTGGTCGCACATCCTGTGGTGAGACCATGCCGCACTTGCAAAGAAGGAATTCCATCATGACCATGGCAGCGAGTGTTTCGAGTGTATATACATTTTCACTCTGCACGGCACGCTGCAGGCCTTTGATCGCCTTTGTATAGAGGCTGGTCTGTAGCAACTGATGAAATCGTAGCTGGGGATTGGCACATTGGCTCCAAGCATGGCAGTAAAGTGTGACACAGTTTAGTAGAATGGGGCTATGAGAGAGCCTCTGAGAGAGCTCGGGTAGCTCACCGAGAACCGCAAAAGTAGCCTGTAAGTCAGATCCCAACAGAACGCACCAACTGACCGGAAACCCGATCAGCAGCCGTGACAAAGCTTGGCCACGGGACCTTGAGACGAAAGGCTCCGCTCAAGGCACCACTATTGCTCGCACCATACTGCCTAAATGGCGTTCGAGTTACCAAGGCTAATGGCTGGTGAGTGGAGGAGTCTTGGGTGTTGGCCAACACCACGGCATTGTCTGAGTTGGCAGCAGCGTGGCCTCGGCCTCGGCCAACAAACTTGATCAGAGCTGAAGGCCCTGAGCATTCTATACCTTTGCGTACACATTGAGTGCATGTAGGCCATGATTGGTCGCACTACGGGGCACGGAGCGGTGAAAGCTGGTTCTGTTGGGTGTTCTTGTTTGTGCCTATTTACCTTGGTTCTCTTCGCCTTGCAATTTGTGCAAGCCGTAGACTTCAGGGGAGCAGGCATTATCAAAGTGACTTCTCAAAGTGGCAGTCTATTGAGACATAGATCATGCAGTTCTCTATTCACGGTAGAATGAGCGATTAAAAAGATTTTAAATGCCATGTCAGCGTTGCATGGATCTTCAGTGAATCCGCTTTTGATGGCAGGCCTTCACGTCAATCGTGTTGTTAACGTAGAATATCAAAAAAGTCTTAAATGAATGCATCAGTTAAATGCTCATTTTGTTTCTTTTATTGGAAATTATTAGGCTTCTATGAGATCGGTATCCTGTGTCTACATCAATGCGTCACATCCTCCCAGCTCTGCCAACCCCGGCCTTCCACATTCTTCAGCTCCTCCTCTGTGATTTTACTGCCTGTTGTGAAGTATCCAGCGTTGATCTTGGCGTCGATCTCGACTCTTGAGTCAGAGGGGATAAGATCTACTGATGGTTAGCATAAGTGACAGGCTAGAGAGTGAAGGAAGACTGACGGTCTGGGATGGGGATTCGCTCGTAGATGGGGATGCCCTGCTCGACAATCGCGTCGTGCTTCATGTTGGACATGGATAGCATCTTGTCAATCTTCTTTATGCCGAGCCAGTGCAGAATGTCGGGCATCAGTGCCTGGAAGCGCATCTGTACCAATATCGTCAGCAACAAGAACCACATCCACACCTAGAGAGATTATTTCCAACTTACATCGCGAACACCGGCAATGTTCTCCGTTCTGGTAAAATATTTGTCGGCAGTATCACCTCCACGCTTGCGAGAATTGTATACGAGGTACTTGACCACCTCGCCCAGGGCACGTCCCTCCTTTCGGAAGTAAATCACCACTCCCGACCCGCCGTTCTGCGCCTCCTTGATGGCCTCCTCGATACCAAACGTAAGATACGGCCGGCAAGTGCAGATATCCGACTGGAACACATCCGAGCCGTTGCATTCGTCGTGGATCCTCAGCGCCAGCTTCACATTGGGATCCGACACCCGCTCGGGCGGACCGAAGATGTACACGGTCAGACCGCCGATGGGAGGGAGAAAGACCTTCATGTCCGGGCGGGTGACGAGCTCCGGATAGCTGCCGCCCGTGTACTCGAACAGCGCGCGGCGCAGGATGCCCTCGTCGACGTTGAAGCGGGAAGCCACCCCGGGGAGGTGCCAGACGGGCTCGACGGCGATCTTGGTGACTTTCACGTCGCCCGTGCTGTTGATGACGACGTCGCCGTCGACTGGGAGGCTGCCCGACTTGATGGAGTCGACAATCTCGGCCACGCGCATGTGGGCGCGGGTGATGGCGATGGTCGGCCGCACGTCGATGCCCTGGTCCAGGTGCTTCTTGAAGTAGGTAGAGACATTGTGGCCGAAGGGGTCCATGGAGACGATCTTGGAGAAGTCGCCCCATGCCTCCTGCTGGGGCGGCTGGAACGTGGGCTGCGTGTTCTCGAAGTTGGGGCGGAAGTTGGGGGGCAGGTCTCCCGCGGCGATGGCGAGGGCGTTGTAGATGGCGTAGCTGCCGCCGTGGGCGCCGATGGCATTCCGCTTCTTGAGGGTCTCTTTCGATCGCGAGACGAGGATGGGGCCTCGCTTCTCGGGGTCTGCGTTGCCCCAGTTGAGCTCTACGGGGTCGACGACGCTTTGGCCGGGATATGTGGTGAGCTGGAGCTTGGTGAGTACTCGGTTCAGTCGCGGTGTTCTCACTTCTGGTCTACTTACCACAATGCGATCTTTGAACTTTTCGCTGAGGGCATTGGCCCAAGGCTCCGACCCGTTGGTGGCAGCCATTGTATCTTGGGAGGGGGAGACTGTGATGAAGGAGTAGATGGATGGATGATCCAACCAGAGACGACGCAATGACAATGAAATAGATGGATGAAGATGCACGAGGAAGACACGTACGAACGAAGGTTTTAAGATGTATGATCTCGATGATGGGACATTCTACAAAGGCCCTTGCCTGGACCGCCTTCAACTTAATTCCCTGAACCGTCACTATCGGGTTTGATAAGAGCACCTCACTGTGATAGTGAGCAAAGGGGTGTGTGATGAAGGAGGAGGGGCAGATCCAAGCAGAACGAGATACAATATTTACCCACTTCCCGAGACCCCACCGTCTGCCATCCATCCTTGGCTTCCTGGAGTCATACCCCAGTGGCTTAGATACACTCCTCCCCTGCTATCTATCTGTCCGGCCTGGTGTACATTTCCCCTAGCAATCAACAAGCTTGTTTCTGGGACCGATTCTGGCCTTCAGCCAGCGTGTGGGTTTCGTGGGTCGTGGGGAGGCGTGTCGATAACCTGCATGTTCGAAGGGGTGGAGGGTGAAAAGAAGGATATTGGAAGAATCTTTCTGCCAGAGCCTCATTTCAGGCACAGCATTAACGGCCGCTGCACACATTTCAACAGACTACCTGATTTTTCAGGCTAGAGGTCGGATTGCCGGGTCATGCTAACCCCGTGTTAATATCTAGAGCGGTCGTTCGGGTTGAATATACCGATGGAGCAATAAGTGTATGCAGATATTGGTTAATTGGCCTTTACTTGGACCAATGAACTTTGTGTTGACTTAAAACTCCCCTGGTTGGTTGACGTGTTTTGACTATCTGACTAAGGTCCTAAAATTAATACAGTGTTCCGTCACTGACTACGAGAATGGGGCTCGATTTGGTGTTTGGCCGCAGACTGGCTGCCAGCTCGCGGCCAGACTTCCATGTGCCAGCCTCAAGCATCTGGGCCATGCTCAAACTGACTCCACGCGCTTCAAAAGTCTTGGATACAATCTTATGTAGTTCATCCAGTAGTGCCACCGTCATCGCTCGCCACTCGACAATAACGTCGGAGGAGGCGTCGAATTTAGGCAGAGCCTCCCCAGAAGCCTTGAGACCCTCCTTCAGGTCGTCGTCCTTCAGAGTGAGTACCTTGAGATCGACGAACAATCCACCGTTGCGGTATTCGGGCAATCCGGTGCCAAGGGTCAGGTTATCCCAGCTGTAACCAAGCTGGCGGGTGAAGGGTACCACCAGCGAGTAGCCGAGCCACTGGGTGAGCTTGTGGAAGGGCTGGATCCGGCTCCTGGGGCTGGAGTTGCCCTCCTTGTCGGCCTTGGCAGTAAGAATAGCGAGCGGCCATGCATCTCCCACAGGCTGGCCGTCCACAACGGTGCGGTCGCTGGGCCAGGATGGGATGAGAAGCTTCTGCAGGCAGGACCACAAGGTCTCATAATCGAGAGCTTTCTTGTCTCCAGCCTGAGCAATCAGGTAATCTGTAAAATCTTAGCAGGGGCCTTGTTGGAATTGAAGCAAGAAATGAGCGTACCAACGAGCTTTCCGGGGCGTCCAGCTTCTCCAAAGATCTCTGGAAGCGATGCTAAAGACCGCCCGACAGACTGGAGCAGTTCAATTCTGGATGACACTCCGACCATGGGGTTTGATTCGGAGATTTGGAAGGACTTGGAGAAGACAGATTCTTTGAGAGATATCAATCCCTTTGCTACGGAAGGATTAGCAACCCGGTGATTTGATTCATCAAGAGGTCTTGCTTACCATCAACAGAAGTCTTGGATATGGCGCCCGATGAGAACTCGCCAGCGACAAACATGTACAGGGATGCGACGGCGATGCCTTCACTGCGGACGTAGCTCTGGTCCGTCTCTGGCTCCTTGAAGCTCCAGACATCACCAGCACCGGCGTCGAGAAGAACCGACACGAAGAAGAGATCAATGAGGCGGCGGGTGATCTCGACCTTGTCCACGCCCTCGTCCGTCCAGCCCTTGATCAGCGAACTTACGCGGGGCACGCCGCCAATCTCGAAATGCTGCCAGCGGCCGTGAGGGGGGATCTGGTCGAATTTGTCCGGGCCAAAGTCGCGCTGGCAAATGTCAACATGATTGATTCCTGATGATTGAATAGGGCACGCTCACCTCGATCAGACCGACGACATACTTGGCCGCATCGTCCATTTTGGCGGCATCAAAGTTGAAGTGGTTCAGACCGCCTTCTTTGGCAGCGTCGAGGACGACGGATGCCTGTGCCCGCACGGCCTGGAGGGAGAGGATGTAGTCTCTGTCGGATGCCATGATTGTGATTATGATTGACTATGATGAATGCAACGTCTGGTGGAGGTGCGTGGGAAAGATGATGATGGTGATGTTTGCAGGATCGAGATGGCGGTGGGCGGTTGTCTGGAGCCACGTCACGTCACGCGCGATGTCAGTCTAATGCAGGATGGAGAGACTCAGGCCTCTGTCTCTGTTTTTTAATGGATGAGGGGAAGGTTTTTCTCGTGCTGCTCGAGCCAGAGGCAAATGGGAGGAAGATGCTCGTTGGGCAGAGACACACCGCAAGTCAGCGGCCAAAAGCCAGCAATCTACTGCTAACTCACAGCGGTTGTAACGCCTGTCCTGCAGTGGCTGATGCACTAACTACAGTTGCCTACCTTCTAAAGGAGGTGCACATCATTTTCTCTGGCAGTGATCAACCAACCTGCACCCCTCTATCACTTCACCCACGTTCGTCACTTTTTCCCTCTGCTTCATCTCAATTATCTCGTTCCATATCCACAATCCAGACGGATAGCAGTGGATAAACCAGACGCGACTCCCCCTCGTTCAATGATTGCACACTCTATCTCGGCTAGCTGCACCCCCCGCCCAGTGTGTCGATAGCAGTAGCCCGATAACAAGCAACAGGCCAATCTCATCCACTGTTATCGCACCCCTCCTCCTCCCCTCCCACTATCGCAACGGGCAACACTCAGTAATGCCACACCAGCCCGACGGCACAAACAGGACGAGAGACTTGCTACTCTCACGCTCTCTATAAGTCACTTGGAACAATCGGCCATCTTTGCCATCCGTACGTTCGTCAATCTACACCGTTAAACATATTACCTTTGATCCCATCCCAGATTTGAGCCATCATCGTCATTCAACTGACTGGCATCTCGCCCAGACCAATCTTCTTTCATCCGATCAAACACAGACACACACATTGAAATGGCCTCAAAGATTGTAACATGCTCCAAGAGCCAGTTCGCATCTGATCTCGAATCCCTCCGCGACCGCTCAATCAAGCCCACCAAGGTCCGCCAGCTCGTCAGCGAGCTCACCAAGTCAATCGTTGAGGATGCCATCACAGCCCCCGACGCCGATGAGAAGCTTGCCATCATTGTCATCCTGCGGTCCGGCATGGCCATGAGCGACTCCTTTGTGTCTCAGCTCCCGGCCGACGCAGATGTCTCCATCTACCACCTCGGTCTGTTCCGAGACAAGACTTCCCTCCAGCCCGTCGAGTACTACAACAAACTCCCCGCCAAAGACCCCAAGATTAAGCACGCCTATGTTCTTGATCCTGTCCTTGCTACTGGTGGCACTGTCACAGCAGCTATCAACATTCTAAAGTATGTTCTTCCCCTGCTACACTCCAATGCTGCAATGCTAACCTTCCTCCTCGTTCATAGAGATTGGGGCGTCCCCAGGGTTACTGTCGTCAACATCCTTGCCAGCAAAGTCGGTCTTGCCGCCGCTTCGGGTGTATGGCCAGAGAGCACAGATTTCATTGTGGGAGCGATAGACCCAGAGGTCGACGCAAAGGGCCACATTCAACCTGGCATTGGCGATATTGGAGATCGTCTGTACGGCACTGGCGCTTGATTTTCATTAATGTAGTGTTAATAGACAATTTGTTTAAAAATGAACGGATCAAAATCTAGTTCGTGTCTTCCTAGATATGCCTAAACAGAGGTGAGAATACGTTGGGATAGTGTTTGAGCATGTTTCAATGTCCCTCATCAGCTACCAAGGCACATAGCAAATAGTATGGCATCTTTCCAGCCTTTGTCACATATAATGACAACGCCTTCAGTGTGACGACAGACCTCACTGACATCTACTTATGCCCCTTACCAAGCGCTTCAATGACTTCTGCCGCAACTCGTTCGCCTGCCCTGACGGCTCCCTCCAGATACCCCTTCCACTCATATGCGGTCTCTCCGCCCCCGAAATGAAGATTTCCATATGACTCTCTCAGGGCGTCGCCATACTTCCTAAGCAATCCAGGGCCCATGGCGCTGGTTGGCGCCCCCCATATGAATTCCTCCTTGGTCCACTCGGCGTAGTTGATCTCCAGAACATCGCGCGCTTTGCTTGCAAGATCCTTGCCGACAAGCGACTCCAAGTGGCTGATGATGGAGCTCTTCCTCTCCGCATCGGAAAGCGCGTGCCATCGGGTTGCAATGTCACCGGCGATAAACACGGCAAGACTGTACTGGGATTTCGCAGGGTCCGACGTGTCCCAGCTAAAGCAGAACGGCCCGGAGACGGATGTAAACTTACCAACCAGGCCTGCGTCTCTCCACCAAGGCTCATTGTAGGACAGGATCATTTTGCCGTAGATGCCCGGCTTAGTGTTGGATACGATAGCCTCCTTCTTCTTGGGAAGGGGTGGCGAGAATGTGATGTCGCGGTAGGTGTTGGTCGGGATCGCGATGATGACTTTCTTCGCTTTGAAGACTTGCCCGGTCTGCGCTGTGACGATCGAGGTATCTTTGTGCTGCTTGATTGCCTTGACGGGCGTGTTGACTAGGACACTTCCAGGAGTCATGGCCTGTGCCAAACCTGTCGCGATTGAAGTTGTTCCTATCAGGTGTTAGCAGAGATTCAATTGAACGCAGCCGTAAATCGTGCCATGAGGTCCTGCATACCTTAGGTTCGGCCAGCCTTCGAAGTTTGAAAAGGGCTGGAGTACCAATACTTTTAGATCGTGACGCCGACATAGCTCTCCAATTGCGGTAGCCGCTTCACAAAGCGAAGGGTAATCATGCTCGTCAATCTCGAAGCCAAGGTGGCGACGTCCAAAGGACTGTATGTCCGGAAACGAAATCTCAACGCCTTGGAACCCAGACTGAGCTATCGCCTCGATTTTTTCGTGGAGTGTATGCTTAGGCAAACCAATCGAACATGTTGCGAACGCAACCGGCATGTTCATCAATGACGCCATATCAGCCAGGAGTTGATTTGCAAATAGTATCAAAGTGCATTTAATAATTGAATCAAATTATAAGCCTTTGGAAATGTGAGTCCAACTTATGTGAAATCTACGTGTAAGTGATGTATTATGATGTCAGATCCATGTCACAGGCAGCCCGCTGCAACGCAACGCTGGACATTCCCCATAGTATGAGGCGATTTGCAATCACAGCTTGCATGTTTTGGAGTCAGTGGGATATTCTTGAACAAGAATCGTCTTTTGCTTCGACGTAATATTGGAGGAATAGACTAACTAGACATGGAGTCGTAGAAGCGTCTGAACCTCCTCCGCCTCCATTTCTGCGTCAGCACAGCTCCGGTACGCCAAATATTCGATCTCAGCGTGCAGTTATATGCGCCTATAGGGATAAATTCAACGATATCGTGAAAGCACACAGATTGCCAGGCCTGAATTTAGATTCTCATCACATTTCATCCTCAACAGAGCTTCGTCAGAGCAGGACAACTAGTTTCTTATTTCACTAAAATAGAAACCAATACTGTAATCTCCGTTGTACAGTATGCTGAATACCTTATGAGCCCCTTGCGACCGGCCTCCTTCGCCACCTCACTGCCAGGCTGGGAAGATCCAGAGGAACATTGGCCGCCCTTTGAGATAATATATCCGCCATGACGTATCCGACGAAATTCATTTGTATATTAAACGGGGGGCTTATGCCTCCTTAGGTAACATCTTACAGCCACGCCTATCCGTCACCGAGGTGTAATAGTAGACTGTCATTTGGCCATGACTGGGCTTCCCACACAAATGATTGAGGGGCAGACTCTCTGGGTAAGAAGCACCTGACAACCTAGCCAATGAACCATGAACCCATTACGACAAGTAGAAGTCATTCTTTGCATGATTGACACTGGCAGTATTCAATTATGAATATTTGTGCATTCATTAAGTCACCTTGCCTACAACGATCGCACACCCTGTTTACAAGTGAGCCGATCTATGTATAATCCATCAATTATGTTCCTATTATGTTAATCTGATCTTATTAAAACGAGGAACCAATAACTGCCAGATAGTAATATGAGTAATCAAGGATAATTATGACGAATTCGTTACTCGAAAATGATCATCTTTTGATGATGGATGAACGACCACCAAGCCTCTGCAGGACGTCATCGGCATATCTCTCAAGCTTAAAACAGGGTCTATTTCAGCGCCTTGGACTAAGAATCGCATGATGAGTTATTTCCAAATAGATCAAGAACACAAACACCGAAAACTAGTACGACGAACATCAATATGGAGTCAGCCAAACAGACAATTCACAAGGTCACCCACCCGACTTCGAACCCAAGCAGGGACACCCAGCGGACAGAAAACACTGGCCTGGAGCGAGACATGGAGCCCAAACCGCAAAAGGTTCATCTGCCTTCCGAGGGCGGGGACATCGCGTACACGCCGTCCGGTAAGCTGGCTGACAAGAAAGCTCTCATCACCGGGGGAGACTCCGGCATCGGTCGCGCCGTAGCCATCTTGTTTGCTATGGAAGGGGCCAAGGTGGCCATCGCCTATCTACCATCCGAAGAAGAGGATGCGCAGCACACAAAAGACCAGATAGAGAAGAATGGTGGGGAGGTCACACTTATCCCCAGCGACCTGTCCCTATCGATCAACTGCGAAGATGTCGCAAAGAGGACCGTGGATGCCCTCGGCGGAATTGACATCTTGGTAAACAACGCTGCCACACGACAGGCACATGGTGATATTTCTGATATATCTGAGTGAGTAGCCATCTACCGTCTTTCACCTGAAGAGTATTGCCCTGTTGCTGACAAATAATATGACAATAGGGAGCAATGGGCGTCCACTTTCCGTGTCAACGTAGACTCCTACTTCCATCTTACTAAACACCTGCTTCCGCATTTATCAAACGGCGCTGCAATAATCAATAGTGCGTCTGTGGACGCTTACATTGGCGCCCCCAGTCGGCTGGACTATGCGACGAGCAAGGGCGCCGTCATCGCGTTCACTCGCGCGCTATCCAACCAGCTCGTGAAGAAGGGCATTCGCGTCAATGCGGTTGCTGCAGGCCCGGTGTGGACGCCACTCCTGGCCACGGGCGTGAGCGAGAAGAGCCAGAAGGGGTTCGGGCTGGGGAACTGGACACCGATGGATCGAGTGGGACAGCCGAGTGAAATTGCCACTAGTTATGTGTTCCTCGCGTCCCATGAGAGTGCGTTTATGAGTGGGCAAACTTTGCATCCCAATGGGGGCATCGTTGTCAATGGTTAATAGAGGGACGAAAGAAGTGTCGGCGGGAATTTCTCTTTTGTCAATGACGGCAGTAACATTGGTCGCTCCTTTTACTCTTTACATGCTTCACGCAACGGAGACACACACATGAAGGAGAAATCAACTCAGTCATGTGAAAATTGGAAAAAGTGTTGCAGTTCAAGTGGCGAAGAATTATTAGGTGGAAGAAGGCAAGACACAAAGGCATGGAGTCTTTAGATATCGCTAATATGCTGCTTCACTTGTCGAGTATCGATATAGCGTCGTAGAATATCAGAAAAGCGTATATTGATCCGAGGAGCCTCGACACGGCTTTCCTCTCTTCAATCAGTTTGCAGTAAGATTCATCGACTTAGTTTCCCTTAGTTCTACCTTTTCCATCCTATGAAATGCAGTCTGCAATTTCCGTCGCCTTCTGGCCGGGATAGACAAATTCCATCATTGATGACGAGCCCGCTGCATCATAGCTCTACAATTCTGATGTAATCATGTGATGTAATACTTGTACGTATAATTGGGGAGAATGCATGCAACGATTGAATTTCGATACTAGGAGCCCACTTGACGCCTTGATATACCTATATCTATGTCCTCGATGCGTTAGCGGTGTTTGTTCGCAGCATGTTACTATGAGTTGCATCCCTTCCTAGAGAAATCACCACCACTACAATATTGTTGGCACAATAAAATCACCATGCCCGAGCAAAATATTAACAAGGTGCGCATTTCTCCTGTAATTTACTCCAGTCCTGTCTGACAATAACCTGATAGGTAGGGATGGTTGGTGTAGGGAGCATGGGCTCTATGATGAGCCTATTGTTTGCAGAGCATGGATACCAGGTCTTTTTCTTCGACATCGGTAATTATTACATTGAAGCCCATTTAATAAGAAGCTGGAAACTGACTTGCTACAGAACTGGGCAAGATGGACGAGACACAAAAAAAAGCTCAAGATTTGAATCTGCAAAAGGATGTTGTTCGACAGGATTCTTACAGTCAAATGTGCAAAAGTCTTTCTACAGATGCTCAAATTCGTCTTATTGTGTTCAGCATCCCTCATGGATCAGCTGGGGACAAATGTTTGGAGGGGCTACGCCCATACCTGACCACCGGCGACATTATTCTCGATTGTTCAAACGAGCACTACAAGAACACAGAACGGCGGCAAGAGGAGCTTAGGCCCCATGGCATCTTTTACGTCGGGTGCGGAGTGTCTGGGGGCTACCAAAGCGCCCGGGCAGGGCCATCAATGTCACCAGGAGGTGATCGCGAGGCTGTGGAAAGGATTCTACCAATTCTTCGGATCGTCGCTGCGAAAGATGACGGCGGGAAGCCATGCGTCAATTACATCGGCCCGGGGGGCTCAGGTCACTTCGTCAAGATGCTCCACAACGGCATCGAACAAGGCATGATGTCGGTAATTGCTGAAACCTGGTATATCCTGACTCGAGGCCTTGGACATAGCTATAACGAAGCTGGGCAGGTTCTCTACCAGTGGAATGAATCGCCCGAACTGTCTAAGTGCTTCCTCATAGCTATTGGCGCGGACGTAAATCGAGAGAAAGACGGCAAAGCAAATCATGTTGTATCGTACGTTCAGGACAAAGTCGTCCAGGACGTGGATGAGTCTGAAGGCACCGGAACCTGGACCTGCGAAGAAGCGGTGCGTCTTCACTCACCAGCTGCCACGATCATAAGCGCCCATCTCTTACGTTGCGCTTCGGCGGATTTGACACAACGGATGAAAAACCAAAAGGTTAGCAAAGGTACATATGCAACAAATCCACTGCAGGTAGATGATAAGGACAGCTTCGTTGACCAGCTGCGCATGGCGACGTATTTTTGCTTCCTTCTTTGCTTTGTGCAAGGGCTGAACATTCTGCGCCGAAAGAGCCAGCAGAAAGGCTGGGAAATAAACTATCCTGATCTACTCCACGTTTGGAGTGCAGGTTCAATCATCCGAGCAGATGCCATCATGTCTCTCTTGCAGCCAATCTGTTCACAGCCGAGAATGAAGTCAGATGGTGATGATATTCTGGCCGATCAAACATTGGAGAGAGAACTGGGCCGCAGCTTCGATTCAACAAAGAATGTTGTGCTCAAGGCAGTCGAAGCTAATATGATAATTCCTGCCATCAGCCAGTCCCTCGAATATTTCAAGTATTCTACTCATACAGAATTACCGACTCAGTTCATGGAGGCGGAGCTGGACTACTTTGGGCATCACAATTTCGATATCAGAGGTCACGGTCCGGGTGAGGCGAAAAAAGGATCACATCACCATGAGTGGAAACCCGCGAAGGGCACGTCGGATAAATAGAGAATCCAACAACGGATACTTCGTAGGTGCTGGTTGTCATATGTGCCTCCAACAATACATATTGGCCTATAGCAGACGGAACTGAGAAGTGGATTGATTAAAATATGTCAACGAATATATAAACTTAGCCTCCCATTTTAAAACATTTGAAGTTCGCTCCAGGACCTGTACCGAACATTCTTATTTCAACTTGATAAGTTGTTAAGGCGGCGCAATGGAAACGCCTATTTCTTGCGACCAATGATCACATTTCTTTTTACCAAAAACACCAGTTCAAACTCAAATCTCAATTTAATGTTGCCTACCTAAGTACAGATTTCAACCAAGAGTGTATATCAAGAACAGTTTCTCCACACTCATCGTTCAACTCATTGATATCCGTTCCTATACAAACGCATCTTGCCTTGCGATACCAATCTAATTGGAAAGAGCCTGATAAGGCCTATTTAGTTGAAGGATTTGGGGAGACTGTATTGTCTGGGAACTTTCGAAATATATCAGCGAGGTGATCAAACGGTGCAGTCAAAAGACCCATGACAGTCTCGAAAGGCGGGTTTTCGCCGGCGCTTGGGTGACTGCGGGACGGCACAAACGCCTTGGTCCTGCCAAAGCTCCTTGCCAAGGCCTGGGATTCCTCCTCGGCATTAGCAAGCGCTTCTTCAAAGGCGGGCATGTCTCGGCTCTCCTCCTCCTTGATGTGCCCGGACAAATCAGCCCAGAGCTCCTTCAATTTGGGCAGGTAGTCGGCTTCTTGGGGTTTCATGTTCTGGAACTGCTTTAGGAGTTCTTTGACCTTCAAGATCGTCAATATCGTTTGAGGCGCCATGGCTAGCACTGTGGTGCTTGAACTCACTTTATGGTGCTCCTGGCGGTCTTCATCAGCCATCGCCTTACCCTTCTCGCCCATATACTTCTCAAAAGCAGGGTACACCACCAATTCCTCGCCAACGGAGTGTCGGGCGAGCTCCCAGGTGAATTGATTACCGAAGCGTTCCTGGTGGTCATGGTCCGTCGAATTTATAATCTCGTTGTAGTACTCCTCCAGCTCCCGGTGGTCCTTGACAATAGCATCCTTGATTGCTGTCATGGCTGCGGGAGTCGAACTAAACGATCTTGAAAAAAGGAGGCGAGGCTTGGAACCAGACCGAAGCGTCGAGAAGCGAATAACTCTCAAAGCAAACATTGAAAGTTAGTTGATTGTATTTTTTTTCTCTCTCTAGAGGAGGATGGGATGGAGGCGGCCTAATATATAGATTGCCCAGATATTTATGACGATGAAAAGTCCTCATCCATCTATTCTAGTGGCGAAACACGGCCTTCGATCTTACAAACGCATTAGAGCTGATTGGTCAATGGGTGCCCCGAGTTGATCTATTACGCTGCTTCCTATCTTGTGATTACCCCAACAAATACCATCATGATGTCAAGCAGAGCTATTCGAGGGACACTGGTGGGTGACGTCAAATTGATGCTGTTACTATATGCTAGGCTCTATACGCATGATGCAGACCGACACTCCGCAGACTATATCCCTTGGCGCAAGAAGTCTGTTTTCACTTATTGTTCTAGATCGCTAGCTAAATTTTCTTTGCTCAGAGGTGCTTGTCCAGGCATTCAGATTACATTAAAAGTCATGTATCATTGGGCCTTGCTCATAATTGATCGCCTCCAATACTTCTTTCCAAGTGCATCTCACATCAAAATATATATCGGGTGTCCCCTAAGCATAGCCAGATTAACGAAGATATCTTGCTTCAATTTTCCACTTTATTCACTGGTCGAGGGGCGCATCATAGTTTACCGAAGCTAACAAGATGGCCTCATTGGGACGCAGCGCTCCTATAGCCATGGACGCTCCCTTGCCTTCGCCTTTGATCCAGAGGTAGGTTCCCGTTAGCCTCGGACATTGAGGCGAACGTGGATCAAGAAAGCTGTACGTGGAGGGTTCTTTTCACCCTCATTTAGCATAAGTTTGTTGATAAATGTCTCTGCGGAGAAGGTCCGCCTTACACAAGTTATGATTGCCGCAATCGTACAGCCTTCCAGTGCACTTAGTGTTGGCGTGAGTACTACCGCTTAGAGGCCATAAAAGCCAAAGTCGCGTCAATGCCTTTCCACCTTATCGGCGGTCATCTATTAAAAGGACAAAAGCAACATTGGTCCTACCAAAGGAGAATCCGTCATCAAGGAGCGTCCAAGCCTTGTTAGATATTCTTTAAGGTAGCTGCGACGACAGTAATCAAGTAAATGGCAGCAGCTCTGATAGGTCGCACAGCCACCATATCATATGATGCCACTTGGCGAAAATATATTGGCTGACAATATGCAAGATAGTTGCTTATATGGTACCCCTCCTTCTCCTCAAACTTAGTTTCTTCGTCGTGGTAAAATACAGATCAAACTTCCTCGTCTTGTCAATTAAATCGGCGTCACTGACTAAGTTTCACCTCGCCTGTCATGTCTGGCTTCGAAGTTCTTGGGTTGGCCCATTCCATATTTCAGACCATCAGCTTCGCTCATGAGACTCTCAACATTTGTATTGCTCTATATGATAAGCAGAAGACGCCTGATGCCGAGGTTGAGGAAATCGCCAGTTCAATGGTCGTGGCCGCCGAAAAAGTGACAGCTATATGTGACAAGAACAAGAAAGCATTAACCAAGGAAATTGCCCAAATTGCCTCAGGCTGCAAGAATGACTCTTTGGGTGAAGAAATAGCGCAGATCGCCAAGGAATGCACCAAAATCACGTCTCAGCTCAAGTCAGAAGTTGAAAAGATCACAAGGCTTGATACGAGCGGCAACTTTTTGATTACAATCAAAGCAGCATCCATGTATTTATGGAACAAGGCGAAGCTTAAAAAACTCAACGAAACTTTATGTTATTACAGAGAGCAACTGAAGGCATTGCTCATCACTCAAATTTGGTGAGTAAAAAACCGCAAGGAATCTATCTACCCTGCCGGATTAAGAAGTTGCACCTAGGGCTGTAACTAAAGCGAACAAGTATTTAACTAGCTAGAAGGGTCATAGACCCCTATTTAACCTGTTCATAGGTCACGTTATAAGGGTCTGAAAAGGCAACGCCGGCCTGGCCTATATATATTCCAACAGTTATTGCCCTTAGCTCTATTTAATATATACCTTTTGATCCTTTCTTATACTTTCCTAAGCGGCGTTTGATATTTCCTGAACGAGATGTTTTCTCACCTTTACAGCTTCAACACTAGCCTTCCTAGGGTTCTTAGCTTCAAATATGGCATCAAGCTCCTCAAGCGTAAATCCCTTGGTCTCAACGAAAAGGAAGTAGATAAACCCAAGTTCAAACACGTCCCAAAACACGAAAAAGACGTAAAACCAGTAGCCAATCTGAATAGCAAGTTAGGAGCGGATAATGATATTCCGGAGAGATCCGAGTTCGACTTACATTGGACAGGGCGATTGGACCAACAAAGGTGTTGAGAAATCCGGCCGCTCCAGCCGTCACCTTAAAGGTTCCCATGGCCTTGGCTCGCATCTTGTTGCTGACGACCTCGGCAGGGTATATGGGTTGCATCGGAGTGAAGCCGCAGGCGAAGGTGGCGCCAAACATGAAGATGAAGACAATACTGACGGTAGAGGCTGCCTTGTTGCCGTAGTTTGAGTATCCAGCCGCACAGCCAGCGACGATACTAAGGCATACCACCATACCAGCCGTGGTGGCCATGAGCATCTTCCGGCGGCCGACGATATCGTGCAGGCGAGAACCGATAATGGAGGAAACCCAGCCGACGACGGCATAGACAATGTTGAGAACCAGCTTTGTGTCAGTGTCCTTGATGCCGATGCCGTTGAGCATGATAGGCAAGTAGTAGGATATAATGCTTAAAGCCACGTTAGGGTACTAATTATCGTGTGGGGGCGCAGTTTTCGTCACTTACTTGTTACCACTGAACTGACCGAACCAGGAGAAAGCGATGTTGAGCATCAGTCTGTAACGGCTAGAGTGAGATTCCACGAGGACGCCCAGGTCAAACAAATCTTTCCACGAGGCTACATGCTGGGTGTCCAAATTGGCAGCCATCTCTTTCATCTGAAGCTGAACTAGTGGATGAGCTGTATCACCGTTTGCATGGTACTTAATGAGAATAGCCTCGGCTTCGGCGTGACGGTCCTTAGCGACCAGCCTGTCGAATAGAATAAGACACTAGCCAAGCTGATGGAATGCAAGCGGGGAAGCAACACAACCAGAGGGGATGGTAGCTTACCATCGAGGCGACTCGGGGAAACACTTGATGGATATACAGACAATGGCTGGGCAAACAAGCTGAAGCCACAGAGGAATTCTCCAGTCCAAATTATCATGATGGGCTAGGTATTTGTGGCAGGCGTATACAGCGGAAGTAGCGAAGACGGAACCCTGGGAGAAATCACATGAATTAGTAAAGAAGATTTCTCAGTTAGTTATCATTGAGAGTACGCACGACGTTGTAGAAAGTATTGTACATTCCTGCAATTGTACCTCGGTAGGCCGGCGGAGCGATCTCGACGAGGTATAGAGGAGCAGCGGTGTGGGCGCATGTTGCAAAAAATGACAGGAGAAATCGTCCGCCGATGAACGTGGGCAAGTTGGGCGCCAGGGAGGTCATTATGGTGGCGAGGCACACTCCCAGACAGCCAAAGAAGATGTGCCAGGTTCGACCGTACCAATCCGTCATCCAGATGAAGAGAGCTCCAGACATCTGACCGACCTGTCGAGAGAGTTAGTGTATGTTGTAGGTGGTTCACTATGTCCGAATGTATTCCTTGCCTGAAAGATGGCAAAAACAATGCCGGTACTGGCATTGCCGTTCTCCGGGAGGTTGAAGTATGAGGTATAGTTCGGAAGAGCATTGATGGAGCCCATAAGAGAGCTGTCGAAACCTGCAAAGAAAGTATATTAGCACGTTGATGAACACAGATAGGTTATTCAGACTGAATGGGTCATACCATTCATGGTCGAGCAGAGGAATATAAGTCCAGACACAGCGTACAACTTGATGTAGCCTGGACCTCGCGGGTTTGGCTTATGCTCCGCCATGATTCTGGCGTATATCTCCATTGAATTCTCCATGTCTTCCGTCTTCTCAACCTGATGTGAGTTAACATCTTCCTTTTCTTTGTCCATTGTGCAAAATTTTGCCTGCGTCGGTGAAGAGATTGGCTCGGTAGGCTAAGAACGATGGTCCGATGGGCCGAAGAGGATTTGTCCAGGACACAATCAAAAAGCCTTTCCAATTGACAGAAAGTTTGAGATCTTGACAGTGTCAGCCAGAATTTCTGCCAAACAAGGCTTTGGGGACAAGGTATTCGTGGATACTTATAGATTCAAGTTATCAGGCACGGCTCGTCGGGAAGAATTTGCAGGTTGAACCCCGTGGGGGAATCATTAGGTACGTCTCTCTCCCAAGACTAGACTGGACTGGCGTCACGGAATTTCATCTTTTCGGCTAGCCGTGTGCCGACTTTAGTTAAATCAATGCATTGGGAATATGGCTCCAGTTGAACGGCCATACGTGAGTGATTTATGATTGGCATCTCTTCATCATCCATGACCTATCCAACCTTAGGGGGTGCAATTGATGCTTAAGATTTGTCTTTCATAACGCGCGCGGGCGATCGCGGTGTAGATTAGGGTTTCCAGTCTAACAGTGCTGATCGATTTTGTGAAGCATCAGAGCCCCGAGCCTGCCATACCTTCGTGACTCCATATTGGTTGCATCATCACGTGGTTTAATGTCCATATTCATTTCCGGCCGTCATTTTCCTTTTCTGTACGATTCCAGAGATGTACCCAGTAAAAACACTGACTCAGTGCTCGGGAATACTGATTCCCGTCTTGGTTCTCAGATATGTGGATAGCATTAGGGCGGCATTATGAGAAGCCGTACTAGGTTTGGTGAAGGGAACATCTCTCGAGTCTCCAAGGATTACAAATTTCACAGAATGGGTATGTCAATTCATCGAACGGAGAACCGGCACATTCAAGTTCACTATTATTGTTTTGAATCACCTAAAGACGGAGGTTCATGCCCCCGTGCGATCGACTCCAAACTCATGGCTCCAACAACGGTGTTTTCTTCCTTGCCTACGCCGTTACCCTGATTCCCTTTGCCGGGACGAGGCATGCAAGGGCAAATCATCTTTGCTCCCAGTCGGAGTAATACGCTCGTTTCCGATCCTCTTATTTTGCTGATAGGTACTTAGTATTATATATAAACGTGACACCCACCTTGTCTGTCATACCATGTCGCCTACCTGTCAACTCCCCATTCTTTACATCAGTAAGGGCATTTCAAGTCTAGGCCAGTCCCCACCATGGTGCACAGGATTGACCTGGATCAAGGTTGGGAGTTCAAGCAGGCCAGCTCCCTGGAGAATGGCACAGCCACATCTTACCTACCTGTCGCCCAATTCCCTACAGTGGCACACATAGACCTTCTCCATCACAAGCTCATACCAGATCCCTACATTGACGTCAACGAGCTGAAATGTCTCTGGGTCAATGATGCAGACTGGACCTATCGCACCCAGAGCATTGGTCCTGTCGATCTCGCACCAACTCGGCGAGCCGTCTTGGTCTTGGAAGGCCTCGACACGGTAGTCGACGTATATCTCAACGGCCGCCACATCCTGTTCAGCAAGAACATGCACATTTCGCACCAGATCGACGTAACAGAAGCGCTTCGAGATAGAAAGGAACCCTCTAGCCTTGAACTGAAGTTTAGAAGTGCCCCAGCGTATGCTCGCTCAGAGCGTGATCGAATCGGTTACAAGAGGAATGCTACCGGCCGGGCCGTTAACTACGGTGGCTCTGAACGGCTCTTCTTGAGGAAGGCACAATACCAATGGGGATGGGACTGGGGACCAGCCGTCAATACCTGCGGGCCTTGGAAACCCGTGTACCTAGAGGTATATGAGTCACGGGTCAGCGATCTTTCGGTCATCCAAGACGTCGCTGCCGATCTGTCTTCAGTGGCAATCTCGGTAAAGGGAGGGGTCGAAAACGCGGAGGGCTTGGACAAAATAATAGTCCAGTTGACTGATCGCGACACGACGACTCCTGTGGCCAAACAAGAGTTGGCGATATCCTCCACCGGCTCATTCGAAGGAAAGATTAGCCTAGACAAGCCAAAACTATGGTACCCTTTCGCATATGGAAAGCAACACCTGTATCTTGTCGAAGCCATCATCCCTGGTCACACCAGGAGTCAGAATCTTGGCGTCCGTCGTGTACGCATTCTCCAGCACCCTTTAAAATCTCGACCCGGAACGTCCTTCGTTTTCGAGATCAACAATGTCCGAGTCTTCTGCGGCGGGTCTTGTTGGATCCCAGCTGACTTTATGCTACCACGTGTAACGGCAGAACGATACGAAGAATGGTTGACTCTCGCCAAGAGCGGCAATCAATCTATGATTCGTGTCTGGGGCGGAGGCATTGTCGAGAGCGATGCATTCTACGACATCTGTGATCGAGAGGGCATCCTCGTCTGGCAAGACTTTCTCTTCGCGTGTGGTAACTATCCTGCGTCGGCTGAGTTTGTTGCCAATGTCAAGGTTGAAGCAGAGCATCACATCAAGCGTGTCGGGCACCACCCCGCGCTCGTCGTTTGGTGTGGCAACAACGAGGACTACATGTGTGCCGACGAAGACCGCTGCTGGGACGTCGATTGGAGTGACACCACTGGTCCGTGGGACAATACGACATTCCCAGCCCGTGAGATCTATGAACGCATGCTCCCTGCCGTCGTCGCTGACTCCGGTACTGAAGTGCCATACTGGACTAGCTCGCCTTACGGTGGCAAGAGTGCCAACGACCCGACCGCCGGCGATACACATTGCTGGGATGTGTGGCATGGGAAGATGTCTCCATACCAGGACTACAAGGCATATGCATCTCGGTTTATTTCCGAGTTTGGATTCGAGTCAGCCCCCAGCTTGCGCACCTTGCATCGGGCCATCACGTCTCCGAGTGAACGTCACGCGCAGTCAAGAACGTTTGACGTTCACGACAAAGGTCCCGGCCATCAGAGACGCTATCCCATGTACATGGGAGAGAATTACCGCTTCCGCATGAACCCCCTCAAGGACTTTGTGTACTGCACCCAGTTCCTCCAAGCAGAGGCAATGGCATATGCCTACAACTGCTGGCGCAGGGAGTTCAGAGGTCCTGGCGAGGAGAACTGCGCTGGCGTTTTGGTCTGGCAGCTCAACGACATCTGGCCCGGCACCACCTGGGCACTGGTGGACGTGGACCTGAACCCCAAACCGGCGTTCTACATCACCAAACGCGCTCTGGAGAAGATCGTGGTGGGCATGGAGCGTGTCATCACGTCAAAGCCGCATTACATCGTCACAGGCTATCCGCCCGAGAAGGGCCAAGTTGATGTCTGGGCCGTGAACGGTGGACTTGATGAGAGGAAAGTGCTTCTGAAGCTGGAGGCTTTTGAAATCAAAAGCGGCAACAGCGTCGAGCTGCAGGGTGTGCAAACCAAACAAGAATACGTCCTCAAGGCAAACCAGGCGACAGAGTTGCTGGCGGGCCTGGACATCCCAAATTATAACGATACAGTCGTGGTAGCTTACCTGGACGACCCTGCATCAGGTGAGAGGCTGGCTCGATGGGTAAGCTGGCCTGAGCCTCTCAAGTACTTGCAATTATCTCCCGAACTGAAAGTCACTTCCAAGCTGCTGGATGGTGGTTCTGCGGTCATTCTCAAGGCAAACAGACCTGTCAAAGGAGTAGTGCTGCAGACCTCCGCCGAAGATCCCAATGACGTGGTATTTGACAACAACTTTGTCGATCTTGTTCCGGGCGAGGAGATTAAGATCGGAGCAAGCGGCTTGAGAAACGAAAGAATCGAGATGAGATTTCTCTATGATTGGGAACTAGTTCCTGGATTCCAGTTATAGATTTAGATTAAGAGATTATTTTTCAAACAAAAAGAGGACGCGTATGTTTATCCGAGGAGCCCAAATATGGCTTTCATCTTTATATCTTAGATTCATCGACTTAATGTCCCTTCGTTTTACATTTTACATGATACGATATACAATCTGTCGCCTTCTCCCTAGGACGGAAATATTCTGTTGAACTATATATATAGTTCTTAAATCTTTCTTCTTTAGCTTCTTCTCGCATATCTGAAGAATCATCACGACAGCTTCAACATTCCCACCACTCGCTGCTATATCCAAAGGCGTTGAGCCATCGCAGTTGCGGAGTGAATATTTGGTGCGAGACAGGGATAGTGTTCCAAGCAAATCTGCAGATCCTTGCTCTGCCGCGAAGTGCAAGGCGGTCCATCCGTTGTTATCTTGCAGCCCTTTTCGCGCGCCCAAAAACCATAAGGCCTTGGCCATCTCTATGTCGTTATTCTTGGCCGCTATCATCAGCGGGGTGGTGCCTGAATTGTCCGCAAGGTAGGCGAACGCGTCATGGTCATGGCCAAGCATCTTGACCATGGCCACATCTCTGTTGAGCGCAGCAATTATCATCGGCGTCCGACCTTGGCTGTCACGAGAGTCCTCCTTGGCACCCTTGTAGATGATGAGATCCTTCACGGCAGCAATGTCACCGCTCCTAACAGCATCATGAAGAGCTGCTGTAAGTGCAGCTTCTGCTGCTTTCGGGTCGGTGTTGTTGCTTGCGGCTGCACCATCTCTGCATTCATTAGGCTCTGATCTGGCGGGGGAAGTCGCAACGATTAATGAGCCCCTTGCCTAGTTTTGGGAATGTCTTGACTCATCAAAGACTCGCCTTCATGGGAGATCTACTGAAAGCTGTTGATATGGTGAATGGATGAAAAGGCTGACATGAGAGACAGCGCCAAAGAAAAGCCGCACAAATCCCGCACTCCTTTGCCTACAAGCATCTCAAATCCAAAAATTCAGGGTCAGGGCATAGATCGCCCAACTTGACGAATTTCCCTGTTCGACCATGCCCCGGATTAAAATACCAGTAAAATCTGCAGCAACCCCACGTGCTCTTCGACCGTGCGTTTTCTCGGCAACATACACCGGGTTCCAATCTAGTTGCCTTCCACATCAGCGCTGCAATAAAGCCAGGGCCATCCTGAGGGTTTCAGTCAGACAGAATATATATAATGGAGCAAGGAAGGATGGCCCATTCCGTGGTTGGCTGGGCTGCTCAGGGTGTCTGTGAAGCGGGCGTCAGAATAACAACGAGTGCAAAAGCGTTTTATCTTTCAACTTTCTTGTGCAGACTATAATCATAATCATAATAGATAATGGTGCATAGTATAATAAATCCTTGAGTGATTCTTATATAATATTATCTAATATATCTGTGAAAGGGATTCATTATTGGGACGCAACAGGAAGCATTACTGTGTGGCTGCTACAACAATTTTGTCGATCTGACCCTACAGTCCCTTTTCTTAATCACGGCCGGCTTGCATCTTTACTTGCCCTTCATATCAACGGCGCAGTGGCAACTAAGTCACCTAATTTGCGGCGTTCAAATTATTGCGAAAGAGAACTCGAGCATAAAATTAAACAACAATTGAAGATGCCAGACCTGACATCTCAGCACAATGGATAAGATCATACTGCGTATTCTCGAGTCTACGAACAGTATTATCAAATTATCGAGGACAAATAATAAGGGATAAAACACATTATAAATTAAAATCTTCTACATATTTTTGCTAGCTTGATTCGTAGGTTCCGATCCGTTGCGATATGTCAGAAGATATCGCACAGTCACAACCCTCATGGAGGTCAAACGCAGTCCGACCGTCGTCTATTATGAGGCCTGTGTCGATTCCAAGATGATCAAGCAGCAGATTCGTCATCTTCCTGTTGCAGTTGACCATGGCCATGTGCAACGCTGTCCATCCTTGCTTAGTGGCCACGTTAACATCGATCTCGGGATGGTCAAGTAGCAATTTCACTATCAGCCCATTAATGACTGTCGCGGCGACATGAAGCGGTGCCCACCCTTCGTCATCCTGGACGTTGATGATCCGTGCAGCGTCAGTTGAGCAAGCTAGTATCTTCCGGACAATCTCCGTACTCGGGCATTTGGCCGCCCACCAGAGACAAGTTCTCCCCAGCCCATCTGTGACGTAGTAGTCGATTCTTGGGTGCTCGCAGATCATCCCAAATGTCCCTTGCTGGCCCGATTCAGCTGCAACTAGGAGAGGCGTTCGGGTGTCTGCAAAACTACCCGAGCACAAATAACCTTTGAAAGCGGGTTTCTCCGACAGGTGGTAGTCCTGATAGTTATATCCGCCTCTCAATCTAAGCCTCATCTCGTGGTCCTTTCTATTACTTCCACGGTGATTTGGGTCGACTTCTTCATAACGCAAAAGTTCTTCGACAGCAGAAACATTGCCGTTTTTCGCTGACAGCCAAAGAAGTAGTTGCAGAACATCTCTTTTCTCGCTTCGAAATCTGGGCATGTTCAAAAACGTCCGCAAGACTGTCATCTCGAACCTCGTATCGCGTTGGGACATGTTGTAGAGCTCCGGCCACTGACGCCAGTTATCGAAGCCGTATTCCACAGCTCTTTCCACGAGGAGCTCAAAAATTTCCGTACGGTGATGTTCCAAAGCTATCTGTGCAAGCAATTTACCTCTGATTCTACGCCCAACGTTGACCCTGCAGCGTAGCAGCAGACGGACGATTTCCGTGTGTCCTGTTTGCACGGCCAGTTCCAGTGGCGTCGAATCATAATACATCTTGTCAGGTTCGATGCCGGGGGCATCTAGGAGCAATCGGACCAGCGGTGTAAAGCCTTTAGAGACTGCAACGTATAATGGTGTCCCCCCACCCCAACGTAGAGGTTCATTGATATCGATAGCATCACCAAACCGGCCCAGGATGAGCCGTACAACTCTAGTTGCACCGGACACAAGAGCCACCCGCCACGGGCAATAATGGGCCCTTAAACCTAATGATGGAGGCTCATCGGTCATACTGTCCAGGAGCAGACGCGCAATGTCTTCATGATCCTCTTTTGCCGCTGAATTCAAGGGCGATTCTCCCTCCCTATTACCGAGGTGTGGATTGATATCGTCCCTTTGGAGGAGCAATCGGACAATGTCCGTCCATCCCCTGCGAGCGGCCCAGCCGAGCGCGGTGTTGCCGTACCTCCCTCGCGCGCTGATGTTGATAGTAGTGGAAAGACTCAAGATGGTCCTGGCTGCGGCCTCTCGATTCATTTCCGCAGCATATACCAGGGTACCATTCCTCTGGCCCTCGACAACAACCGTGCGGGGATCGAGTCCGTGCAGTAGCAACGTGCGGATTGCAGCCACTTGGTCTAATACAATCGCGGCACGCATGAGGTCCCCAAATACAGGATGGGTAACAACCGAGTCTACAGCGTCGATGTTGGCCAGTTTCCTCATGATCGATTCGACGGCTGCTTTGTCCCCGCAGGCCACCAGAAAATGCAGCGTCCCGTAGAATATCTCTGGGTTCCGTACCTTCTGACCACGAGTGTAGTTCTCCAAACTTGGTAAGGATGGAGGTAGAGGATTTCCAGGCTTCCAGGTGACAAGGTGGTTGACCACCCACGATGGCTCATTCACAGCCACGATTAGGCGGCAAGCCGTGGCAATAGCAGCATCCAGCGTAACTTGTGGGATGAGGCCCCTACCGACCACATGCTCAGCCGCGTCGTGCACGAATGCAAATATACCTTGATTGCACATTTGGATTCTCGCCTTCGTGGCCAACATCCATTCAATGCTTGGCCGCCAGTGTAGCCTGCGGCCAATGTCGAGCTCGCTCAAGCTCGAATTTTGTAGGATGACTCGTGATGCGTTATCATCGAATAGGCCTATTCTCAGCATTAGAGGAGGGAGGACAGAAATGGCAGTGGCTAGGCACGTACGGCAAACGAGTCGTAAGTTAACGAACTCCCGCTTGGAGTCGATTTGAGTCAGCCGTAAAATGTGAGCAATTAGCTCGTTGGGGAGCGCGAGGAGAAACATGGCGATGTGTTTGTCTGGTAGTAGTGTTTCTTTTCCGCCATATGCAAAAGATGTATCCCAAGATCAGGTCGCACTTTTCTGTCGGGTAGTAGTAATTGGATGAAGTATCATTCGAGCTGAGAAGGGGGGTGTGAGTGGTATTTGTATTGAAATTTCTCGCACCCAAGCTGCTAGTGTTCTTGACGCATTGCCACAATTAAATGTCATTTACGTGTGCCGCCAAAATGATTTTGAATTTGAGATACTCGAACACTAAACTACTTATTCTCGAGCCTGCGATCGGTATTGTCAAATTAGTGAATACGAATAGAAACTATCTAAAGACAATGACGTTTGTTTCATTGTTCTATTGTTTGTTTTTGATCGCTATGAACAATAGATAGATATCCCAACATCAGATTACGTGATTCACTGCCTTACCGTGCCTAGATTACACAGAATCTTTCCAGCACATTTTGTAGTCCATATCCAAACTTTCACACGTAATGAAAACTTAGAATTTACAACACATACATACCGGGTACAAGCATCAACGCCTCCCCAAAATCCCTCACTAGCTCGGTACGTTTCAATCGTTAATCCCCCCTTCAATTACACAAATATCAACGCCACACTCATGAATCCAGACCCAATCACTCCGTCTGAACAGATCCCCAGCCTCACAGGTTGTGGCTTTGGTGGATACTAAGCCTACGACAATATCCATCGAGCCAGAGGAGCCACCAACCATCCAGTTTACTACACCACAAGCTTTCGGTGAGAGTATCAGCAAAGTCACAGGCGATGCTTTCTACGTCAAAACTATGAGGAAAGTCTTTATCTTATATACCGTATGTATCCCTAGTATTCTTAATTCGGCGTAAATGCTTCTAGCTTTCAAATTCTTAAGGAGCTTAGAAGTTCTAGCAAGCAAAAGTATCGCTTTAAGCGCTACTACCTCACCGATGAATTGTTAATCATCACCATCCCTACACTTACCCATGAGTTCGTACATGCCAACTTAAAACAGCGTGTCGTCCACCAAATTTACTACTGAATTTTTTTAGTTATAGTGGGAAGTAGTCTGTTTATAACCATACTTCCATTTGATCTTAATAAGTCCTTGAAAATGAGGACCTGGCACAACCGACATGACCAGGAATCTGGCCATGGGCCGTGTGTCCGCCCCCACGCGATTAGCGAGGAGAGCCATGAATATTGGGCGTAAAGAACATTCTTGCACCATCATTGATAGTTATGCAGCTTCGAACCGAAACAGGGTTTAGGTTCGACTAGTGAACCCTTTAATTTGGAAGAGAAGCCTGCATGGATTACCTCTCCCTCATAAAAAACTTGAAAAGCTATTACTTACTTCTCCAAAGAGATGGTATCAATCCGAATCTATAGCAGCCCAGTCTACTGCGTTGAAATTGGGCCGTTTCCTTATGACCGAAAAGCCCGAATTGGTATCCAAACTACCTTTTTTTTCCCCACCAGCTGCCGTATTACTGCAAAGCTCTCTTTCACGCAAAAGAATATTACTTCTCATATGAGGTTTTTTTTCTTTCAGGGATAATATAATCTATAAGTAAGCTGATTATATAAGTAAGCTAATTACTTCTATCTAGAAATTAGAACTTTCTCTTTATAATTAAATAACTTTCTATTATAAAATAAATATAACTTTATATAAAATAAATATTATTTTTATAATCTAAGCTTTTAATTAAAATCTAAAATTAAATATTAGAGTAATAGTAAAAATCTATTAAGTTCTATATATAATCTTTTATAATTAATATATTAATTATATAGTAAAATATAATATTTAATTAAAATTAATAAATTTATTAAAATCTAAAGAGAAAACTATTATTTTATATATACTTAAGCTATTTATATATATATTTCCTTCTAGAATATATAATATTAAGAAAATAATTAATATTCTACTATATATATATAATATATCTCCTATTAGTATTAATTAGATTTCTAATTTTATTAAATAATAACTAGAGCTCTATATATACTAGGTTTAGAAATATAACTATTAGAGAGCTAAATATAAAGATTTAAAGATTATTATATCTTAGTTTAATTTTATATATAATCTAAAAGTAAAATATAATATTCTAAATAAAAATCTATATAATTTTAATAAGACTAGTTTTATAATAGATATTATTTTCCCTAGGATAATAATTATAATCTTAGAGAGTTATATAAAAACTAAGCTAGTTTAATCTAATAATTAGAAGTAAATAATTATAATCTAAAAAGTAAATATAGCTAATTAGATTATTCTTTCTTTTATTATTCTAACTATCTAATATTATCTTAAGAACTAGTATTAGAAATATAATCTACTATATAACTAATAGTTTATAATAATTAAGAATAACTAGATTACTAATAAGATTAATCTAAATTAGATTAAGTATTTTAACTCTTATATAGCTTCTTATATAAAAAGGGTATATTAGATACTAATTCTTAATAGCTATAAGAGCTATTATTTAGCTAACTTTAAAATCTACTATTAAGAGTAGAAGATTATTATAATTTATATATCTTCTTACTCCTTCTATTTTCTTTAGTTATTAGATATTAGCTATTTTAAATTACTTAAGTAATTATATAAATAAGAGATTAAAAATCTAATATAAATATATATTATCTATATTAATAAGCTTAAATTTCTCTCTATTTTTTATATAGTTTTCTTTTACTTCTTTATAGAGAAGAATATCTAAATAAGCTTTATTAGATTTAGTTTAATACTATATAATCTAGAGAGAGTTCTTTTAAAACTAGATATAGTACTATAAATACTAATACTATTAGAGATTCTATTTAAAATAAAATAGCTTTAGATTCTAAAGATACTATAGACTATATATAAGATAAATATATAGTTTAAATATATTAAATCTTAAATTTTAACTTATTAAAATAGCTTCTTAATCTCTATATTAGCTATAATAGATTAATTTATAAAGAAAGTAATTATAATAATATACTAAGTAATTTTTTTATATACTAAGATCTATAATCTTTATATAGTAAATAAGATACTAAATAAGTACTAAAGAGCTAAAAAAAGCTATATATAATTTAAAGGGTTTCTAATTATATAGAATAGAATAGATTTATTAGATTAGAAGGATATAGATAAATAGCTAAGAGAGGAAAACTATAGAAGTAGTAGTTAGAGAGAGTAGGCTTATATAAAGACTTTATAATATAGTAATTATAGAAAGTCTAATTATAATATCTAAACTTATAGGAAAATTAGAGAGAAATCTAATAAATTAATTTCTAGTATTATTATTATAGATAATTAGCTATTATTATTTTAATTAACTTTATTATATAAGAGATAGATAGAAGTAATCAGCTTACTTATATAATCAGCTTACTTATAGATTATATTAATTAAATCCAGATACCTTTATAGTATTTCCAATTGCTCATTTGAAATCAAGCACACTCACTCCAGTCTCCACGGTCAATAAACTTCTCCGAGGCAAACGACAGGCTTTGTCATTTAGCCATCCATTGGTCCATTAAATGGGATGAACAATTGTATAATTTACCCCTTAGCCATCATGCAGAAATAATCAATTGCGCACATTCAATCGCCGGGGTCCAGTATTGAAGAAGAGTGATTGCTGATGGGAGCAATTTGTTGCAAGCCGGAAAGGGAACAGTGCCGAAAGCGTCGGCACAAAGCTGCGAGACACGGACGTTTGGAAGCATGGGAGAAACGTGTGCGGCAGTTGAAAATTGAATCATGCCGGTGAAGCCACCGGAAACGGGAATCAAGGAAGTATTTTCCGGATATTTGAATGGTCGTTAGCCTTTGTTGGCGGAGGTGAATCTACCGATCGCATGTAATGGTTGACATGCCGCCACCTCGATCGAGGACAAGCCTTGATATCAACAGTTTTGAAAGCAGCCGAGAAGAAATTACGAGATTAAGAGGTTTAATATTGGGCCGTAAATCCGTAGCATCCAAGTAGTGCACCGATTCAAGCTTCACCTACAAGTATAAAGATGGCTCGTCTCCCCAAGCCAGTGCCAAAAGTCAAGTCAAAATATCCCATAGATCAGCGATCACTAACATTATCAACATTCCATAACCGCCTTTCACTCCAAGGTTTCATCCAAGACAGCTCCAAGATGAAGCCTGCCGCCGTCATCCTCGCCGTTTTTGCCGCCTCGGTCGCCGCCGTGCCGGTCGGAGATAATGTCGAGAAACGTCAAGCAGTAAACCTGTTCTCAATTCTAGAGAATCTGCTAGTGAGTGACAGCACGCCCTAAAACCAGGCAATGTAATTACTAACAAGTCCTCAGCACATCAAGACCTGTACGGGACAGAAGTTTGGCGATTGTCCAAAAAAGCAAGCGTTTATTGGCAAGCGCAAGAGCGCCCCCAGCGAGGGCATCGTCAGCGTGGACACCGACGCCTTGATGGGCGCTCGCGGGTTGTAAGACGGTGGATCAAGCAATGGATGCGACCGTCAATCGAGTCATCAATTGCTTGCATGTAGAGACGAGAAAGGGTATGAGACTTATACTTTTGTATATCAATATACTGCCGTTTACTTCTTTCGAATCCATCAATCGCCACCTATCCCTATGTCCGTAGTCTCGGCCCCTTACTCTTCCCTTTACCGTTGTACAAGGGAGAAGTTAAGGCAACCCAGACTAGGACGCCAGACTACGTATAATCCTTTGACCCCGTGGGGCCAGTGCCTTGGCCCGCGTGTATCCGTTAAACTTCTCACCTCCTTCGCGCTAGCACCCGGCCCCCTTGGTGTCAGTCGTCGAGCCTCTAGACTCCATCCATCACTGTTCGTTGTCCCTGTTGGATGACGAGGCCATCGGACCCAACATAAGTCATACTTAGACCTTAGGGGTAGTGCCGTGAAGCAACATGTGGTAACGATGTGTAAAGGTGGCCAGTTCACTGATGAATTGCGTCGACGAGATGAAAAAACAGTCGAGAGGTAAACAAACTAAGGAGTAATAACAACCTCGCCAGGTTCTCTTGACGCATCCGCGGCGTCTAGTGCTCCCTCGGCGTCCTCAAGCTTGAAAGAACGTACAGGCCCCATACCTGCTCTCTCCCCCAGAGGTAGAGTCCCAGTTTCCACCATTCTGATCAACCTCGTAGCCTGATCTCTCGTACACATCCAAGTTCCCTTGATGCTCAATGCCTTGCCAATAATATCGAGATAACTAAAGCTGACTCCGGATAACACTTTGCCGACAAGGCTCACTCTTGCACCTTGCCGGAGGGCATTCAGGCTGGCTCTGAAATGCGTCGAGTTTCCGGCGGCAGGAGGTGACATATCCCAGAAGGCGTCTGCGCCCCCGCTCGCTGCCGACCGTATGCTCGCCGTGTCTCTCTCGACATCTCCGGTCAGTGCCACAGTGCTAACGCGTTGGCTGATCGATTCGAGAGTGGCAAGCACAGCGGTGTTCCTGCCGATGGCGATGACTCTTGCTCCCATCGCGAGGGCCAAGTGAACAGCGGCGCTCCCATATCTTCCTGTGGCAGGAGCGACGATCACGACATCGCCAGCTTTGACATCAATATCCGCAAGCCCGCCAAATGGAATAAACATGCTGAAGAGATGGGTCAAGTCTTCGAGTGTGTACCCCAGACCGCCATTCTCTGGCGCCCCAAAGAGTCGTTCCTCGTTGAGAGCGTGGCAGTTTTCCAGTGGCAATTTCGCGTATTGAGCATAGGTCGAGTGGCGCCACTCTTCTGAAAACTTGGCGGAGACTTCATCAAACCCCATCATGAGGCCGCTGATGTACTTCGCGTCCTGGCTGTCTCGCGCCAGGATGTAAGGGTCAAACAAGACCAGCTGGTCACGCTTCAAGACGGTCGCATCAGACCCCGTCTCGGCAACCCTGCCGATGGCGACAAACCCAGGCACCAGTGGTAGGGGCAGCGGATGTCCACTTTGAGGATCTCGGTAGACTTCTGGGGAATTCGCTCTGACTGAGGCTGCGAGAATACGGACGACGACGCTGCCCGGTGTGGCGCGAGGGACTGGCAAGGTCTGCACTGTCAGAGGGGCCCCGATTTCAGACAGGACCAGTGCCTGATGATGAGAGGGTAGTTGTAAAGCCATTGCGAGTCGCAGGAGTATTATTTTGTTGACGACCTGAGCTGCAGATCATGTGGCTGCGCTTTAGATTTATAATTCTTTGCAAAGTGGAAAGTACTCGCCGCTTCGCCTGACACCTCATGCGACTATAAGTGGAAGCAGTTGTCTGGTTATGCCTTTTGACTTTCTCTAGCCTGCGGACTTTCTACAGCATGCGGACTTTCTCTAGCCTGTGGACTCTCTATAGCCTGCGGACGTTCCTTAGCCTGTGAAACTCGGGTCTTCGGAACGTTCCTTCGCCCCGTCAAAGTCTACACTACATCAGCTCTGAGGAATCCGCGGATGCCACCAAACAAGGGATTCGTTTGCAGATGACAGCGGAATTTGGAAGATGCGGGCCTTTGAAAATCTCAATTCTATAATGTGTTGTGATACTAGGCTATGGTATCAAGTTGTTGAATTCTTTGTGTTTGGGAATTTCCCCTTTTTTTCAGCAGCTGCCGCATAACTGTATAGCTCTCTCACTTACTACTAACTCGAATCTAACCTCTGGCATATGCCTCCAACTCTCCAACTCTCGTGGACGAGAGCCAAACACATTCAAATTACACCTGAGGTGGATCTCGACTAGGACAAAATGTATTGCGATCCTATATCTCAATAGCCAACATCACAAGCGACCGAATCTCTTCCTCTGCCATTCTAGACCCGTCCCAGATCGCTGTGAATCTGCCAATGGCACCCTGGCTATCTAACTCCAATCCTATAATTCCGTTCCGCACAGAGCCCCCCAGCTGTACCCATTCATACCCGCCTCCGCTTGCGCTTCCAAGTATATGCCGGAGTTCAGCACCTGGACCGTAAGCCAGCTTATCAATGGCTCGGTGTAGGTATCGGCCGATGGCTAATCGACCCTCTATACGGGTCCTCGTGGTCAGGTCCTCGAAAACGGCGTCCACAGTGAACAAAGCGGCGGCGTCGTCCACCCGCCCCTTTTCCAAGGCGGCACTCAGGTCGGTCGCTGTCTTCTGCATCTGGACGTGCGCGTTCTCTCCTACGCTTTCCAATCCCAAGTCGTGTGGGTATTCATTGTCGGGAACTTTGTTTTCACCAACTGAGTTGCGTCGGGCATCCCAATAGTCACACTGGCGGACCACCTTGCCGTTGCGAAAATCGTAGGCCGAGACCATCCGCAGCTCGTCGCCGAACAACTCCTGGCTACCCAAGTTGACGACCACAGCGCCAGTCATATCGCCCAGGACCCTCTGGTGGTACGCGGTTCCGTTGTCGGGCCATGCCTGCGCGATCACGGGCAATTCCTTCTCCAGCATTTCCCTAGATGGATATGCTGCTCCCAGAGTCGAGTCATAGATTGCCGATTCGTACGGGTGGAAAAAGGAGAGCCATCCATCAGCATCTTTCAGGGTTTTGGCTTTGAAGAAACCCCGCATGAACTGAGCGACCGGCTCTGAGGCGTAACGCGTGTCTGCTACATCAGGATAAGGGACGGCTATATAGGAAGCTACCGCCGAGGAGCCAGCCCAGGCGGGTGCGGTGCTTGAAACGGACTCGATTCCGTGCGTAAATATGTTGACAAGATCAGTTGTTGTTGTTGTTGTTATTATTTTACGCCGGTAGATCCCGAGGGCAAAGGGTACCTATCTAAAGCTATACAGCTCTATAGCTATTATTTATACAGATTGCTTTAGATAGGAAGAGTAGTAGGGGGTTTAATAGGGGAGAATAAGAGTTATTACTCCGGTAAGGGTTTATAGAAGTAGAAAAGTAATAGGGTAGGCGGAAGGAGAGGGGAGTTTATTTTCTTTATACCTTGAAAATTATAATAAGAGAGAGAGAGAGAGAGAGAGAGGGAGGGAGAGCAGGAGAGAGAGAGGGAGAGAGAGAGAGAAGTAGATAATATAAGTAAGTAAATAAGTATTTACTAATAAAGAAGGAGGAATAGAGAGTAAGGGGGTTACCTAGTTATAGTATAGTTTAAAGAAGTTAGATTCTTTAGTATAGCGGATAAAGAGTTCCTACTTAGGTCTAATTATATTACTAATTCTCTATATCCTAGAAGGCTAGGGCTATTTTATAAGATAGTAGATAAAGAGGTAGATAGAAGTCTTTCTATACTTATAAGTATATAGGAGCTTATAGTTCTAATAGCTATAATCTATATAGTAGTAGGTAAAGTCCCTATATCTAGTTCTTATAATTATAAGATAATAGAGTGTTTTATAGAGTAAGAAGAGCTCTAGATTTCTCTTAAGGAAGGCTTTAAGATAGAAATATAGATATAATTTAGATTTATTAAACTATTATTAGTCTTTCTAAGCTTCTTTTATAGTTCTATTTTTTAAAAGATTAAGGCCTTCAGTATAGGGTAGACTAGCTATAGGGTAAGCTGGGTTTAGAGTAGGTATAGCCTATAGGGTAGGCTAAGGAATACTAAAGGGATTATTTTAAAAGAAATAATAAAAGAAGTAGTCTACTTAGTAAGAAAGAGAGGCTTTATTAACTATAGGGTAGCTAAGAAGATAGACTATAGAATAGATAAAAGAGTAAATTAGTAGCTTAAAGAATCTCTATCTAGTAGGAAGAAAGCTCTTATACTTATAGGTATTTTAGAGCTCTAAGAGCTCTAAAGATAATATATTACCTTCTATAATATAGACTTATAACTACTATAAGGTTCTTATATAGTAGATATAAGATCTACTAATATAAATACTATAGTAAATATAAGAACTACTAATATAGCTATTATAGTAGATATAAAAACTACTAATATAGCTACTATAGTATAATATAAGATTACTAATATAATTACTATAGTAGATATAAGAACTACTAATATAGCTATTATAGTAGATATAAAAACTACTAATATAGCTACTATAGTATAATATAAGATTACTAATATAATTACTATAGTAGCTATTATAATAGTTATAACTACTAATATAATTATCCTAATAGGTAGCTATAGTAGGTTAGGCTAATAGCTTTAGTAGACTTCTAGCTTTAGAAAGCTCTAAGTTAGTTATTTTATTCCTCCTTACTCTATACTAATCTAAGATTATTTAATTAACTAATATAGGGTAATCTGATCTACTCTATAGTTTATAGGGTAAATCTTAATACTATTTACTTTTCTATAGAGATAGCTTATTAATAGTAAAATATCTTCTTCTTTAGAAAGCTTAAATCTCTATTATTTTCAGTCTATCTTTATATTTATAAGTTTATTAGCTAGTTTATTACTAAGGATACTAGTATAGCTAGATAACTATTTAACTATATATCCTAAGCTATATTTATTTATAGCTTTACTAAAGATTTTAAATCTTAAGTAAGAAGAATTAGGCTCTAATCTAAGAAGATAATAAACTACTAAGAAGTTATCTAGATAGACTATAATATATAAGTATAAGAAATACTTAATATTTTCTTAAAGCTATAAAGAATATTAGCTACTTCTATATTATAGATTTCTTTATAGATAAGAGAGCTATAGCTACTACTAACTATCTTTATACTATTAAAGAGAGTATAACTATAATCTAGCCCAGAGTAGGTATTAGAATTATAAATAGCTAAAAAATAGAAGCTATTAGAATAGATAGTAATCTGTTCTTTTACTCTAGATATAGCTTATTCCTTAAACTCTATAACTACTTATTTCTTATTATTAAAATCTGAAATTAGAAAGTTTATATAGAATAGAAAATAAAGTAAAAGCTTATTTTCTCCTTTAACTTTTAGAATAATATTTATAATTAAGATAAGATTTATTAAAGTAAGGGAAAAGCTCTATACTTAAGCCTTAGATCTACTATCTAGTATAACTAAGAGTAGATATCTTTTATTTAAAATAAGAAAGTAGATATTCTGATTATATCTAATCTTATCTAGAAGAAAGAGAATTAAAAAGATACTAAACTCTCTAAATAGAACTAGTATTAGGATTAATTTCTAAGTAGAAATATATTAATAGATAATAGTATTTAATAGAATCTAAATCTTTTTTTTTTTAGTTAATAAGATTAATCTAAATAGATAGCTTTATAATAGTCTAGTTTTTTCTATTCTCCCTAGTATATTTAGAATACTAGATCTTAGTATTAAAGAAAAGCTTAAATAGAATAATTATTATAATAGCTTTCTAAACTACTATAGGTAGAATACTAATTATTATCTAGCTTAATAATTATATATAGTAGAGGAGGATATAAGTATTTATAATTCTCTTTTTTATATAGAATTTAAAATTAAGTTTTCTATTTAATTAAATACTAAGCTATCTAATAGTAAGCTCTTTTTCTTTTCTATTTTTATATTTAATCTTAAGCTGGATCTTAATACTATAATAGATAATTATATTCCTAAGTAGATAGTTACTATTGATAAAATATATAATTTCTATTTTTTCCAGACTAAAAGTTATTCTAAATTTATTCCTGTTACGCTATATAGGCTCTAATACTGCTGTAGCCCCTAACTAGAAGGCTGCAGCAGGCCTTTTGCCATAGGTAGTTAGAGCACCTTTTGGGCATAATAATTCCCTTCTATAGTTAGAAAGTTAATCTATTTCTAAACTATATATATAAATTCTTTTATAGTTTTTACTACTATAGTAACTAAGTAGTTATCTATATATCCTAATATTATAATATCTTTCTTTATATTAAAGAAGATAGTAAATAGAATATAGAAGATTAGAGAAGCTAGAGATCTCTAGAGGGAGTTACTTATTTTATTATTAATATCTATTAAAATTATATTAAGCCTAATAGTAGTATATTAATTTAAATAAAAGTTAAAAGCCTATCTATAAAGATTAAAATACTAGCTCTAATTAATAATTTAGTAGTATATATAATATAGAAGAGTATAATTAAAGACTTCTTCTATATTAAGAGCTATAATTATAACTATAAGACTATAGTTTATTATATCTTCAGCCTAGTATATAAAAGCTTATATAATATTAATTATAGATTATTTAGAAAGAGCTCTAGCTATCTATAGGGGGATAATTTTATAAATAACTATAAAGTAGAAGATTCTTCTAGTAATAAGTTTTTTAAAGCCTTTTCTAATATATAAAAATAGGAAGATTAATCTCTATTCCTTTAGAGTATTAAAATCTCTATTTAGTTTTAAAATTATAATAACTAGGATAATCTTCTATAAGAAGGAGTAATAATTAAAATTAAAATTCCTTTAGAATAATAGTCTGATTTTTTAACTAATTATAAGGAAAATAAGCTTAAGTAGAAGAATAGTAATACTATCTTTCCTAGATATAGTATTATCTATTTTAATTAGAATAGTCTTAATCTCTTATTATTATACCCAAAAGGTACTCTAACCACCTATGGTAAAAGGCCTGCTGCAGCCTTCTAGTTAGGGGCTATAGCAGTATTAGAGCCTATATAGCGTAACAAGTACCCCTCCGCAACAAGAGAGATAGCCCTGCCCTCAGGGCTATAGCGCTCGGCCGCCTTATATCTCAGCGACGAGGACCACTGTAGCGGGGGTCTGTTAGGCTATTATAGGGCCTCTAAGGCTCGGAGCCTTGTAGCTAGGCTCTGCAGCAGGTCTCCAGAGGCCCTGACCTAGGCCCCGTACGCACAGGCTAGTACGGAGATCGAACCTGTAACCAGGCAGAATTACTACTAACTGTTATACCCAAAAGGTGCTCTAACCACCTATAGTAAAAGGCCTGCTGCAGCCTTCTAGTTAGGGGCTACAGCAGTATTAGAGCCTATATAGCGTAACACTTATAGGGAGATATAGTTATTCCAGGGGATTCCTTAAACTATATAGATTAAGATCTCTATTATATTTAGATCTTTATCTCTTTAGACCTATTAAAGAAAAGTATATCTAAGAGCTATTACTTTTTCCTTAAAGATAATAAAGATCTTATTATTAATTTTCAGTAGAAGAGACTAGAACTAAGACTTTAGCTAATACTAATTAAGAATATAATAGATATTCTTATCTATAGATATACTTTTAATTACTCTTTTATTAAAGTCTACTTTTATATAAAGAACTATAGCTTATAAGAGCTTCTAATAGTTCTTAATCTTTTTACTTTTTCTATCTATAATTTAAGCTTAATAATAGATATAAACTGCTTTATTATATTTCTTATTCTACTAGTAGGAACTCTTACTATCTTTCTAATATCTTTTACTATATACTTTTAAAAACTTAAGAAGGATATTATTAATTAGAGCTATAAATATATTAGAGATCTCTTTTATTAGGAATCTCTTCTAAAAGTTTATTTATCTAGTATTATACTTCTACTAGATAGGTAGTTCTATTTTTCTTAGAGAGATAGTATATTAGGAGAGAGAGAAGATTCTTTATTTAAAGAAGGAAGATAATAAAAAGAATTAAATAATCTGATCTAGTATAAAGATAATCTACT